ATGGGTGGCGCCTTTTAGGCGCCAATCTGTCGGGGGGGGGGTTTTGTGATGTTGCTCCTTTGGAGTTGGAAAACCGTACAGTTTGCAGCGCGGGCGCTACGATTGCGAGGATGTTGTTGGATGTTCGCATAATTTGGCAAGTTCCCTTGCTTCCGAGGCTTGTCATGCTCTTCTCAGAAGGTCTGAACGGGCAAACCTGTTTACACGCCATCATTGATTGGAGGCTTGTCGAGGGACATGATATTTTCTCGCTCGAATCAGCAAGTTCTAGCCTAAGGCTTCCTCCCGGCCATATGTTCAATGTCTCGAAGTGTGATCGACGAAGATATCCGCCTTATCAGATATCTTTCCATTCTGTTTTGCTTCCAGTGTTCACGCGTCTGTACTTATTAGACTTTTTTGAACTTCGCGTCACTTACTGACAAGCAACTACTCGCCCTTTTCGCAGGAGCTTCGTCCAATAATCTGCGGATTCGGAACTCGAGGAAGCGGTAACAAGTGAAGGAGATCAATCGGATAAAGTAGGTCTAGTCACGGGGTCCGAGGTTTGATGCTCATTTGCACACGTACTACTCATTCAGCATTTTTTGAGTCTTACAGAGGGGCCAAGGATTCTCCCTAGGAGATCTAGCGACGTAATTGCAGACGTCAACTATACGATGTCGGTCAATCGGCAGGATTGCTAATATGATGCGAGGGCCGGTTTTCAGTGAAGCGGACAACAGCCAGCAATTCGTGCGACCGGTCCGTCATCGATTCGTGCCCGACCTGGAGGAGTTTGACTTCGAGGTCACGCATTCCGCGTGCGAGCTGCACAAAAGGCAACGAAAGAAAAGTAGGAGATGATGTTGCACTCGGGCTTAACTAATTGGGTTTTCCCGCACGACCAGCTTATTCTCTGCTTCAGCCGGAACGTTTTTCCGTTTGAGGTGATGCAGTGGACCGTTCAATATAAGTGAACAAATCATGGCAAGAACTTCGGTTCTGGCAAAACGTCAGCCTAATGTGATACCGACCGTTAGCCTACATGTTCTTTGATATCGAAGCTGATCAATGCAGATTTAATACGTTTCTGATTGCAGTGAAGTTGGAGCCAGTCTGCTTGGTGGACAACTTTATTCCGAGCTTGCCACTTACAGTCTTTGCAAATCAGCACCCTTGCTTCATCATAAATGCACATACGGCGGTGTGGCTTTCAATCACAGATCGGATGGAAACCTGACCTTTGAGAATTTGCTTATTGAGCTTTACTATATGATACGGCGGCAACTTGAGATATTTGACTTCGAATTCGTCGATCTTAATGAAAACAACCTGGCTAGCACGTGCGACGTTCAACGCGCGGGCTTAGCAAAAGAATAATGTGCACACGATGCAGTCAGGGCTATGACGTATAACAAACTTTGCTGTGCCAGTCTTGCTGTCTGCCCAGTCTTCTGATACTCCATATGGAGCCCTGACTCGAGCTCCACTGACGTTAATTGTGTTCAAGTTGCATATCTTGTGGCAGACCCCTTGACCAACAAGAGACGACAAAGAGCTCTGGCAAGGCTTCACTAAGGCTTACACAAGTACGCATGATCTCGTGCCAAGATGGCCCAGGATGGCCTTGCTGGCCTCCCATCTCGGTATAGCTGGTAATCGACTGCGCCACGGCCGTCAACCAACTGTAGGGCATGCATCCTGACGGTCCGGACTGGTGGAGCCCGCTCACAGTCCGCTCGCAGTGGGAACGGATTCCGTTCCGTCCAGGTCGTCACAAGCGGCCGGACTCTAGTCTGAATCTTTCTCTTGCTCATCTAACTTCTAAGTTTACACCTATTTAGAATCAAATAATAATTTAGCTCTTTGCACATGCAGTGGCAGTGACGATCGAGGCCATGGCGGCTGCAGCTACGAGAACTTTTTGAAAGGTTGTCTCAGCTGAGGACAGCGCGTCAACCTGGCCTTCGGCAAGGAAAGCATGAACCTGGCGTAGAGACACGAGTGTGCGCTGCTACAGTATACAGGGTTCAGAAGCAATGCTCTTTAGCCTTATCGCTTCTTTGATCGTTGTAAAACTCCAATGACTTGCGGCAGGGCCTGGGTGCACAATGGTCCAGACTCGAAGTACCGTTCAAAAGGCTGCTGTCCTTTGGCAGCGAGGAAAGCATGGGCGGCTGGTCAGATTGCGCAATCATACAGAAAGAAGGTCAGATTGTCGACATTCTCAAGCAACCAAACGCCGGCGCACAGAATTAAACAACAACCATAGTAGCAACACGCATCCCTCCCTCTCAGAGCTGCAAAGTTTGCATGATGGAGTGGTGGCAATTTCCACGAACGTCGATGCTGGCAGGATCCTACATCCTGAGCTGCAAGATCTCCCTGATGAGCTGCTGGCACATATCTTTTCCTACCTCCCGTTTGACGAGGTCCTCAGACTGGCCTCCGTGTGTCAGAGCTGGCGCACTGCATCCGAATTTCCCCAGGCCTTTACAAATGTGGACTTTGCCTGGGTGGACCTGATTCCTGCACAAGGCTCGGACGAAATCCTGGATCTCACCAGCAGCGAGTATGAGCCACCTCCAAAGCGGTCTGGTATACTTGCAGAATACTTGTTAGGGAGAGCAGGTGCGCTGGCCTTTCTGCGGCTGGGGCTGGTCTCTCAGAATGGCAAGCGAAGAGGAATGGCAAGGCCTGCGCAGATTTTGGACCTTGTTTCTGCATCGAGGAATCTTCAGGCACTCCACTTAGTATCTTCAAGTAGCAGCTCGGGATTGCCTTCGAACCTGCAGCAGGAGGTGCTGAAAGCTGTTGAAAAGTCATGCCCGCGCCTGACATATCTGAAGATCTCTGGAGAGGTCTTTGCCGAAGCAGGTGGGTAATCCTTCGAATAATCTTTCAAGCAAGACAAGAAAACAGATTGCATGGAAAAAGCTGTTTAGCCGAAGCGTTATTCTGGTCCATTCGCTATTAATCTGTTTTGAGGATAAGATGTCGAAACGTATCAGCCCTGTGCCATGACCGCCAAACTTTTCCCATGCAATCTTTGTATCGACTCTGCCAGCCAGTCACAATACTCAAAGATTCTGCTCTTGATCAGAGTGGCTCAATGAACACTGGCGTATCTTCACTTTCTGGTTTGAGGTAGCATGCGTTCACAACAACATACAAACCTCGTGCTTGTACTTTGCGAACCAAACTACAAGATGTAAACTGCTGAGCATGTCAAATTGATTCTTCTGTTCGGCAAAACGCTGATCTCCTCTACCACAATCAGGACTGACGTTCCCCAGCATCAGAGTGCTCAAACTTCGTGACTCTCTTTTGGACCGTTGCAGCAGTAAAGAATCGGTGAGCCCCTTTGCAATCACTTCGTGAATGGTACTTTCACACATAGTTCAGACTGCCTTTGTTAGCTAACAGAAACGAAGTCAAGGATTGCCCGCCTATCAAGCGTCCCTTACCGTAAGCGACACATGTATAGAAGTACTAGCAGGAGAGCACTCCCATGGCGACAGGCACGGTATCTTTATTGCAGCACACTTTCGATACCAGAATAAAGAGCTCACCAGCTAAGCAGGCATTTGATTCAGATCTGACAAAAATAATTGGTATGCAGCTTGGACAGGGAATAAACAGACATACGAATCTCAAGTCCCTGAGCTTGTGCGGCCGTATATCAAGGGAAAGCAGTGCTCTTCATATCGAGTCCCAAAGCCTGACAAGCTTAAAGTTGCAACCAAGAAAGAGATTGTACCTGTCGAGCGTCACTTGCCCAAACCTTGTCAACGTAGCAATTAAGGGTCTCGTCCACCAACTTGCCCCAATCGTCCTGAAAGGCTGTCCGTGGCTGGATCAGCCGCCAGAGCTACAGTGGAGGGACACTGATGGACTACCTCCTTTGTACTCCATAAAATGGCTCAATTCAAAGGTAGTCGATAAGGAAAGGTGAGCAGGAGATACCGTGGGGCTGGTCGCTGAGATTTCTACCATTTTGAGAACTACACGTGATGATCTAGTTGCACCGCAATTTGAGCTATCAAATGCATTGAGAGAACCTCTCAGCATATACGCTTCGCTCTTTTGGTTTGTAATAACGCAAGCCGTTACTCAAATACTGCTCTGAATTATTGCGCTGCTTTGGATTGCCACAGCTGTTGGTAAGGTCAAGTGACTTGAACCGGCCCAGGCGCAACTTCCTTACTCAATCAGGCGGCAGGCTCTTGTACAGCATGCCTTCAGGATCGAAAGACCTCGACCCGTTCAGTGATCGACCTGGCAAACGTCGATCATGGACACTGGTTACTTCGCTTGTCTCATCGTGAGTCGACCTTGTCACAGTGTATGATCAATAGGCCCGCCGGGCCGTATTGAGCATGTCTTTTAATTGGAACGTGGAGCCTGCAGCCGCAGCCAGTGGCAATCTTCCGAGCTTTCAATTTGTACATGCCACTGAATCAGATAGTACGAATTCTGAGTGACGGCGTCTCCTCATACAATGTCGAGTGCATGACGCCGCTCTGCCAGTGCGCATGGCCACCTTTACGACCGCTTATGTATAAGAACTTGAAGCTTGAATGTCCGGTCGGCCCGTCGCTATGGTTTGCAGCTGCACCAAATATAAGCTGATACATTTGGATCGGACGTCACACACCGCGCGCTGCTATTTGGACGGTTTACTTAGTATGAATGCCCCGCCCATAAGATAAGAATGGGATTCAACGGTGTATACTTGACTGTAATTCCTATGCACTCCACCTGAAGCTCTCCTGGTTACACTGGATCTATCTTGCATACTCATTGCATCCCATGCTCGAGGAACGGATGCAGCATCATGCATGAGGTGCAGGACCACTCACAAGATCACAAGCTCGACTGACTTCGCAAGGCATGATAATGCATCATCCGGTCACAATTGGAACGATATGATATGCCCTTTGCGTCATCCGGTCACAATTGTAACGATACGATATGCCTTTTGCGTCTCAGGGAACTGTCGTCGACCACGACAGGATCATTGGATCTCAAGGTGACACACTTGCACTGCAGAAGTATGGCACGTTGACAGCCGAAGTATGCATCGTCGGTTGACCTCATAAGTCCGAAGCCCCAAGCTCGGCTATCTAAACGCACTGCTGATCACGCTTTGCCACCAACCTTTGGATACGAATCCCGCAAGGTGACCGTCCGGTTGAATATCGTCCGACCTGGCTTCGAATCCGTGTCAACGCAAAAGTACCCTGCGCCGAAAAGGTCACGTGTCAGGCAATATATATCCACATTCCGCCCTTCCTTGACGAAGTGCAGCCGACAATTTAGCAGGTCTACTAATCCGTCCACCATGTTCCGTATCCAGGCCTGAGTTCTAAACAAGTCGAGAGTACACTTCGAATAATTACATCGGCCGTGAGCCGACCACAAGAATAAAAGCATCTCTGCAGAACGACCTACGCTCCATCCTGACCACCATAATTCTGAGACTACGATAAGCAAGCGCAAGGATTTAGCATTGCGTTACTAATGCACCCCATCTCACCAACGGATTGTTCGTATCCAGCAAATGGGCACAACATGTATCTTCCGTGCGTCTCCAACATCATCTGGCCTGAATCCGCCCAAAAGGGTAAATCCATTACGTGCCATCTGAATCAAACATGAACCTGGACCGCCGCCGGGTTCTGTCAGCAGCGAGACCTGTCTTCGCAAGAAGCTCTTTGAATCTAACGAGAGCATGAAAATGAAAACTCACCCAGGCGCTCAAACTGGAACTTGTCCCCAATCCGGGCGTCCGCCAAATGGGGCACTGCCAGAGCGTCCGAAATCACGGTCTTGGAGTTCGGATTCAGGTCCGCTAGCCAGTCGTCCAGCTCGTTCGGGTTCTGCACGAACGTTTTCCGTGTGTCATATAACCTTTTTGCGATTTCAACAAGCTTGGCGCTTACTTTGAACCGGGCTCAGGAAGTTAGGCAGTTGTCCCGATGAAGGGTGCAAGCACGACAACCTCCTCGATGTCCATCCTGCTCGCGCAATCCGCTTTCGTTGAAAACGTAACAATGACTGAAACGGAAATGAACAAGAAAGCAGCGGCGAAGACCACCGCAGGAAACGAGGGGCCGTTGCTTCTGACGACGACAAACTACATCTGAAGGCTGGGACGCTGTATAGAGTACGTCAGATCCATGACGAGTTGTCATCGAAAGACCTGACACCACTCACTTTGCCAAAGTGCGGCGAGAATCCTTACCTCGGACTTGAACAGCCGGTCAATCAGCCGCACCTCCACCTTGAGGGGCGATACGCCAGGAGCGGGTTCAGAAACCCAATGAATGACCCCCTGTAAGCAGGATTTACGCACTCTGTTTCGGATAACTCCTAACTCGCGGCTTCTTCTGGCTGGTGCCCAACTTGTAAGTAGATAAGCCGCAGGAGGTCGATACGCAGATTCAGAGACCGGATCCATAAGAAAGCGGAGAAACGAAGTCCGGTCCTGACGGTCTCCATTGATGCACCAGGAGTTCTTGCAGACGGGCGGTGATTGAAGGTGCTCAAGTACCGAGTTCGACTAGAAGCTACTGGAATATGGAAACGACTCCGCCGTGCATGGCGCGTTGCACGGCTCGGAATAAAAGAAAGTCACAGGAAGAGCACCTAGTCCGTAGAAGAGGTGCGTTCATCTCCACACTTGCAACACAACCACGGGGCTTTGCTTGGCCGATCCAGCTTTCGAGCTGGTGCAACCCAACGTTTTCAAAAAGACAAGCGGTTTTCTCTCAAATAAGAGACCAATGATTGCGATTTGAGGGGAGTGGTATTTCACAGGCGTTCGGCAGGGCCGTCGACAATTGTCGCTCGAACCAGGATTGGCGGTCCTGACACCAGCATCTAAAGCCATAGTCATCTGCGAAGCGTTGCCTTGACTACAGTACGAAGCGGAGTCGTTTTGTTGACAGCCGTGATTATCTGGAGCAAGAGTTTACGTGGCAATCATCAAAGAGACGCCGCTCTCACCTTTGGCTTCGTGCTCTTCTCCGGGTCGTACGTCGCCCGCACTTCCACAATCGTCTCGTTGTCCGGCCCCGTTACGATTTCGGTGCAAGTGATTGGGTACGCATATCTGCACGAGGTCAAATTGCTTAGCGAGCAAGGAGGAGCCTTAGCTCAACTTCTAAGACCGATATGGTCATGCACAGAAGATTTTACGTGCGTGCTACATTTTCTAGCTTTGGCTGTTTATAGTCCGTCAGCAACAAAGCCGTCCTGGAGTAGGCGGCTGAAAGGCCCCCACGAAGTTAACCGTGGAAAGCCTGAATCTGAAAGCCTCGCTATCCCTGGATAATGACGTAGCAGCAAAGTTGAGGGAAACACGATTGCGTGCGGCACCTTGCGAATGCGATGCCAGAATTGCGCCAAAGACGGTTTTTACACGGCCTGAAAATCACGAGTGCCCTGTCCACATGCATAAACCACAGGCGGCCTGCCGCATACTCGTTTGTGCTCATTTCTAGGAGAATTTATAGCTTTGTGTTGCAAGGACTCTAGAGTAGGTAGACTGCTCTACCAGCATGTTCGCATACTGTGGACAATCTCTGGAAGCCGTCAGCACCTACCTGAGCATGACGGTCTTTCCCGGCGCGAGGCCGTAGTAGTCTTTCGAATCCTTTAGCCGTACGTCCGTGTCCTCGATGTAAATCACCCGGGAGAAGGGCACCTGCAAAAAGAGACGAGCGGGGCTTTTGGATCTGTCACGTCTTGCTCAAGAAGACGTGACAGCAAAAAGTCTTCCCTTTCTCCCCTACTCCGGGACTGATCTCTTTTTGCAAATACCTGGTGCGTGCGCTATCGGATTTTCAGCAACGTCTTGTTCAGCGACGATGGGAAAAGGCAGGAATTCGACCATGGTGAAAGCCAAGGACTCGAGCATCATATTGATAACGGAACGGACTTGCTGAGGAGTCGTCAGTTTCAGTTCCTCGGCAGCATCGCTCCCCGTAACAAAGCAGTTGGATCGCAGCAACGAATGCTCGGTTACCCTCTTAGCCGACCCTGAGAGGCTTTTGGCCATCCGTGCCGACTAATTACTCGCTCAAGTACCAGCACTTCGCTTCCAAACGTTCCTCAGGAAATGTTTCTCACCAATCAGGGCACGAGAGGATCCCAACTGCATAACTGCGTTCAAGTAGCTGACTTCATGCGGGCGCGCTATTGGTTGAATGCAAGCCCGCAAGCAGCAACTAGCATGGGGTGTCCCACCTTGTACGTGCCGTGCCCCTGGTCCTCCTTGATATCCGGCCGCACGAGCGCCTCCAGCTGCTCCACGTGTCCCTCTGCCAGGTTGGTGATGACAACACGGACGGGTTTCAGCACGACCATGGTGCGCGCGCTGCGGCGGTTCATGTCGTCACGGATGTGGTGCTCCAGCAATTCCATCTGGATGATGTTGTCACTGCAAGATAGCGGAGATGACGTCAGCATGAGGGGGAGAAAAACGTCAGCAAGATGTCAGCCTCGTCCATGGCTGTTAGGTCCATGGCTCACGCTACGGCCTTGTAAAAGTAGTATACATGTCAGCCCCAAAGCTGGTTACGGCCTAGTGCTCTACTAGATGGTGCTTTCGCCACGGGGTGGAAGAGACGACGTCAGCACGTCCGCGGACAAAACGTCAGCGTAGGACAGCACGACACGAAAGATGACAATGGCAAGATGTCAGCCATAGAGCGAAAAAAGGCGGGATGGCGGACTGGTGCTGAAACAACTTCATCAGGATGGTGTTGCCGCTGGCAGGGCAGTGAAAAACTAAACCAAGGAACCATTTTTTTGGAAGGAGACAACCGATCGTCCCTTCTTCCAAGCTTCAATTGTATGTCATTAACAGGTTTCCAAAGGCTTGGACTCCAAATACTGAGGTGGGGAAGCCCTGGTAGCTCAAATTGGATAAAGTAAAGCCTAAACAAGAAGGCGGCGCCAGCCCGAATTATAGGCTACGAACCACTCAGTAAAGAGTAGCAAGGGCGGACCGTCATATCATCATTTCAAAGCAAAAGAGGCTCTATATCGGGTAAAAGCTGATGACGAAAGCAGATGCAGGTCGGTCTGGGCGAGGAAGCTGATGACGTGGGCAGCGAGTCAAAAGTAGACCCACGTCACCCAACGCACCTGATCCTGTGATGCCGATCCATTATTTAGACAAAAAGCGAAAGCCGCCGATAAAAACGTCATTTTGGGACAGTCGAAAAGAGGGGCGTAGACGCACCTGCGCGTAATGCCGAGCGCTCTGCAGAACGAGTTGATGGCTTCCGGAGAGGCGCCCCTCCGCCGCAGGCCCGCTAGCGTCATCAGCCGGGGGTCGTCCCAGCCGTCCACCCAGTGGTCCGTCACCAGCTTGTTCAACTGCGGGAAAAGTTTGAAGTTTGAAGTCAAAGGTCAAAACCTCAAAATCAAGGAAAGTTCAAAAAGGTGGGAACTATATTCAGAAGACGGGCTTGATAATATCTAAACAGGTCAAGCGAGGGCGAAGGGAAGGAGAGACGAGTGAGAATCAACCGCACCATGACCGGTCCAGTCGCATGCTTGCACAATGTCGGGCAAAGTACGAGACGGATTAACGGGGCGTTTGTGCAACTAAAGCGCAGTTCGTCGTGCTACTCAAGTCGGCCCGTTTGGCCTGACGCATCACGATTGGCAATCAACCATAGTCTCGTGGTGTGGCAACTAGCCACACAGCATCAGAGCAAGCCCCTCTCCGGTGCACGACAAACGAACCCTCAAAGAAAAGAAAGATCAACCGGAACTGGTGACACGAGAAGGAAGAGAGTTCAGAGCCTACCTTCCGCATGGACAGCACAGTGTTTGCGATGCATAAGCTGAAGACCCCCTCTCAGGTACGCGGCAATTGAACTTCCAGTGGGGAAAAAGGAGCACTCGAAAGTAAGAAACTAGTAGTGGAACAAGGAGGAGGAAAGGGGAGAGACCTACCTTTCGCTTGGACAGCACTGTGTTTGCAATGCTGAGCCGCGCATACTCCCACACGTGCGGCAGGTACAGCCCCAGCGCCTCCAGCAGCCAGTAGTACGACGCGCGGCGCGTCTCGAACTCGAGAGTGCACAACTGCTCAAAAATGGAGAAGTTGTTTAGTTACTTTTCTTGATTTCGATTGTGTTACTGAGAGCTGCATGGGCTCTGCGGCTTGCTTGATGGTTGAAACCTGTCACCAAGGATGCGAAACCAGTAGTACGACGCGGGGCGCGTCTCGAACTCGAGAGTGCACAACTGCTCAAGAATGGAGAACATTTTTCGAAACTTTTCCAAATTCGATTGTGTTACTGAGAGCTGCATGCGCTCTGCGGCGCAGTAAAGCTTGCTTGATAGTTGAAACCTTGTCACCAAGGATGTGAAACAGGACTTCGACATTTGTGCGTGCTTTTCCGACCAATAGAGATGTCATGCTAGTAAATGTATACATCATGTCAAGAGCCAAGGCTAAGTCTCTCGGACTCTGTATGTGAGAGCCATCAAGTCCGGCAAAGATCCTCTTTGTACTCCTCCATAGGTCCAATCATGCAGGATGAGCGCTAACAGTAACATGAGACGTTCCGACAAGTGCTGGCAGTCTGTTTCAAGTTCACTTAAGGAACAGCAACCAAAGGGAGGGACGCGATTGCAACGAGCAAAGCCAAAAACAGATAACGATCTAAATGAGCATATAGAGGCACGCTGTCAAAGCAAACAAGCTTAAGGATTATTTGCCCCCAAGCGATGGGAACAAAGCAGGACGTACCGAGTGCGTGATGTTCTCCAACGAGTCGACGATGCAGTGCGTGTAGTCGTAGCTGGGGTAGATGCACCACTTGTCGCCAGCATGCGGGTGGGGCGTATACTGCACGACGATTTCAAGGCACGTTAGTGCTTGTCACGATCGAAAAACGGAGAATGAAGAATGCTTGGCGGCCAGCTACCAAAGTTGGTTAGCGAGATTGGCCTTATGGCATGCAATCGGAAGCACTCGGCGAACGTTATGTAGTACTGCTGCCCTACGATCGTCGGCCATTCTTTGTGCGATAAGCTCTCGAAACCGGTCACCCGGCTTCATTCTCGACCGAATGCTTGGACGGGAGATTGAATAATTCCCAAAGCAATTCGTTTCAATCCAATCTGCTTAGAGATGTTTCACGCAGTAGAGGACCAAATACAGATGGTGCTCATCCGGACCAACGCCAGCATTAAGCAGAACGAGCTGTTAACAGCTCCCTTCGTTAAGTTGCAACTGACTCCAGCCCTCACCTTTATCCGGTATGCAATCAGGTCGAACATGTTGAAGTTGTCGTTCTTGACGTCCTGCTTCATGCGCAGCGTGGCGGTGCCCTCTTCCCACAACCCCCGCCGCATCTCGTCAAACAGCCGCAGCGACTCCTCCGTTGGACGGTTCCGCCACGGACTCTCTGCGCGACGCTCCCGGAAGTCCTTGATCTCGTCCGCAGTCTGAGGGGAATGCGTGGTGTCAAGAAGTATTCGAATCAAATCCAAACTTGATTTTTTTTGTGAGAGCGTCTGCGACAAGACAAGCAGTAGCCTCGAAGGGCTCCGAGAAGGTGAGAGGTCAAAAGCGCTTGATGGCTTGTCTTACTGAAGCCTTTGTATTTCGCATCTTCATGCAGATTGCATATCATGTCACTGGGCGTAACGGCATTCTTCAGAATCAAGAAGGGAAACGTGAGTCTTGAGAAAAGCTCTGCCAGCTCGACTACCAGCGATGTCAAACTCCCGAAGGGCTCTCCTTTAACGGTTCGGGAGTTTCTGTCTAGATCTTTGGTTGAGAGAAGTGGCTCGATGTCACTCCTCTCAGAATCTTACAAATGGAACGGTCGGAAGCTTGCAGAGTTTTTATGGAGCGTTTCAAGGCTTTGCAAGGCTAGTGACGTGCGATTGAGGGGTTGCCTGGATGAGAATAGGGGACGGCAGGTGTCAAACACTCAATTGGTCCGGTTGCGAGAGAAAAGCCCGCGAGCAGTCGGTGCACGACAGAAAGTATCTCACCTGGTGATCGACGTACGCATGTCCCCGCTTGATCAGCTCTACCGCCAGGTCGTAAAGCTCCTGGAAGTAGTCGCTCGAGTACGTGATCTGCGAGACAGAAAGAGAACAAAGTCCAAGGAAATGTCAGCTGGGCGCCGAAAGCCAGTCACTTGATCAGTGCCAAAACAACCGACAGAAACATCCTCGCTCAAGAGGTAGGACGAGTTTGGAAAGAGCGACCGCTGGGCAGACGGCTTGCAAGCTTGTAGCACCGCAGGAAAAAAATGTAAGTCAGGAAGCGTGCCGTGCGATATAGCCTCTTCTGCAGATGCAACCGCCTTCTTACCGAACGCCTTTTCACATTGTAAGCTAGTCGTTGTCCTCAATTTCAAGGCCGGAGCAGCTCGCACTTTCCAAGATGCAATCAATGTAACACCCTTTACGTTATGCAAAGCGCAACTTATGCATTATGCGAGCTCTCTCTCATTCATGCGGAATGTTTGCGGGTTTGGAAACTTGCTCACCTTCCAAGGCTTCCAGCCGAGCCAGCCTACAATCTCCTGGATGTGGTCAATGTACTCCTGCTTCTCCGCTTCGGGGTTCGTGTCATCGTACCGTAGATAGCACCCCCCGTCCCGGTCGTGCGCCAACCCGAAGTCCACGAACATTGCCTACATGCACAGGAAATTCCAGTCTAGTTCTCTTGTTAACTCCTTATCGAATTGGTCGGAACTGGTCGGAACTGCGTGGCAGTCGGAACTTTGCCTCGTTGTGCCGCACCTTTCTCGTCTTCGCAAGCGGGAAAATAGCTTTGGATAGAGCGTCCGAAAAGACACATCCTCGAAGAAAGCCTGCAACTTTGCTTGGGAGGTCCCAGCTCCGTAAAAGCAGTTGCAGAGCGAATGGACAAACGTCTCAGAAGAGAGTTGCAGAGCGAATCGACAAACCCCTCAAAAGTATCTTCGTCAGCTCGTTTTCACGGTGTGCTCACCTTCGCATGTCCAATATGAAGATAACCGTTCGGTTCTGGCGGAAACCGAGTCAGAACCTTGCCCCCTGTCTCCTTTAGATGCCGTGCAAGCCTCTCTTTGGAGTTTGCGGGTCGCCAAATGTTGCCGTCGCTATACCGGATCTCCGTATGGACCTGGAAAAAAAGCGTCGAGACAGCTTCGCTAAAGCTCTGAGCGTCCGTCCTCAAGAATTATCGCAGTTTGTTGCTTACGCAGGGCGTTTGGCTAGTCTCCGAACTTCGCAGAGGATCGAATGCTCGAGACAAATTTGGTGCTTGAAAGTTCTCACGGACCAAGGGGGGGCGGTGGTAAAAAACGCGAGATAGATTGGAGGCGGAACGGGGACGTCTTTGTTCTGTTGTTCAGAAACTTAGCGGACTAAGAGTCTCTCGCTGCAGCCTTGACAGAGCTCGCGAAACGGTGATGAGGCAAAGAGCAGCTTGCCAAGTAAGCTCCGCCAAAGTATTCAGGATTGGTATCATGTTGCCAGATTGCCTCCAACTTTTTGCGTGCATACTTGAATGGGCTCACTTCTTCTCTCAACTGGCCTACGACACAAGGCTCAGGCTGCTTTGTCGAGCTCGGGGAGCGCCCTTGCAACCATTGCTGCATGCAGAAGGTTTGTCCAAGCACTGAAAGCCATCTATGCACGAGCAGCTCACCTGGAAGTTGTCCGCAGGTTTCGGGAACATGGCAAACGGGTCGCTCTCCTCCACGGGCGCTGTCGTCGGGCCATTGGCTTCCGCTGCCTTTTCCTGCAGCGTATAGTTTCCGCAAATGTTGACGCTAATCTCTCGATCCAGAAACCCTTTCATCGGCTAAATCTGCGGCCGGATTTTGACCTTGATGAGACCGGACGTGGGCTTTCAAGCAGCGTTCACCTGTGTGGCCCTCCGACATGTTACTGACGGAATAAAGTTACCAGGAGCTTTGACTCCCCGCCGCTGCAAACTGGCTTCGAATCTGCTTCAGTGGGGAACTCCCGGAAGTGCTGGAGCGAACTTTTTTGGATAGTACGCAGGCTCTTGGAGAAAAACTCGGAACTAGCATGTGAGGAGAATATGCAAAGGGCGTCGTCAAACTCCCGCACCCTGAGACAAGGCATCAATGCCCAATCCTCACCTCTTTGGGGGCTTTGGCAGGCTTGACCTTCTTCTTCTCAGGCTTCTTTTCGTCCTCTGCAGTCTTGGGTCCCAACAGCGCCAATAGCTGCTCGTCCAACTCAACCTGCAGAGGACTCCGACACTTAGATCCATGCGACTAACGGCGTCATCCAAAAGTGGGACCCTCGTGAGCGGCATGACCATCGTCCAACAATCTAGAGGCCTGACTCCATGATGTGCCATTCGCGCTCATGTCGCTTGTCTGTAAGTCGACCTCAAACCTTCTTTGACTGCTTTTCAAGGTAGATTTACGGATGCTCGTTCATCTACGTTTTGACAGGTAAGCACCATCCACAGGTGCAAATCACCAATCTTGGAGTCGGCTGCAGATGCAGCCTGAGCGGCCTTCCAAACACTTATCCATTTGAATCACAAAGAGATAGATGCCGTTTCACCGGAAAAGTGGTGGCTACGTCTGAAGCATTTTTAAAAACCCCGTACTCAAGAAGGTCGTGGACTGCTAAAGGAAGGAGGGCCGTCAGCGCATAAGAGTGAAACGAAAAGTCGACTTTTCCTGGAGATTGCAACAGGCATCAGGTGTGAGTTGAAGAGCTTCGATTGTCAAAATCACAGCTCTTTCAGTTCCCTCACCTTGACAAGCTTCCCGTCAGCGAAGGGCAACTTTTCCCGCACTGTCTTCTGGATCTTGCCGGCTGAAGAAGCACGAACAGAAAGTGGTCAAGGGCGTTCCGAGGCGACCCCGACTTGGCTTGCCTGCTTCTTAACTCAGATCAAAGTCGTTCGTGCTACGGAGTAGTTGGGTCGTAGATCTGAAAGCTTCTGGAACTACGCTCTTGCTCGAGACTGACAGGGAAGGCCTTACACTGGGTCCCGAAAGCCCGGAAAAAATGGTTTGTCGGAGTATACATATACTCAGCTTCTTGAATACGGATGCGGGCAATGGTCATGACCGAATCTCGAATACTTTCGTGGAGTGCACGTTTAAGTAGGAGTAAAGCTAGTTCCATTGGTAAACAGACAAAATAACAAGCCATTGAATGCGGTATCAAACGGCTTCGTAGCTACCCAAGCAACTTCGCATCTTATTGTAACTCCAAGTTACTGCATCTACCCTGATAGTAGACACGCTGACCAGTCAGCTGATACAATTGTGGACCTCATGACGACTGGGACACTGAATAGGACGGAAAGAGGGCGGCGAAGGGCAACAACTAGTCACACCTGGCTGCAATCATTCGACTGTATCAGCGACATCAGTGGCAGTTTCTGCAGGAAAAAGAGCCGACTTGAGTGATGCTGCAGAAAAGGAGGAGGAAAAAGTCGCAGGTGCTGCCGCTCACTGTTTGCTTTGTACCGCTCCACGAGTAAGCGCTCCTTGTCGGCTGCGAGGACCTCTGCCACCGCCGCCTTGATCTGCTCCGGCGTTACTTCCACACCTGCACACAGGCCAAGTTTTGGTTTTCACCTTTCTCAATCGATTCACTGCAATCGTCTGGCGGCCTTGACTGTCGCTGATGCTGAGTACTTTCTTCTCATTTCTTGGTGCTTGTCTTTGTCCGTTTCTAGTCGGGATGCATAACGAAAGCCAGTCACTTCCAAGCGAAAGCGCAAATTAGTTTGAGGCTCCACTAATTTGGCGAGGGGTTTTATTGCCGTTCTATAGAAGCTTCCGAGTGCAACCACCAACATGCACCACCAGCTTTCGTATGGCAGGACGTGAAAGCGATTGTGGTCGTAAAAAGGCATCCTATGCACTCTCTTCGGATCTGTTAAGTTCCAGATCCTATGTTCAACTGTGCGTTTTCGAAAAGACCTCAAGACCCGTCTTTAAGACCCAAGTGCCAAGAGACGCACTCCATGAACAACTAGACTGGTGAGACACGCACCTACGCCTGCCTTCTCCTCGAATTCCGCTACATTGAGCTCGTCCCTCCCCACAGTGGCGAGGTACTCAAAAGCGGCCTCAACCTGGGGGATGCTCTTGATCTGCAGTGAGGGCACAAGAATTTCTTTGTTTGCCAACATATTCTCGAGTGGCCCTCTGGCACTCTAGTTTTCAAATGGACTGGGGTCAACTTGACGAAACCATCAGGGCAATTTTCGACCAGCCTATGATTGGAACACAGATTGAACCACAAAAGGTGCCATACTTGTTGGAGTCAGTTTCTTTCAGACAGGCAGTGTCTCGATTGATGTAATCTTGACAGTGAAAAGAACGTGTGACTCACTCAACAAACAGTTGAGGTGCTGTCATGTAAACGCTGTATTCTGCTTTTCAGATAGAACACTATGCTCACAGCAATCTGACCGCCATCATACTCGAAGTCAGTAGTGGGAGGCTGTCCAAAGGGGAGGCGACACAAGACTGCATCTTGGAAAGCAGCTATGCACGTACAACCAGACTCTCAGATCGCAGGCTCACCCGGCCATCAGCTATGTACTCTAAGAAGTGCTTGCGGTGGCCGAGGGCGTTTGCAGGGAACTTGGTGGCAGTCTGCAGAACCACGCATTGGCTTTGAATCGTGATCCAACTTTTATCATTAAGGCTCTGCTGTTATTATTCTCACAAAGTAGTCAGATCACTCTTTCCACAATCCTGCAGCTTCCAAAGGGGTGATGAGTTTCACAACATGCCGCTCTCATATGAACAGGAAAGTCATTACTGCTACTGAGAGACTTTCTCTAGAAACATCAATCTTTGACGTCAACAAGCTCCTCTTCTTCAAGGGCGTTCCGGTGACAGATAGGAGATTAGCAAGATGTTCGCAAATCAAGCGATTGCTTGAGTTTTGCATTGTGCTTACGGTGTAGAGGTGGTTGCCAGTGACTCGATCGCACCCTGCGCTTAGGCCCGCCTGCACAAGAAGGGCAGACGGTGGTATGCAAAAGTATACAAAGTGAAGTAAGGCGTCATTTGAACTCCGCCTTCCAAAAGTTTCTTTTGTCGTGAGTCCACAACAATTGGTTCTTGTTGATCCGAGAGCCATTGCAAAGGCGTCATCCTCAACAGATTCTTGAGTGCGTAGGCGCAACTTTCGGCATTATTCCTTCTTCATTGGTACAAAGACCTGCACAGCAACCACTGCAACATCATACTCACGGTACATCTGGCGCACAGGAGAAGTAAAGCCTTGGAGCGCACCTCATCAATCACGGCAATCAGGTTGTTTGTGACCTTTGTGTTCGCCACCGTCGTCTTTGCCGTCTTCTCCTCAATCCCAATGCGCAGGAAAAGAGCCACAATCCCCTCGTTGTCTACATCTTTTGGCCCTGTTTTCCCAGGTTCTTTTGGGGACGCCATGACTGCTTGAAACAGCGCCACCACCTGTAGATAGTCGCGCGCTTGAGCTTTGAGAATGAGCTTTGAAGCCTTTGATCGACGAATCATGAACGTGTATACCAGCCCTGACCAGACTAACCCGCTATGGTTACAAGGAGACCCAGTTGTGTACCTATGCCCAGAGGGCGCAAGCACCAGGCAAAATCCTCGTGCGAGCAGATTTGTAAGTGGACGGGTCCTTGCATTCTCAGGTGCCCACAAGTTCGAAAGTGTTCCAATATGTTCACTGATGCTCTCAAAAGGTTTCCGCCAAATTCTGGTGCTAGCTGACCATGTTTCTCAACGTCCAAAAAAAGGGGGTTTTAGCTGGTAATAGCAGACATGGGTCCACTCGTCAAATGACACCAGAGGCTCCACCGGCCGGGCGGACCCAAAAATCTGTGCCAAATGTTGCTAAAGGACCATATAAGACGCCTGCAAAATTCTGTGGACGCCACCGCGGTGGAGCCCTGAGCTCGATTATTTTGCCTGGGTGCTTGCGCCCTCTGCCTATGCCGTTCCAAAATTTGGTAGCAGCCGTAGCTAGTCTACAGGAAATATGAAACGGCCCCGTAACCGTAACGTAACCTGCAGGTTATCTTGGTGGGGTTCGAATATCAACACAGCTTGCAGCTCAGTGCAAATTGCAATCTCATGCTGAGATTCAGAAGAGGCAGAATGGCGCCCAAAGCGTGGTGGTGAACCTGAGGTCAGAAGTTCTTTACCTTCTTGCTACAGATATTACGAAGTTGATTGCAGCAAACAGGACTCTGATTGTGAGATCAACGCGTCAACAATGAAGCAAGGGGCGGGCTTTGTTTCTCGGGTAAGCACTGCTCTCGACAGAGTACTTTATCACACGTACTGCAGAAGATCCGCTGTTTCATTTAAATGCAATACATGCAGAGTCAAAGGATTTGATTGGGATTGGCTTTTGTTGGTTTGGTGGCGTTAGAGGGTTTGATGGTTGTATCTTACTTTTGGCGGGCGGCGTGGGGGCACATTCTTTGTGTTGAGTTTATTTGAGCGCTCCTTTGAATGAAGAAGATACAAAGCTGGTTCCAATATAACAGAGATACGCGGTTGCTTGTGTAAGGCCAACTGCATTGAAAGTGCGTGATCCTGCGAAATGTCCAATTTTCATACGCATGTTAGCAATCTGTTAAAAGTTGATGGTGCTTATCGCATCCCTTAGTATCCTAAAGAACTACTGTCACTTCATGGTGAATGCGATGGTCTCTTTCCTAAGCGGCGATTCTGCTTCCAGTTCTTCCGGATGCATAGCCATATGCTGTACCCCAAACGCTGTGATGAGGCTGTACCCCGTCAAGGTTTCAGTTATTCAGGCGCTCCGTTCAGACTAATCTGTGACATGTCCACGGTCTTACGTGTGGCCTGTTGGCCTGCGCACTATGAATGCGTTCAACCTTGCGTTTATGTACCACCGTTCCTATCACATCGGTGCAGTCATGTCTTCTTGAACACCTCTTGCTTTGCAGCCCTTAGCTTTTGGGCCGATTCCTGGAGTTGGGCCGAATTCTCTCTTGGAACAGGTGCCTTTCTTTCACTGACCCACACTTTCCTTATGCAGGTTCTCCCTCAATCTTGTTGCCGCCAGACTGCATCAACCAGAATATATCTGCTGCTTTCACTTGTGCTACTAAGTCATTGGATGCTGGCGGTGGATGCTATCTCAGGCAGGCTGCCCGATGTTGCCCTTAGAGGGGTTGCTCCTGCAGGTAAGTGCTCTCAAGCTTGACGGCTTATTTACGAGTCCCTGTGCAGATTGTATCAGCTTGGCAAGATCCCTGTCCTGAGGCCTGACAGGTGCTTTGTGACATTCTGGCCTCAAGGGATGAGTTGCAGCGCTCAATTGTCACCAAAGCCCGATGTTGGCTGAGAGTGCTGAAAAATCGCGGTTGCCTTTTCAAATTACTCAAAGAGAGGGCATCAGTAGCATGGTCTATCGAAATAGCTAACAATCGCCAATGGCCACGATGAGGGCAACACTTTTTAATCTGCTACCCTGGTTTTGGAGAAGAAAATTTTGAGCAGATTCCAACTTCTTTTCAGGAATCTCATTGGCCATGATTCCCATGTTTTTCCATGTCTCCAGACCTTGCGTTGTACGAGGCAGACCCCCTATTCTGCCGCGACCACTCCCGTAAGATCGCCGTCTCGCAGTTGAACGATGATTTCTGCGACTGCCCCGATGGCTCGGACGAGCCAGGTATGTGCTGCGCCCTCATCCCGCTATGCCGTAGTCAGAGTCACCTCTGTAGTTGCCTCTGGCGCCTTGTTTTGGTCGGTCCTATTCTTTCAATCCTGATACTAGTGCGATGCACTTTTTGTCAGGCATCGCATCGAACAATGTGTCGAGGGGTTTCAGAACTCGAACCTTGATAGTTATCTCTTCAGTTGTACATAGGCGTAGTTTGTTTCCATTTGCACTTGGACTAGGTGCTTGTAGTCTGCAAGGAGGGAAACGCAGACGGCTTTACCCAAGGATGATTATTCTGAAGCTCCTTTGAATACGCTCACCCGTCCTTCTGCAGGCACCTCCGCGTGTCCCGACGGCCGCTTCTACTGCCGCAACAAGGGGTACCACCCTATCAGTATCTTCTCATCGAGGGTCAATGATGGAATTTGCGGTGAGCGGATAAGTCCCTTCCGTGATTTTTGATCTCTAGATCCAGAATCGAGAGTGACGATTGTCGTGGTTACATCTTACTCAAATTGAAACCTGTCCCTCACTGTTTTGATTTTGGTTGCCAGACAAAACGCGGAGGTCGCCGTTAGTGGTGTAAACATTTCCTTTTTGCTTGACGCAGTATCCGTAACGCTTGAGCCGAGCTCTTCTTACTGTCGTTCACTTGTGCCAATGTTACCCATCAGCTCTGTTCCATTTTGTTGCTTACTCCTGTTTTCGCGTTTACTTGACTCTGACCACAACTTCTCCCGCTTGATTTTTGAATCACCCGTAAGTGACCACCATTGATTTCTATTCCATGTCAACAACACCCTTTTGTCCCCCGTCTATCCACTTGTCAACTTCCTTTCTTCTCATGTTGGCCTAATTCAGGAGTAGTAAGGGCCAGGTATAGTATGCTAACCATCCTGGGACAGGTGGGTTTAGTTTTGGGGTTTATGGTGGGTATGGGTGTGGAGCAGGTAAACTGTTGAGTTCGGTTTTCGGTGTTAGTTTAGAGGTTATTATAGCTGGCTCTTGTTTTACCTGCTATATGCCGTTCTCCTTTTTTCCCCTCCAGACTGCTGCGACGGCAGTGATGAGTGGGCCACCCCTGGGGCCTGCCCCAACACGTGCCTCCAGGCGGGGGCCGCATACCGCACGCAACTGTCGGCTGAAGCGGCCGCCTATTCGGAGGTGGGTTGTCGTTTTCCAAACCGAGGTTCACAACCAGGCATGAAGAAGTGGTCTACTAGCTCAGACTTTCAGTGTGGAAGCGAACTACTAGCTCTGCACCCCAGCACGAGAGCAAGCTTTTCCGTTGTTGTTTGCCTAACTGCATGCAGGGAAGGTCGGCAAACGTTCTGGCGTTCGTTTCTTGCTGGCAATCGGTTTTGGTCCGACAGTGTTCCTGTCCCGACATTAGATTGGGAACAGCATCCAAAACGATCGGTGCCCCAGGGTTGGGGGTGTTTTGTCTACAGGCTAAAGTGCTTTCCTTTTCAGCCACGTTCTTGGGTTAGAGTCTCCTTGGAAAGTTAGACGGGCGTAGGACTCCCACGTTATGAGACGGTTCTGGATGCTGAATCTTGCCCATAAGTCGGCTCTACTATGCCCATCAGACCTGGGACCTTCAAAGTTCAGCGCCCACTTTGTTGGCATGGTGAAAGGCAGGGAACGGCAGACTTGTCCGAACGGCAAGGAAGTGGTGCGCACTTTGAGGGGCCACAAAGCGCTGATTTCTCACATGTTTGACGAATCCCACAATCCTAGAATAAAAGGACCCTAACGACCGACTAGAATGATGGGACTTAAAACCTGAAAAGTTATGAAAGCAATACACTAGCTTTAAGATACTGAAACTGGAAACCTGCTGCAGGGCCACAAGGTGCGGACGAAATATGTGGCCAAGGCTCAGGGGCTGCGGCAGCAGTGGGAGTCGCAGCTGGAGAAGGCCAAAGCCGACAAGCTGAAGCAGGAAGCCAAGGAGAAAGAGCTAAAGGGTGAGAGTGCAACGGATCACATCTGTCCTCTATTCGCATTTGCTGAGTTGCAAAGTTTGGCTACGCTTGGGCGACAGTACGCATGTTTGATGGCTCACAGCAAGATGAAAATCCAGAAAAACAAAGATCAAAGACAAGACGACGAAGCCTCGACTTGTTCGCTCTCGTGAAGCATGGTGGTTAGTCGGGTCGTCCCGTTTTATCCATTGTTTTGTCCGTGAATATGTATCCGGTTAACCTGAAAGTTGAGAAAAGCTCGGTTCACCAATCACGAACTCAAGTGAAGCTCTTCCTCCCAATAGCTCGCAAGGAGGCAGTAGAAGCCGCCAATAAGGTGTAGCGTGAGTGGAGCGAGCAACAAGAGAAAGCGGCCAAGGCTGCTGCGCACATACATATTCATTTTATCTAAGAACATCAACCGTACTTAAGCTTATCCCTTCAACAGCTCGCAAGGAGGCAGTAGAAGCCGCCGAAAAAGGCGCAGCGCTAGTGGCGCGAGCAACAGGAGAAAGCGGCGAAGGCTGCTGCTAGGAACCTGCACTACCCAGTCCTTCTTTGCAGAATGCAGAGACTCGAAAGCTTCTGAAATTTCATAGCTCGTAAGGAGGCAGTAGAAGCTGCCGAAAAGGCGCAGCGCGAGTGGCGCGAGCAACAAGAGAAAGCGGCGAAGGCTGCTGCTAGGAACCTGCACTACCAAGTCCTTCTTTGCAGAATGCAGAGAATCTAAAGCTTCTGTTTCTCAACAGCTCGCAAGGAGGCAGTAGAGGCCGCTGAAAAGGCGCAGCGCGAGTGGCGCGAGCAACAGGAGAAAGCGGCCAAGGTTGCTTTGCAGCCACATGATCCCTTTTCTTACATAATTGATCTTCTGCGAACATCAACCTCATTTAAGTTTATTCCTTCAACAGCTCGCAAGGAGGCAGTAGAAGCCGCCGAAAAGGCGCAGCGCGAGTGGCGCGAGCAACAGGAGAAGGCGGCCAAGGCGGCCGAACCCGCGGCCCCCGAGCAGCCCCCGGCGCTGGCGCCCGAAGGGGCCCCCGCTCCCCCAGTGGTCCCGCAAGAGGGGGGTCCGGAAGAGGGGCAATCGGAAGGGGGGGAAGAGGCGGAAGCTGCGTTGGAAGGGACAGAAACTGAGGGAGGGGGCGCGGAGGAAGGAGAAGAGGTGAGGGACTGTGTGGCAGTTTGTAAGCGAGTTCAAGTTTGGAATTTTTATGGTGTGCTTGGCCTGAAGAGTTTGCGTAGCGACAGGCGGGGTGCAGGTAGGGGGAGAGGCGGGAGTCTGACATCGAGGGGGCTGCGTATATGAGGAGGGCTTCCTTGCAAGTGGTGAGATTTTTCTGACGGAGTCTTCTGCGCTGTAGCGAGATTGTCCGCGCACTTTTGACGTTTCTCAGGAGCTCGATCTGTCGTAGTGGTTGGACGCACCTTCCGCGCTTTTCAGGAGCTTAGATTCAAGACGAAATTTACAGAATACATGAAAAGCAAGAAGGAGTGTTTGAGCGACTACCCATGTTCACTTGCACACGATTTGTATCTTGTCCTAGCGCAGTATTCACAAACACACATCTCCATCAATGTCCGTTCGTCAAGACGGAAGACTTTTCTTGTCCGACAGAAAGCAACTTTCGTGCGACTAATGAGACGACGACTTCTACACCTGTACATAGGAAGCTTCCACTTCGCCACAAGCATGACGTCATTCTTACCACTCCCCCCCCGCAGGCAGCCTCAGAACTTTTCCCCCCGGGCGAGGAAGATACAGCTGCGAACGCTCACAAGCTGTCTGCCTGAACCTTCATTCATCTGCAAGCATGGCGTAATTCTTTCTTGTTCCCCCCTGCAGGCAGCCCCAGAAGTCCCCCCCCTGGGCGAGGAAGACGCGGCCGCGCATGCCGGCCAGCTGTCAGCAGAGGAGCTCGGCCGGCGGGTGGCAAGCCGATGGACTCACAACGAAGAGGCGGTCGGGGATGTGCAACTAGAGGCGGAACAAAAGTTGGATCAAGAAGGGGAGGACTGGGCGGCAGAAGCGCGGGAGGAGGCAGAGCAGTACGGCGAGGTGGGGGGAGAAGAACTGGTGGAGGAAGGGGGGGAAACGGGGGGGGAAACCGGGGGGGAGACGGAAACAGCGGAGGTACCGGCGACGGAGACAGGTAAGCACGAGGAAGGGGCTGTATGGGAGAAAATGAAGATAGTGTCGCTTGAGCTTGACCTGTTTCAGTTTCCCCATCGCTGCACACTGTGTGCAGAACGGAGAAGCTTCGTGTGTGGATCAGCATCTTATGCGGAAGCTTTTCTGCATCCACTCTACTCCGTTTCTTTTCAAAACGCTGCCCGCAATCTTCACCACACGCTTTCTCCCTCCTTGAAACCTCCTCCTTTAATCTGCACATGGGCAGTCCAGAGAAATCGGCTCATCTTTCTATATGTCCAGTATTTGACAGTAAAGTTGGTTAGATTATGCAGGCTCACTCCTCGCCTCCGTGACCGGTTTCTTCCGGCGGGTGTTGCCTGAGTCCGTCGCCCGTCTAGTTGTCCCGGGGCCTCCCCCGCACGTGCAAGACTCAGGTGGGGCGCCGCTCACAATCTTATCGAAGATACTCGTTTCTTTCTGAATAAGCTGAGTTGAGGTATCGGCGAAGGAAACACAGACTGCAAACACGGCTTCGCTTAAGGGGAAGGTCATAACTGCAGAGTGGAGCGCTCGTATTCTTTTGTATCCTTATGCTGCTTTCAAGCTAAAGGCGCAGCCTACCTTTGTCGGTGGCGTATTGCAGGATCGTGTCGTCGCTTTTTCTGTGATCCGATGCCCGGTACATCATCGCGCATCTGCACAGATTAGGAGCATGCGTTTCGAGATATCGTCCCTGCTGCCAATAATGGGGATCTTTGAAGAAGGTTTACTCAGTCGGAAGAGCAAACTTGCGACGCTCTTGCACAAAGCAAGACCTCGTGGATATCAGAACGCTCCGAAGGCCGAGACCGCACCTGGCTGCGAGGTGAAGCGTATGCGTTTTGAACGGACGTCCGGATTGTCTAAGTTGAATCAGCTCTAGTTGAAAGCAACGAGCTCGAGAACCTTCTGGCGCCCCTTTCGGGCAAAACCCTATGCGTTCAACTTTCACAAGCCCTGAAATCGTAAAAGCTCAAAAGTAAAAACATTTTTTATTTTGCTGCAGAGGTGGAGAGCGTACGTGCGGAGTGGAACGTGGCGCAGTCGAAGCTGACGGAGTTCTCGTCGAAAGTAACTGACCTAGAGACGAAGCTTGGCCGCGACTACGGGCCGGACGACGTGTTTGTGGCGCTCGCGGACGAGTGCTTTGAAGTCCCCGTGAAGCAGTGAGCAACGACCCCTAGGTTTTAACTCAAGTTTGTTTTTCGGGTCTTCGTGATCACAGGTTCGAAGATCTGAAGGAAGGCGTTTGTGGCACTCTGCGAGTCCCTTTGAAGCAGTGAGCTACGGACCTAAACAGCCATCCCAAAGATCGATTGAGGCTTGCTTCAGGTTTGACGATTCTGCGATATTCGCATGCTCTGCAATACCGGAAGACCAGTATTGACCCTTCTCCGACTTGGATGAACTCTAAATTCTTAAAAAAGCAATTTTCATTCAGGTCTTGTCACTTTCTCAGAACACCTTTGACGTCGGAGTCTAGGATGTACCCTATCAAAGAGCCTGGATTCGAGGGGGGCCTTTCCCGATATCCTTCCTTACACTTTCTGCTGTTCTGCACATGTTGCTCGCCAGCACTTTTCTTGCTGTTTGGCACATGTTGATCACTTACACTGTTGATGCGCAGGTACAAATACAAGGTTTGCATGTTTGGCGACGCGACTCAGGAGGAGAATGGGCAGAGTGTCCGGCTCGGGTAAGTTTCCCAAACCTTATAACCTTGATATCTTGCAAAGCTTGAAAGACCAAAAGTAAGTACTCGCAATCAACCAGACCCCAACACCCTAGAGACAATAAACCCTTATTTGAAACCAACGCTAAAGCGGCTCATTGTGCCCCATCACACTCCTTTCTGAGTGAAACATGAGTTGCACATGCTGGACTTGATGTTGTTTTGTGGCACAGTGCGAACAATTCGTAGCTGCAGCTTCTATTCAAGATGCTTTCCGCCTATTACTTCCCCTGCAAACTCAGTCTTACGAACCCGAGGGTTTCGAGCCAGTGCCTGCAATGCGCGAATCTAAGACAGGCCAGTTTTTTCAAACACGCAAGTAGCGCCATTGACGGGAAGTCTTTCTTTGTTTCTTTCAGGGGCTGGGCAGGGTGGCTGGACAACTATAGCGCGTTCCACTTCACAAACGGCCAGCACTGCTGGAACGGGCCGATGCGGAGCCTCAAGGTACGGAGCGAGTCGGGCCTTTGGCAGACAGTGTTCTAGACGGTAGCTTTTATTTGATCTCCTTGAGATTGGCAAACTCTGTTTTACCGAGAATAAGACAAGCTGAGTGCATTCGAACTTTGGCACGGAGGGTTGATAGCAGAGGAGGGTAATCGAGAAGTGTCAGGATCAGCAACCGAACAGGAGTTCATCTCAGAGCACGTCAGATTGCATCTCTTCCTGTATATTCTGGCTCTGATATAAATGTGCGCTTCCCCTTTCTCAGGTGCGCCTCCGGTGCGGCCCTAAGAACGAGCTAAGCAACATCAATGAGCCAAGCCGCTGCGAGTGAGCCCGCGCTTTCTTTTGCTGCTTCTTACGTCCCCCGTTTCTCCTTCTATCTTGCGGGGAAACAAATGCGAGCATTGAGCATCTGAAGCTGTTGAATCTCTCCTTTTAAAAGTCCCCGTTCTCTTGAGCAAGCAGCGGTAAGAGGCAAGAGTAGGAACGTACATACAGGGCAGAAACGAAGTGCGGAGATGCGCGAGTCTTTTTTTTGAGTTGCTTTTGTTTTCTTCCGCTCGACCGGGTAGGACTGGTTCGATTAGAGGGAGAATATCACCAGAGCTTGCCCGTTAGCCTTCGCTCGTGATTGTCTGGAAGTAACATTTCATGCTTACAACGTAGGAGCTTGTAGTGCCTCAATTAGAAGCACTTAGGTGACCGCGCACGTACTCTGAGCCGCCTTCTGTCGGCTATTTTATCTTCTGAGAACTCTTCTCCAGAGTTGGATGCGACAAATATACTGATGATCTGTACGCCGATGCTCCTTGTACAAGAATCCAACATATCAAACCCGTTGATACTTCGTCAGTCGCATTTCCGTTCAAACCTTGTCAGAATTCCACGTAACCGTAAGCTCTTTTGATGGGTCATCGTTACTATTCTATCCTGTTTCAACATAGATTCAAGCGGTCAAATCGAATCACAGCATTCTGATATTTTGTGGGGGGGTCGGTCTGCAGGTACACGGCAGACTTGGCGACCCCCGCGCTCTGCACGGACGAAGCGACGAAGGTACTGCCTGCTTCTGTCATTTCGACACCTTCTCTTTCTTCTATCGCTTGGTTGATCATACCCTTCGCCGGGGAAGCAATTCATAAACGGTTGGAGAGCTGAGGCGTAGCTTTAAGTCTCCAAAGTCGGCTAAGCACTTCTGGAAGGCGTTTTGTGCCGAAGAAGCTCCAGTCAGTCTTTTCTTGCGCACGAGGTCCTTGCCCCACCTTTCGTTCCGACGGCAAGTAGTAAACGCCGAGTTTGCGAGCCCTTCTGCGTCTCCTCTTCTGCAACGTGGCGATTGGTCGCCTGGACAAGTTAGGTCAAGGGTGCCACGATGGTTTGCGATTGGCCGAGCTGCCCACCTTCGAAAGGCATCTCTCTTTTTTGCCTTTGAGGGAGCGGTTACCTGGGTACCTCGGGGAAGGTTTTGTTGACAATCCCATTTGCGAACGCGAATTCTACCGCGGTTGCTCAGGCCAAAGAACTTTGTTTGCCTTTGTGCAGGCTGTCAAGGAAGAGCTTGCCAGTGCCGAGAGGATAGCAAAAGAACTGAAGGACGAACTGTAAACGGATGTGCGCGGGAACTTATTTAGTCACAGATTAAGCACACTTTTTGGTCAATGAAACTGGTTTCGTATGAAGTACAAATGATGATGTGGATTGCTGTGCTTTGCCTGCGATCGAGGATCCCGGCACGGCTGAAGGAGGCCTATCCTTTGCACCCGCACCTCAGTCCCTACCTTTTGTCGAGGACATTGGCCCTGAGCGCCGCATGCGGACTGATTGGATCGTGTATGCATTGCCTTGGCCTCGTGGGTGACCGTTTGACTCAACTTTGGAGGCGTTGGGTAATGCTGCATCGGAAGCAGGCGCCGGTCAACACCAAGAGCACTCTACGACCCGAATTCTGCAAGTACATGCGCCTTCCCCCCGCCCTTATCCGACATGATTCGATGAGTTGATGAATTCTTTTGCACTGCACTTAGCCTGTACGCACGCCATATCACAAGTACACACAAACACGAATATGGGGCGCAGCTATCAAGACTAGTCTCTGTCGCATATAGTATTGAACCAGGCGCGAACGTTGTCAAGTGCCATATGAGTCATGTTACTAAAGCACGTACATGTACATGTGATTGCTGGTAACAGGCCTGCAATTTAGCGAGACTCGATATATTCTGTATATATATAGATCATCTACATCATTAGCATATAAACGTATGAATGATGCTGCCGCCGGTTTATAGACCGGGCCCGGCGATATTCAAAGCTCTAGGTTTGCAGAAGCCTGAGGGCACTCAGTTAAACATGTGCCTCGAACATATCGCTAGGTATATAATGACGGCACTAGATTTTTGATGAACTAGCTTATGTGCCAGAGCTGCAGCTATAAGGCATAACGAGAGTTTGCATGAGAGAAACGGACCGCGCGCACCCATGCACATAGTTTCGCATGGTCACTCATCGTTCGACTTACCATGGACATTACAAGCACCGGCAACGACAATCTTACCGCCTCAAGCTTTCACTGTGGACTTGAGGCATGCACCGTGCCCCTTTCGACAAGGCGGCAGCTTAAGCTGATATACCAAAACCGGGAACTCACTTGTGGGCTTGAGATCCTGTACACACGATGCCCAACGCCTAGCTTTATTATACGCTCGCTCAAATCATTACCGCGGCAACGACCATGAAGTCTGCCGAATGAAAACCAGCCTTCCACTCAACTTCCCTCTATCCTTTGCGGGCCTTTCTACTCTATAACTGCTTACCCCTACTCGTGACAACACTAGGCTGTTGATAAAGCTAGGCGCCTACGGAACTTAACCTACATACATTGGCTGTATCAATTTCAGGGCCGCTAGATCACCATTACCAGATTGCAAACCGTGACCTTAAGATTTTAATCTTGCCAACGGAAGCGACATAGGCATTTTAATACCCTTGTGACATTCGCGACTGCACTGGCCGTCGGCTCGGTTGTGCAGACCCCGGCCGCCGAGCAGGGCTAGAGGGCGGTTCCGGTAAAACTTGCTGCTTTTGATAGTTAAGCAGAGACGTGAGGCCTTTCACGACAACGCTCATCTTAGGCCGGAAGTCCGCCTCGTATTGGGTGCAAAGCGCCGCAACCGCCGCCATCTGGCAAGACAGGGGAAGAAGGATCAGCAGCTAATCAGCTTCCTAGGTAGTCAGAAAACGTGGCGTCAGAAATTGGGTGAACGAGCTGGATATTGGTTGCGAAAACACCCTTTACGAAACGTATATGTTGCGTTGCTAAACGAGTCCAGATGTTGCTAGCACTGTCACTGCTTCATACTATAAGATCAAGGCAACAGACAATCTCGGAAAAGACATACTTGCAGAGCGTGTGATGTGGTGTCAGCAATAGTCAGCGGGGCCTCACCTTTGCGACAGCCTTGGTCGGGTAGTCGCCGTTCAGCTTGGGGTCCATGATCTGCTTCACCTTGTCCTCCGTCAGCCGGGGCGTCGCCTGCGAAAAAGTCCCGCTGCTAGTTAGCGAAGCAAGGCAGCGGAAGTCGAGATGTTAGCGGGAACATGTCGGCTACGGGCCGGTATGTGAAAAGAACATAGACGGGATGGAGGATTCAAGGGTTACTTTCTGCAAGCGCCGAAGCGGAGCAAACCAGATCACGGACAACCTCGACAAGGCTAAGCAAGCTGCACAAGTCCAGCACGTATTTCAAGCGACGATGCTACTATCTCGTACCGTGCGTTGCATTCTATTTTTTCCCAACGAAGTGTCTATACCTCAGACGTGAATGTAGAATCCGAGCAGGACCCGAGCAAGGGGAGAGTCCACCACCAAAGCGAAGTCCAACAGAAGTTCTTTCAAATGGCTATTTACGACACTCCATGAAATTTGGAACGGGAGAAACCTGCACTGCGGCCTCACCCACGTCACGAGGCTCTGCTGGCCACGTGGCATCTTGTGATCCACCGGTTTCCGCCCCGTCAGCAATTCAAGCAAGACCACCCCGAAGCTGTAGATGTCACTTTTGGCAGACAATTGACCCGTCATTGCGTACTCAGGTGCGTGGTACCTGTCAATAAAAGCCAGAGTTCAGTCGAAGACGCGCCATTTCAGAAAACGGTTGTAACGACGGCAAGACTTTCCATTGATCAAGCTACAAGCAGGCATCTGTTTGAATGACAAATGAGGCACGGTAGGCACTCTCGTAAAGCTCCAGCCGAGTGGACGAAGAACGGTTTGCCGAAGCAGAATTGGCATCAGGAGGTGCAGACCGTTCTCGCTTGGATCAACCTACGAGAGCAATCGGTTTAGGTCCTGTTCTTGGCAAGCAAATCGCGACATGCGTATGAGAGTTCTGAGGAAAGTGTATCCTACCCGAAGGTGCCAAGGACACGTGTCGACTGGAGGCGCGACGCGGCGTCGGGCGCCAGGCTGGCGATATTGAAGTCGCCAATCTTGGCGTTCAGTTTGTCATCCAACAGCACATTGGACGATTTGATGTCTCGGTGCACAACAGGGGGTGACGCCCCTTCGTGCAGGTATCTGTGCGGAGCAGGAATGGTTTAAGGGCTGTAGCTTTGGAACACTTTCGTTTCGAGGGGTTAGGATTGCTCATGGCTTTGAGGTGAAACTTGATGTTGCGGTGCAGGCCCGTGAGCAAGCAACCGCAAGCGAGTTTCTGAGAACTATCTACACCGATCTCAAACACGGCGGCTTTACGAAGTTTTCACAACTCGCGGCACCTCCAATCTGCAAGTCGAGAACCTGCTTCCGACGCGCAGCTTGAAAACTTGGGAGGCAAGAGAGCCTCTTAGGCCGTGATTTTCTTCCGCACCCCGCTCATTTTTAACACAAGGGTCCCTTAATCTTGCTGCAAACCACCCAAGCGAGACCCTGGACATATTTGTAGAGGCGGAACTCACAAGCGGGACATGGGTTCAGAAGCACGACGGGTATCACGCGCTTATCGGGTCGAATTCCTACCATTTGGGTGCATCGCCGCCGATGATGACACGTCGTTGCCAACCTTCAAAAAGAGTGTCACGAAGGCTCTTGGAAGGGTTGGTAAGAAAGCGCAACTCACTCTAGGCCCTTGGCCGCCCCCAACGCAATCCGCACCCTCGCCATCCAGTCCAAGACGGGCCCTGGCGCCGACCCCTTCACGCCTTTCCTTCCTGCGAAACGGAGGCCAAAGAGGACGTGAGCGAGCGAGCGACTCGTGATTCGAATTCTGGGTTCTTGTGCACATCGGATAGGTCATCATGACTAAGATCGGTCCCAGGGTGGACAAAAGCGAGCAGATTTCATCAATCGAACGTCGATACGTCGTTGGTCACTGGTTGCAAAGATTGACGAGGGGCTCCTAAAGGATATTCTTGACGTTATGGTAAAGGTGACGCTTAAACGAGGCTGCTGACGCTCAGGCAGAATATAGCGCGCGGCGCGTCTCTGGACAGCCATAAAGTCATCTTGTTTCGTCTCAAGGACTTTCTACGTGTCATCAGTCCCATACATTCGAGCAAAAGGGCAAGCCTTCCTCCCAGCACGATGTCAACGATTGCCAAAAGAAAGGTGAAATGAACAAGAATGGCGAGCAGAATTTGACTAGCACCGCTGGATACATGCGTACAAAATGCCTGTGCTCTGCACGTTTGAAGAAGACAAACCTTTGATCTTAGATAAACACGGTTTCCTCTTCCTACTTGTTCCCAGGGACTCTTCTCACCGTGGATGTAATCGTGCAAGCTGCCGTTTGCGCAGTACTCGTAGCATAGGATCCGCACCGGACCCTCCATGCAGTAACCCAACAACTGGAGCACGTTGTCGTGCTTCAAGCGGCTCACCATTGCTACCTGCGACCTGCAAATGGGGGAAACCGTGGAGGTTTAGCGACTCAATTGTCAGGAAAAGCCTGAAGCTCAGGAAACGTAAGGTGACAATCTAAACGGTTGGGCTTACTTAGTGCGATTGGGGTGCGTTTGGGTGCGGAGTAGGAAAACTTCGGGGTTGGGATCCTCTTAGGCCTAACCATTTGCATTACAAACTACTCGTTCGTTGGAGAGTCATCGTGGCGAGCGGCTTCACAACTTGCTAGGCTGTTTCCAGACGCGCAGTTTGTGTGTATAAGCGCTCTCCAACTGAATGGAGTCGACACTGGCCCCTCGATAGGACTAAGTATCGAGAACAACCCAGTGAAGAACCGGCATCTCAATCGAATTTGACATGCTACCCACGTTTTTTTTCTTCCAACAGGGAAGGAAGTCAAGCCCCAGTAAGGCATGCCCTCAAAAGAAGTAGCGACGGCAAACTCCTCTTTTGGACAACCAAGACAACCCCGGAGGCAATTTTGCATAACGTCGACCAACTGTAAGCTTGCTGCAAACGAAGAACAAGGTACACTAGCACAAGACGTGAGAAGCTCGCTCCAGAACTCGCCCAGCAAAGAGGCACTGCAGTGTACACAGGACGAGAGATATTGTTTCTGACAGCTTCAGCCGCTTGCTGGAAGTCCGATCTCTCTGAGAGATTGACCTGTGTGTATACCAATCCGAAACTTCAAAACCTCTCCTCCTGCCTATTTCTTGCCGTGAGGTTGGACTTGCTATTCTTCTTTCTCGATCGGATCGCTTACTTCTTGAAGCAAGTAGATTTCAAAGGCACTCGAACGACAGAACATGAAAGATCTCTACAACCAAGCCCGCTCTCTATCGCGCGCACCTGAACTCCTGCTCTGGCTGCGGTGTCGAGTCCAGCTTTTTGATGACCGAGCCCCGCCCGTCTTGCATCGTTCCGTAATACACGCGCCCAAACGATCCTTCCCCCACGAGGGCTGTATGCCCAAAGTTGTCCGTCGCAGCCTTCAACTCTGCCAAGGTGAATCGCTGCACGGGACGGCCGCAGAGTCAGCACCATAAAAGAACTTGGATGCTCTGTCAGCATACTGATAACGGAGCATCAGGAGACGGGCCGCTGAAAGCTTAGCAAGTTCTTTGTTCTGCAAAAGAGGGACAGGAAAGAGGAGGAAGAGGGAGTCGACTTGGGACGTAATCCAAGCGAAGCAGGGGGATGTTATGGAATGAGAAGAACAGCTTCTTCTGCCGCTTGAAAACTAGAGAGCTTTCTGTTGGAATTTCTTGGGAAGAGTCATACCTTGTTTTAGCCTAAAGCTATAGACAAGCGCCCGGATCTTACCAAGCTTGCAGAAGAACATACCTTTCCAATTCCATCACGACACGATCACTGAACAAATCTGCGTGAAGGTGAACTATTGAGAAGGATGTCTATTTGTATTGTCTAACATGTCTTAGACACGAGCGCTCTAAGCTGACGAATTCAGGCATGAGTCAGCGTGACCGTTGAGCACTGTCCAGCACAGAGCCCCGTCTTGTTCGCTGCTGCCTCAACATCGAAACTGCACCGCTACCACACAGTACAATTCCAAACAGGACAACCACTGTTTTAGTTTTCACTCGTTTTCAGCGAAACAGGGCAACCATTGTTGTGAGTTTTCAGTCGTGTTCAGCAAAAGCAGCCTTCGCAAAAGAATGACAGCACTTTTGTGAATATGGCGGGAATGGGGAGATAAAAGGTCTCCACTGCATTTTGATTCACTCACCGGGACCAACGGCGCATCGCTGGAGGCCGCTGGCGGCGCCGCCCTCTGGCGCGGCTGCCCGAGCCTATTTGGCTGCCCGTACGGGTCCGGATGTTCCTTCCCTGGGTACGGTGACGAGTGACCATATGGCTCGTCATCCGCCGTTAGTGGTCGAGATGTGCAAGTCCCCATCTCTTATCGACCACCAAGGGCTATGGTGAATCTGTGGCTAAACGCCCTGCTTGGGCCCCAAATGTGAGATGCGAAGTCTGGACGAAAGATGCTGCCTTCGTAGTGCTTGTGAGCGCTTTGTTATGCAGATTGGGATCTGGGGGCAAGAAGTGCAAAAGGTTTGGTCAGCTGGATGGCTCCGGTCATCATTGAAGGTGGCTTCGGACTAGAACTGGGTCGGATAACTCTTGATAACTTTATTAGTGATGTGCAGCGGTCAGTTTATGAACGGTGCAAACGAGTCAGACGACGGGTGCTGCGATCCTACACAGCGGACTACAAAAAGTTGAGAGAAAAGTTGCGGTGCCGACTAATGCACTCCTTTCGCAACCATTGGTTACACGACATTGCTTGAACGTCACAACAACCTCGAGCTCTTGTGGAGAGATTGGGCGGCAACCGGATAGATACTTGCCATAACATGGTCGGTCTGGTCGGAGAACAGTCAACAACATGGAAAGGGCGCCAGAAAAAGCATCTCATACTTTGCCCCAGTACGTCATACCCAAGGAAGTTACTACGTGCAACACTGGGAATGTGAAGCGCATGAAACGTTCACGAAATCTAGACAAACTGGGGAGTGTCCGTGCAAAGAGGCGCAGCCTCAGTCCACCGCCTGGCCCGTGGGTTGGGGTACAAACCCTAGAAACCATCTTGAAACACACAACTCCTGGATTAAACCGAACACCACGTCAAAAGGGCAACAGTCACAGCTGCATAAAATGACGAAAAACACAGCCAGTCAGAAACAAAAACTCAACTTTTGACATCTGTCGTTAAAAGGGCGAAGCTGCAGGTCACAGGGTAAAACGGATGCGGGAGGAGTTCGCTAGTGCCAAAACCCAAGGGATCAGCAGATTCTCACATAGTGGCAGCATTATGCAGCAATGAGAGGATAAGTTACCAAGTGAATAAACAGTCAACCATGCATGCAGGTGTACCTCTCTCGCTTGCTTTTCTGCTCCCGGGCAGCTTGCATGGCTCCTCAAGATGATCGCTATCCTGATGCCGAAGAACTCACAGCAGGGGTTCAACACAAGTTTGCAAACCAGCTAGAACCTTTCTTCTACATGCAGAACTAGGACATAATCCCACAGCTGCCACCTATGAAGCAACACGCATCCGACAGAGTGGGAAAGAGATGTCGACCCGAATATTAACAACCTGTTTGAAGCGCGATCACGCGCTCAGATCTAGAACGCCCCAAGCTGAGCACTCCGTAGCTTTTACACTCCGGAAGGAGCTTCTCAAAGCAATCTAGCAGCTCGCCCAAGCCTGTAACTTTAAGGACGCTCCCTCATCTGCAACTTTGACAGTGAGCTGTACGTTCAAAGCCGCATGCTGCAGCCTGCAACCTGGTCCTCAGACTCAGAGTCAGGGCTCAGGTTTCCGTGAAGCTCCGAGTCCTCCGGGTGAGTCCAGGTGAGTCCTTGTTGGTCAACAATGAACTCGATCGAAGTCTGAACAGCCTTGGGTAGGTACCGGGATGGTGCGGTACCAATCTCTGCAGCTGCCAGGGCGTTGGTACTTGGTAGTTTAAGGTCTTAGGTAGGTACCCGGTTACGGACGGTACCTAGATACTGCAAACCCGGGCGGTCAACGCGCTTGCCAGCCTCATGGGAACCTTGCGGACGCTTGACGGTACCATATTCCAATCTGCTGTCCGAATTCAGCGTCCACAACTTTGCCACGCTGGCGAGATGAAGGTACGTGCGTGCGACACGCGTCATCCTGCGGTATCAAGTCAATTGCCATCGTGAATCCCTGATCCATTTCAGGACAACCGACGGCTGGGAATGCTCAAGAGCTCCCCCCTAGCAAAATTCCCTTCAGGCTTGCGTCTTCTCTATCCAATCTAGCGCTAGCGGGAAGGGCGCATTTGATTTGCAAGGCGCAGGGAGAGGTGCATTTGAGAGCAGCCATGGCGTCCTCCATTGCAGCAGCTTCCCTGTCCTCTGCCACCAGTTTTGCTGCTGCCAGGACTTCACAGAAGCAGACCCGGGCCCAGGCGGCTGCTTTCGTCCAGCCATCCCCAAAGCTTGGGTTCTTCCAGAGCAGTGCATTCTCGCAACTCCCCACACAGACCCCTGTGCAGCATGTTCAGCAGGCTAACAAGGGAGTCAGGGCAACTGCCGCCACTGCTCCTCCGAAGGCTAAGGCGAAGAAGGAGTCTAAGAAGGATGATGAGGGCATCTCCGTGAATCTCTTCAAGCCTAAGGAGCCGTACACTGGCAGGACACTTTTGAACACCAAGATTGTTGGGGATGACGCCCCTGGCGAGACCTGGCACATGGTGTTCAGCCACGAAGGTTAGTGATTGCTTAATGCGTCGCTCTTCGTGGCATAAGATGATGCTGTTACATGCAGAGCTGCATAGATTGTTGGTCAGAGCCTGTTGAATGTCGTACTTACGTGGCTGTTGACATAGGTTGCAAAACGTCCATTCAGAGCAGTCCGGATTCAAGTTGGTAGGTTGATATTCCGTAAGTAGTTGGTTGGTTGGTAGGTGAGGGAGATCAGAGTACAGTTGCAATGGGGGTCTTGGAGGTTTGCCTCCAGAGAGGTATTCGCCTTTAGGGAAACAAGTTTTGGTTTTTGAAAGGTTTGGTTGCTGAAGAGAAGCCTTGTGCTCCACTAGGGAGCCATTTATGGGGAAGACCAAGCAGGTTTCATCCAGATTTGTGTGTCTGCTAGGCGAAACCATCCCCTCCGTACTAATCAGCAGTTGGATCTGACCTTTCCAGACAGCCAGGCCGTTGCGTAGGCGCATTTTTGGAAGGCATAATGTGGCGCTAAAAAGAATCTGCAGGGTTTGCTAGACATGGCAGGCACCTGAGACAGAGTCTGCGAAAAGTTGTGCATTTGCTAAGGCACCGTTGCAGATGGTGGTAGGGCTCTGGCACACTTGCACAGTGCAGGAAGTACCCCTAAGATTTACCAGCTCTGATGATCGGCCTACAAACATAGAGGAATGTGCATTACTTTGAACAATATGTCGTCGGCCTTCGCTCGCCTTGGGTTCCTCTAGTAGCATTTCACATGCCATCTGGGGGTCAGAGATATTCCACATGTGAGGTCAAAACCCTCGGATACAGGGAGAAAGGAAAGTCCCTGCCTGAGCTTTGTCCATATCTTCTGCAGGCAAGGTCCCCTACAGAGAGGGGCAGTCCATCGGCATTGTGCCTCCTGGCATGGATGCGAATGGCAGGCCGCACAAGCTCCGGTTGTACTCCATTGCTAGCAGCGCCCCTGGCGACTTTGGAGATTACAAGACCGTAAGCGCGCTGCACGATCTGCCATTGAGCTTGGCTGCTTCACTTCATTGTGGCTCTTAAGTTCGGCCGCTATCTGGTGCTGCTGCTTTTGCCATCTTAATTGACCGGTGCATTGCATATGCTCGTTCTCAGCTCGACTTTCATTCTGTTTCAGCACATTGTGTTTCTGAGGATGCCAGAGATGAGAACAATGCCAAGAAAGACAGAGCACAAGCATGAGACTGGGACTACAACAGTGACTGGACAATAGCGGGAGAGTAAAATTGCGTGACCGCGAGCTCGCACTCTGGAGCACATTGCACCGTAGATGTAGGATTTTGGTATGTTTAGGTCGTGCATGCAAGCGCGGAAGGTGCCAGGACGCAGAAACTTTTGAGCAAAGGGGTTTCCCAAAAGATGCGATCAACACCAGGCTGGAGAGAACATCGCGACTTCTCTCCTGTGACCACAAGTGCTACTTCATGCAGGTTTCTCTTTGCGTCAAGCGGCTAGTATACACAAATGACAAGGGCGAGGAGGTGAAGGGAGTGTGCTCAAACTTCCTCTGTGAGTATCCGTTGTTTGTCTGTTGAACCCTGTTTGTGATGTGAAGAAGAGCAGGGTCCCTGGGCCAGCATCCTCAGTTGTTGAAAAGCCTTTGGCCGGTGTCTGATTGCGATGGTACAAGCACATTTTTTGAACGTCACCTGGTTTTCATGGGGATACCAAACATAATCACGAAGGGGCGAAAAGCCAGCCTTCTCTTTTAGAGCTTTGGGAGGTATATGGTGGGCTCTCTTAGAGCTTTGGGAGGTATATGGTGGGCGAGAAGCAGGGGCCAACAAGCCCCATCCGTGGGGCTTTGACGATTGCCTGCGTTTGAACCTTCAAAAATTTTGGCCGCCGCTTTTGGAGCCCTCTAACCTGCCATTCTGAAAGGATCAAGGCATTGCATCTTGCTTGTAACACAAAGGCTTTCATTCAGTATTTGATAGTCAGTGGTCTCAAAAGGACGCTGCTTGGATCCAGGTGCAAAGCGGGTTGAGTTCCGGTGAAAATAACCTTCAGTCCCGTTATGATACTGTTCACAGTGAGCCATGAAGCAGATTGTTGCGTTGTTTCTTGTAACTCCTGTAGAAGCTAATTTTGGATTCCGGCACCACTAATAATGACATGTCATTTGTATTCCGGCAGGCGACTTGAAGGCCGGCGATGAGGTTCAGATCACTGGACCTGTCGGAAAGGAGATGCTGATGCCCAAGGACCCTAACGCTAATGTTATCATGGTAAGTCTCTTTGGATCCGGCAGAGACCAGGAGGGTCAGGATTGAAAGGATCACATTAGGGAACAACACCAAGCCAAAGAGATTGGCTGAAAGAGAGAATACAGTGCTGGCAAACTTGCTTTCTCATGCGAAGTAAAGGAGGGGCTGCCTTCAAGAAAAGAGGGTGCAGATGAGAAACGCACTAGAAAAGTGCACCGAAAGGCCATTTGAAAGCAGTTACAACTAGACATTCCGCTCTTATACTAGAAGCATGCGAAACAGGACTCTGGAAGCTCTCAGAAAGCACCAAAAATGTAGTGGACCAATAAGCTGGTCAGGAGTTTCGCTCAACGGCTCAATGCAGAGGAGAGGGCGATGAGAAACTTGAGCAGGTTGTGACAGTGTTTGGCATCAGAATCTCCCCTGTAACTAGGGAGCAAGAGCTTCACAGATGATGCTTAGCTCCTTGAGACCATCATAGCCTATTGTACTGCAGTCCTTTTGATGCTTGACATTAGTGTTACACTGGAGCAACTAGTGTCAGCCCGACCGGGCTGGTTTGTTTCTAAAAGGACTTCTGCATTTTTTTGTTGGTGAAAGATGAAGCGAGCAGTTCCGCTGACAGTGGAGCAGTCCGGGTGTTTTTGGTGACCCTTGCCTGAGCGACACTTGTGAGTAGTAGCTTTCGTGATGCTTCCTGACCTAGCTTGTTGCTGTGCAGCTCGGAACCGGCACTGGGATTGCCCCCTTCCGCGGCTTCCTGTGGAAGATGTTCTTTGAGAAACGGTCAGACTACAAGGTAAGCCTGTGCAAACACGCTGCAGTTCGCCATATACTGGCGCTTGGTCTTTGCTTGTTAACTGCAATTCAACGTTTGCCTGCCCCTGTTTTAACTTGTGTAAGAGGTCTAATTCACATTGTCGGCCCAATCAAACTGTTTTTACGGTGACACGCACCAACAAGTGCCATCTGTTAACTTCCGTCCGTTCATCTTGCAGCATGCGATCACACTAATTCTCATCTATCCTTCGAGTTAGGAAGAAAGAAACGAGTTTGACCCTTGCAACTGTGGTGCAGTTCAACGGGTTGGCCTGGTTGTTCCTGGGAGTTCCTACCAGCAGTTCCCTTCTGTACAGAGAGGTAAGGGTCGACGCTGAGACTTGAAGTTGCCCTTCTCTCATTGTACCCACTGGTGTGACGGGTTTTAGACACATGTGAGCATGTCTCTGCAAGGCGGATCTACCGCATACGCACCTGATGTCATTAGTTGTGGGACTGAACCGCCGAGCCTTTCTGGTCGCTCCTTGTCCTAAAAAAGGGGCGGTCTGACAGAAGGTCACAAGTTGAACACCACCGGTCAGAGGTCTAGCACAATTACGTGGTGGCGAATGGCGTGCTTCCCTTCTGACAAATGGATAGCCAACCTTCTCCCCCTGCGCCTTCACAATAAGTTTTTATGCGGATTTCTTTTCTCGTATTTGCGGATTATGCGAGGTGACCACAGCAGATTGTGTCTCCAAGCGGGCTGGAGAATCTGTTGCCTCTCTCTCGCAAAAGTTAGAATACATGCAGCATAAGGATTCTCCAGTTTTTGTCCACTTATTGACCCCCAAGTGGAAAACAAGCAGATAGAAAGCACTTGAGATTCGACGAATCTGGGCGTTGCTGTGCAGGAGTTCGAGTTGATGCAGAAGAAGCACCCCAAGAACTTCCGGCTCGACTTTGCGGTGTCCCGTGAGCAGAATAACGCGAAGGGCGAGAAGATGTACATCCAAACGCGGATGGCCGAGTACGCCGAGGAGCTGTGGGGCCTGCTCAAGAAGGACAATACGTACACCTACATGTGCGGGCTCCGGGGCATGGAGAAGGGGATCGACGACATCATGACGTCACTCGCCCAGAGGGACGGTAAGGACTTTGCAGGATTACCAGCAGGATGTATGCAAACCATGTGCGCGTGGCTGTTCGCTTTGAGAGTGGCAGCGAGGTGGCCGGTATACGCTGTTCTTGCAGCAGTCAGCTTTTTGAGAACCGGTGGTTGGATGTCTCTTAAGCCGTTTGAAGACAGCATCGCAACTGGAATGGAAGTCGCTTGCGAACGATTACTATCAGTCGGCAAGGCGTTTCTTGAACATGATGCGAGTGTGGACATACTACGAGGTAACTTCGGTTGGTCAATTTGACCAAGAACGGGTGCCTTTGGTCTTGTTGGTTGCCGTCTCATACTTTCCTGACCCTAAAATGCTTGAAACTGGTTCAACATGACTTTGTTGGCAGCCTTCGGATCATAAGTCCTGAAAAGTACTCTGCATACATTGCACTGTAGGCATGGACTGGGCAGAGTACAAGAAGGAGTTGAAGAAGGACGAGCGGTGGAGCGTCGAGACTTATTAGAAAAGGACGGCAGGTTTACATTTTCCTCCACAGCGGTTGCCTGACATAGTTGCCGAGTAGTGCCAGGTACCTTTAGGTAGAGTTGTTAGGAAACATGTTGAAGGTAGTGCAGGCATTTTGGAACGCTCCACGGCCTGGCTTTGCAAGGTTCAGGGCAGTCACTCGGCCTTGCAAACCATGAATGTTCAAACCTGAGTGAACCACTCATGTACAGGTTCCGGACAAGCCACTTGAAACCGCGACTTTGCAATTTCCATTGCTTCTATGCAATTGACACACCTTGCTCCTTACATTTCATCTTCCTCACATTACCAGTTGGTACGTAGTGCTTTCGGCTAGATCGAAGTCCGGACTTGGTTCTTCTGCAAAATACGTGGATCAAGTGACGCTACATAGCTGCGTGGCTCAGTCATTATGGTCGATTCTCGCGGTTTACCTTGGCCTGCTTTATGGATCACTCGTAGTGCTTGCTTGAAACACGTCGATTGAATGCCCATCCGGTATGTGAAATCCTGCACTGAGCCCACTACATTAGAAAGTCCAATTCTTGTAGTGCAACGAAGCAAAACGAATTTTCCGATCAAAAGACGTCCTTAACTTTATTGCATTACACCAATGTTCAAAGAATCATAGACACATTCAACTGTATTAGAGCGATATAAGATATTAGTATTTACCATCTAGTATATAGAGCACACACATGCAACAATCTTTACAAGTACAATGCTGCCATCTTTTTGATCTCAACGTCTATGATGCCAAATGTAGATTGATTGCATGGAACGTTTGAAACTTTCGGCGGACCCAGCGTCGAACCTGCAAAAAGCTGAAGCCGGTATCAAAAAGGGGTGACGGTATGTGACAATTTATTTGTGTTCCTCAAAATTGTTTGTTTAAAGCTGAAAGGAGAACATAATTGTATATGGTTGCCAAATTAATCTGAGACTAGCACTCCTGTATAGAAGACGGTGGCCCAACCTTGATTCTGCATCCCGTCTGACCTACCATACATACAGTGTACATTGAGCAGGCTCACCTCACGTACACGTCATGACATGTAGGCTTATTTTCTTATTTGACAAGGATAGGACACAAACACTCTACTTTTGTCAAGATAGCTTCATTTGATGGTCTCTTTTCTCGCCACAGCCACATTAAGGCCGTAGGCCTCTCATGGCATTAGTACAGTACGGTACATACATGTTAATAGGCGACAAAAACGTATTACAATGAATAGGCGTTGGCGAGCCTTGAACGCAAAGTCAAACGTCGGTGCCACGCCGCACAGCTCAAGAGTCGCTCCTCACTTTTACGACTCCCCTACGACCCGAAGCAGCAATCGTAATCCGAGATCTCAGTTGCCTCGCACCCAAGGTGCTCCGAACCGCTTGAGCTGATCAATGATGTATCGCTCTAGCCAATGAGTCACTGGCTACGCTGCAGACTGACCGTAATACGCTATTACGATACTAGCGTAACAGTCGAGCAGCCGCCTCCTCAACTTGGCATAAATAACAATAACAATAACAATAACAACTTGGCTCTCAAGCCGCCGCACTGACGCTGAGCTCACCTCCTGAAGAACATGGACCAAGGATGTACATTTGCAAAAGAATTTGGGCCCTGACAACAGAGTGCGCCGGCCGGGAATCGAACCCGGATCGATAGCTTGGAAGGCTATTATTCTACCATTGTACCACCGGCGCGGTGGTATGTGAAACGGAGCTACTACAAAATATATACCTTGTATATATACCTCGCGCACGCTCGCGCATTTGAATAAACTTCGCGTGTAAATTGGAGTCCGGCGAGTCGGAATAGCGCCGTTTGCTTGCAGCCCGCTTGCAGACGCGGTGCATGTAGCACTCAACGCACTGTGAATCAGTCAGGATACGGTATACCCCGTGAATTTTGGCTGGTCAACACTCGTATAATTACCTATTCTTTACTGATGTCGTTGCACTTCTTGTATGCAAACTCAACATTGAATTGGCTTGGCTAACGATTGTCGTGTTTTATTGTGATTGGAACCAATGCCATGTACATGGTAATCGTTTGAATTTACACCTCAGCGTTCATTCGAGTTTGCTCACATGTTCAGAACTGTTCTGAACGGATTTGAATTCCAAAATCTGCCAGTTCTGATGAGCCTACTGAGCTGGCTGTATGCAATTCGATAAGCTAACTTACACGTGGCAACATTGACAGCTAAATATCATCAATCATCATCTACTTTGCAAAGTGACATGCCCTTGCGAGTGAATTTGGGTCCTGATTCGATGCAGAACATGATGATTGTATGGCCCAGGTTTACAACGAGAGGCCTCCATTAACATTCGATCGTATTGTAACTTGCACTGTTTATGTTGTGGCTTTGGCCAACCATGAATTGTCACCTGATTTAACAGGTAGAATAGGGGGATGAGCAGATTGACAAATTTTAGGTCCACATGAAAATATTATCTGGACATGAAGGACTGAGAAAGATGTCAGCGATCGCAATCGCAACTCTTGAGCTTAAAGTTACCATTAAAACAATGTTTCAAACGTTGTTCTTAGAATATGCCAGTCCCTGTCGCAAAGGTTCAGCTTGCAAATCTGCAGCAATCAGATTTGTTCGCAGCACCTTTTACTTTGCTGCACATGCTTTATGTAAGGTCAGCGCCTCCACGAAGCAGTCCATGAAGGAGACGGTACAAGGAGCAAACACCTACTGTATAGCTCAAGAAGTCTACTACAAATTGTGCCAAACAAAGCAAGACTTTGTTGCAGGTCGTCATCAAACTCAATTGAAGGGGGGTATACAGCCCTTCTCCAGATGACTGACTTAGTCCATCCGACTCAGTCCGTCCATCTTAGCCAATTGTTGCACTTCTTACACACCAGGTACTTCTGCAAATTACAAACAACATCAGGTGAGAGCTTAAAGAAGGCGAAAGGGGTGGAAATGGTGTGAGTGCCTCTTGCGGCGTAGAGGACTCCTGCCTGCAACTTGTGTCTTTCTTCCTCCTCAAAAGCTTTGCTCTGATCTCTCTTGAATCTAGAGGCGGGCAGTAAAGAGAGCGACAGCTACTTCTGGAAGTTATAAGCTGCCAATTACAAATGAGACATGCAAACCCCCTTGGTGGACCGTCAGGTACTCCAAAAGTTCAAGTGATTGAAAAGACCAGGGAAGAAACAACTTTAGCAGCAAACGGGGAACCCGCTATGAAATATCCAAAGAGATGAAAAGTAAGCCTCAATTTGAGCCTGTGCACTAGAAGTGACCGAAGCAGTTCACAGCCAGCCGTTCGTTGCAAAGAAGATACTTCTTCGGCTGCTGCAAGGCTGCATCTAGGTAGCAATAAAGGAGAGGTCGTGATCCCCTCACAAAGTTGCAGAGCAGGAAGCCGGTCTCACTAGCGGGTTCCTTTTAAGGACACTCAACATTCTGAAAAGCGCGTTCTTCAAAGCAAGGTACAAAACGACTTCAGAAGGTTTTACTTCGACTGTACTTCTCGGAAGCCCCAGCGTCATACGCTATGTCGCTGACAGTTACTCAGTATAATCAAATGGGCAGTGTGTTTTTACCCCAAGGAAAAGGTCGCCCTCTCTAAGATAAAGCCGTCTTTCCGGACTTTCAACCATTGAGACACTCTTCGGCCGTCTTCAAAAGGCCAGACTTCAACCAGCTCAGCGGGGTCGCTAAGTTAGTGCTCAATAAGCCGGTTCTTTTCAAGCAACGTTCACCAAAAATCCAACCCCCATCGATTACTTCAATGTGTTCTTTGCAGCCCCAAAAGCGTTGCGTTTCCAAGAGGAAAGGACGGCTTCTTACTCTTCCAGGGTGCTTGTCGTTCCTACAGATCCGCTCCTCGCCTTCACCCCCGCACTGGCAAGCCCCCCTGCTTCCCCCCTGGTCCCAGGGCCTTTTTTGCCCCCTACTCGCAGAGGGGCCAGCGTACCCCGCATTAGGTCTTGGTGAAATGTGGCCAGTTGCACGGGGAGGGGTGCCAGGAGCAGCGAGGGGCTCCTTCCAGTGGAGGAATTTGCCGCACGCCTCACACTTGTAAAATTGCTGGGGGAAAGAAGTCGTTGAACTCAGCGAACTTGGAACCAACGTTCCTAGTTGCGACCTAGCTGTTTGACTTTGTCAAGTCTCGGAAACGAACTGCCAGAGTTTGAATACGTCTCTAGGTGAGGAGATGCCAGTTCAGGGGCAGCCCTGGTGAAAACATTGCGATCCACGGTCGCCAACAAAGCCACGCAACACCAAACAAGCCGAGGAAAGAATCAGTAATGCAAAAGAACAGCAACAGCACTCGATGACCAGGATGAGACTCAACAGTTCCTAATTGCAAGACTCCTCAAGTGCAAACCTGGAATATCAAGAAACATGCTGCAGCTTTCAAACAAACGACTCACCTTCCCTGGATTGGTGCCCTTCTTGGCAGTCAGCTCCAAAATCCTACTGGCCCCGCACTTGTAGCATGTCGCTGGCCGGCCCCCCGCCTGACCCCCTCCAAAATTACCCCTGCCAGTACCCCCCTGAACCGGTGGCGGGGCCGCCTGCCCACCCACTTGCCCCCACCCCCCCCCTTGTGGCTGCACTCTTCTGCCCCCCGATTCCGGGCCTGCCTGCCCTTCTACTGAAAAGACTGAGCCGAAACCCGTTTGATCGCTTCCTGGCAGGGGGGCAGCGGCCGCAGCCCCGCCACCCCCCCCAAACACTTCTGGTGCCCCTTCGTCCTCGTGCACCTGCGTTGCAATTGAGTCCTCATCGTCTAACTCGTTTCTTAACCCTGTTTCGAACCCATTTCTTGGCGCCCCAGCTAGGCCGTTTCTCAACCCTCCATCCAATCCGTTCCGCAACCCTCCGTCTAGCCCACTTCTTAAACCTTCATCTAACCCCCATCTTACGTTTCCACCTAACCCAGCCCTTAAACCCCCATCTAACCCAAACCTGGAGTCTCCCCCTAACCCATTCCTTAGCCCTCCGTTTACTCCGCTCTGGAAAAAGTTACTTGCCCCACCGAACTCCTCCAACTTCACATTGCTTGCATTTGCAGTACGGTTTCCTGAGCCTCGCACCAGTGCCTCCTCTCGCTCCTCCGACTCTTGACTCAGCTTTTCTAACAGCCCTGGGCTTAACACCCCCGACGCTCCCCCCGTTTCCCCCACCCTTTCAAAAGCACCGTTGAGGCTCCTTGAGATTCCTGTCCCTTGCCTGCGCGCTGGAACTTCCTGTGGGGGGGTTGGAACAACAACTTCTGGTTGCATCAAGGGTGGGCCCCTTGATGTGGTTTCCCCTTCCAATCCAGCCCCCTGATTTAGCCCCAAGCCCCCTTGACCATTCAGAGGGAAAGAGGGCGGAGAAGCCCCATTTTCTACCCTTTCCCCCAAGCGTCTTTCTGGAGGGGACCCAAACAAAGGGCTAGGGTTTGAGAAAAGGCCTTGTCGAGTAGCTGTTCGACGCCTTGGTAACCCTGGTGGGGATGCTTCTGAAGGGGAACGGGGCCTGGCTCTAAGCTGCTCCTCTAGGGCTTGCCGTAACTCCATCTCCGTTGCCAGAGAACGATGCAAGCGGATGACTTCCGCCTCCGCCGCAGTGCGCCGAGCGACCTCCTCATCCAGGCGATCCTGCAAGCACCAAGGTCGTTGTTTCAACATGAAAGGTCTTCCAAAAGCTACTTGGATGCTCGCCCAGGGTTCGTCTTAGTGTTCCTGTTGCCTACGTCCTAGGCACCATCGGTTGGTCGTCAATGCTTGTCAATAGCCGACAAAAGAGAAGTTCAGGACTCCTGCAAAAATGCAGCCTGGTAAATTACAGCTGGGTAAACCCTAATTTGGAGCACTGAGGAGAAGGTGATTTACATGCAGCCAAAATCAGGGTTGCTCTGGTTGAACGACCTCCATATCAGTTTTCAAGACTGTCTAGACTATCTGCTGTTTGGCAACATGTCCAATCGTGTCTTGGAAGGCTTTCACTGGCAGTACTTGCTTTGATATCATTGCTAGCAGACTTGAATAAGACAATGCAGCTGCTCCATTCTGATGATATCCTTGTAACTGTAAAATCTGCTTAGGGGAACAGAATCTGGATCCTTGCGAAGCAAGCCCAAGCATGTATCCATGTTGCATTTACAAATTTGGTAATGTGCTTTAGGCATATTTGGCCCTTGGTGACCATCATTCACAATCAATCTGCTGGTAAAATGTGCACCTTGATGCGTGCCAGCCTGCAAGCTGATAACCTGGACTAGCCACTTCCACACAGAACATCCTGAGATACACACCAATCTAGTTGATCGGAAGATCGGAAGCGTTTGACGATAAGTGAGCACGGAAGCTAGGATTACTCTAGATCCCCCTTGCGGATATATTGCACGGTTGTCCGCCACAGAAGATGATGCATGCTGATTTTGGCATACCTGCAGGGCCTGTAGTTGCTCCTCATGTGTTCCATGACGGTCCTCCGACATCTTGCTTGGTACTGGGGACGATGGCCTGCCCTGTTGCGGGGACGCCTCCTGGGTCCCCACCGGCACATCTCCCCCTCCCATTTCTGAAATCCTCTGAGGAAGCACTTGCGGGAAATCAGAATTTAGATCCGCCCTTCATCTGCATGTTATCCTGCTTCATATTGCCATTATTGGACACCATGCATGATGTGAATGATGCTGCGCAATGCAGGGCGCTTTGCTTGGGAACTAGAGGGGTCCCAACTTCCAAGCTAGCCAGAGCCCTCTCGAAGAATCCGGCTGCTGATTCGTCTGCTGCGCCGTTATCGCATCTGGCGGCTCAGCTGAGGTCAGCTCTGTGACTTGCTGGACCGGTTGTCGGCAGACCGGCCGAAGGCATCCTATCATCGGAAAGTTTAATATCGACGATCACGAACTTCGATAGCTTTAGATCGGACGGCAATGAAGCACTTGCGCAAGATCCGCTCTGACATTTGACCCCTGTTGGTCACCCCCGGGCACCGTTACCGCTGCGGTTCCAAGTTTTATACGACATCATGCATGATGCAAAATCTGATTCAGATCCATGTGCGTGATCGTCACGTGGTCAGGCAACAGAAGCGCTCTGGTTCACGGCTGATCAGCTGCTGTTGCTGCGCTGCATTGTGGAGATCTTCCTGCGCATTGCTGTCCTCTAGACAGATCCCTGCTTTGATCAATGCAGTCAGCTAAGATTGCGCATCCCCTTGGGAGCGGCCGGATGACTTCTCAAAGTTCTCTGGTTTTATCCAGGAAGATAAGCAGTAAAGACTACTGCACCTGCACTCAATTCCAGAATGCAACATTGCAGCCTCTTTTGAACCCGTCCAAGCACGCTCTGATCGTCAAAAGCAAGCACGTTGCAGCATCGTCTTCTGCGCGGATTGACCATAAGCCCTTTGCTGAGAGTGAAAGCCAAGCTGCTTCCGCGAGAAGGACACAATTTGCGGAGGGGTAAGTTCCCTTCTATTTTCACGTGGCCTTGAAGGGCCCTCAAGGTGCTCAATTGAGCCTGATTTGAAATCTGGGCGTCAAGCAGGCATCTTTGATATGCCAGATCCCTTTTTCATATTGATTAAAAAGTGCCAGATCATCAAATTTAGGGGGCAGTGAATTGAAGCCAACATCTACTTTCTGCTTGCAAAGCAATCCAGAAGCTGCATCGTAAATCTTGCGTGCATCTGTCGATCATGTCAATGAGTCATTGTTATTTAGAGAGGCCCTTAAAGATGGTTGAGACCAACTGCTGTTGCATCAATTGCGGCAAGATCACAAGTTTCTTGAGTTTCATGAGAGAGCCCAGCGGATCAGCTGCTGTCATTGAGTAAACTTCTGAGTGATCAAAAGTATGGAGAGATCAGTCACTAGTGTGCACATTTCAAACCAAATTGGCAGGTTGCAGATCTTGGAGCCTATCAACTGCCAGTGATCCTGCGAACTCGTCTTGCTCAGCTGTTGGGCCCATACGTTTTGTTCACCAGCAAGGCAAACTCATTTGACCAGATCTGTTCTCACAAAATGAAGTGGACTAGAACTCACAGTTCTTACTGCCATCTCCTCCGCAATCAGACACCTTCCCCTCCTGTCAATCTGCGCAGAAAGCAGGACACTGATTAGTTGCGCTCCTTTTTAGTACATCAATAAACGCAAAACGCTTCTTTTTCAATTACAATCCAAATTCGGAAGGTTGCCACAAAACCCCATCTGTTGTCTCACTTAGAGGTGCCCAAGGGTGTATGCAGCGGAGGAATTGACAAACTCCATCTGGAATGTCCTTATAACCAAACTCGCCAAAGATCTATATTGCCTCTTTGTCTCTGCTCCCACAGGCGGCCACACCAGCCCCACAAGAGGAGAATGGCTCAGGCCAACGGCGCTGCCAGTGAGCCAGGGGTCCTGGACTCCCCCCGGTTGCAAGACGTTGTGGGGGAAAAGATGGAGGATGCTCTGAAGCGGGTGCTCTTCAAGCCAGTGCCCGGCGCTAAGCCGAACAAGTCCGATGAGAAGACCACCACCAAAATCACTGTCGTGGGGGTGGGAAACGTGGGCATGGTAAGGGGCAGGGGCGGATGTGAAGCTGGACCCAAATCGTCGACGAGTCTCTCACATTCGAATGCACTAGCAAAGGATCACCTGCATATGGAACAAGAGATGGTCTGTTAGTGCAGCTTTTGAATGCAAGGGATAACTTGTCAATGCAAGCTGGAGCTGAGTGTTTCTCTACAAATGTATGTAGTAACCATGCGTTAGAAGCTATGACCATCAACGCTAACCCCAAGTTAAGCAATGGGGCAGATCTTTCCCGTGATTCTGCCCCCAGTCAGCCTAACTCACCCTTGGGCCTCGTTCCTTGCAGGCGTGTGCGCAGACAATCCTGACTCAAGACCTGTGCGGCGAGATCGCCCTGGTTGATGTTGTGGTAGGGCGCGATCCTAACCTTGTTTTCTCAAATGTGTTGGAAAAGCGAGTTGTAGTTTCGGTTGTTGTTGAATCTCATTGAGTGATGCCATGTTTCCGGTGATGACAAAGACTACTGTGGTATTGAAGCAGATTTCACGCACGGCTTGCGCTGTCCAACAATCGTCCGAATGCAATTGTCCGAATGCACTTCTCTCAGTAACAAACCCCCTGAACATTCGTGACGACAGTCATGTCAAATTGGAAGTCAGATTCGCAACCCGAAGTTAGATTCGATTTCCCACCCAGGCTGACAAGCTGTGCGGCAAGATGCTGAACCTGCTCTATAGGGCCGCCCCTGACGCCCCAAAATTTGAAGATCCTTAAGACACCCCTCGAGAGCTGCGAACCCACACTCAATCCCGCATCCATCCAGGCCGACAAGCTGCGGGGCGAGATGCTAGACCTGCAACACGGCGCCGCCTTTTTGAACCGCGCCAAGATCACGGCCGGCACCGACTACAAGGTGACGGCCGGCTCTGACGTGTGCATTGTCACGGCGGGGGCGCGCCAAAGGGAGGGCGAGTCGCGGCTGTCACTCGTTGGGCGGAATGTGAATCTGCTCAAGAGCATCATCCCGGAGCTAGTCAAATACAGGTAAGAGGACTCGGTTGTTCAAGTCGTGAGCTGAGAGTCAAGATCGCTGTCATGTTCGATCTTGAATTATTGTCAATCCTGCGGTTTCTGTTGTTTGAACCGGCTTGAGAGGATCTTTCCAGCGGCTTACAAGTGGATTTCTTGCTTTGATGCATTGAGACCTTGTTTCAGACGGCAGTGAACGGTCTTCCGAGATCTCCGTTTTGCTGCTCGAGAGTTGTTTCAACAGATTTTCACTGGTCATCCAATTCTGCGTATCCGTAGCTCTTTCACCGACCTATTGAAAACAGGTCAAACAGTTGTCTCGTTCTATCAGAAACACGAAGGACTGTCCCCTCTCAAAGTCAGGGTAAGGATCCGATGTTGCTCCTGGTCATTCGTCGGACTATGTAGGCAGATATTTGCTTCCTTTCCTTGACAAGCAGAACGACAAAAGATTTCTAACGTTTTCCTTTTCGACTGTTTGGAACTTTCGTGTCACCATCGTACCTGACACAATTGAGAAACATAGATAAGTCATCAAAGTAGCATTCTCGTCCAGCCTCGCAACTAAGAAGTGTCCAAGCGCATGATCAGGGACAGAATTTTACAGAAGCCAGATCTTTTGGAGATGCGCAAACTGGATGTCCGGTGTCTCTTGGCGTTCCACCAGGCTGTCAGATCGCTTGCGTTCTGCAAACGGGATCAATCGTTCTTTAGCACGTATGCAAATCCAGCGCTTTTCTGACACTGTCTTCTCAGGTACCTGCAAGGGTGTTGCCACGTCTTAAACGCCCAAAACCTATCGCCCAAACCTATCGCCTTTGGACTAACCAATTGATTGATCGGAAGCAGTCCACAACCGAAGCCGGCTGCTCTCCCAACGTTTGAAAGTGTCTCCCCACTCAGTTTCGCATGACACTCTTTCTCGTCCCCCGTCTGCAGTCCCGACACGATCCTGCTCCTGGTGTCAAACCCCGTGGACATCCTTACCCACTGCGCCTGGAAGATCTCGGGGCTGCCCCCCAACCGCGTGATCGGCTCCGGTACCAACCTCGACTCGAGCCGGTTCCGCTTTCTCATCGCTGACGCCCTAGGCATCAATGCCCAGGTGCGCCTTTGCCTCAGTTTCATCAGCCATTTCCGTTGGCTGTGCTTCAACGTGGGCGCTAAAAAGAGGATTCTGGATACACCATCACAAACGGGTCAGATTGGTCCAATCTCCACACCCCCCCCGTCGTTTGCAGAACGTGCACGCGTCTAGTTGGTTGTCTATTGTTCCCGGTCGTCTGGCATCCCACCGTCCGCTCCTCCCCCCTCCGCCAGAACGTGCACTCGCACAGTATGGGCGAGGACAGAAGTGTTTGGCCTGCGAAGTTGCAAAATCTTCCTGGCGCGAATGGACTTTTCGAGGTCCGGGAAAAGGCGGCTGCCCGTTTCAATGTCCCTCTCCGCTCCTCTTGCCCCCTCCCACATGTCTAGACCGTGCGCGCGCACTTTGTGGGCGACTCCAGTCATTGCCCGATGCTCTCCGTCTCGATCTTGTATCTCACTCTTCGACCCCCTTATCCCCCTCACTGCTGTCACGAACTCAATTGAAGACTCAATCTCAGATTCAATTTTATTCTCATACTCCCCCAATTCCCCTGAAGTTTACAGAACGTGCACGCGCACGCTTGCAAGAGCACGGCGACAGCAGCTCCCCTACCCTTAACCTCCTTACTCATCACAACCGTCTCAGACTGGCTGCCTTCCTGAAACGTGGGCCTTGTTTGACCAGATACTAACTGATTTCACCCCCCCACCTCCCCCCCTCCTCCTCTTCTCAGAATGTGCACGCGCACATTGTAGGCGAGCACGGTGACAGCAGCGTGCCCATGTGGAGCAGCGCGCAGATCGCGGGGATCCCCCTGGTGAACTACGCGCGCGCCAAGAACGTGCCGCTCACGGACGAGGTCCTCGACGGCATCCACAAGCAGGTGCGGCGACCGGACCCCGTCTGGCCGCCCTGCTTGGTCGCCGGACTGCGGACCAGGCTTTTTCTCGAGGCTATTCGTGTTGACGCTTTGATTGCGACAATCCAAAATACCTTTGGTTCGGTTGCTTGAAGAAGCACTGTGGCCAGATTCTGGAGATCCTGAGAAAGGCTGAGGAAACTGAAGCTCTCGTTCATAAAACGTAGGGTGTTATGCTGAAATAGGTGGAGAAGAGCAGGACTTCTTTCTTTGGAATGCCCAAAGAGTTTACTCGTTGGGGCGACAACTCCCAATGCGTGCAGGCCGTAGAAATGTGCTTTTCGTATTCTCGCCGTTTTCAGTGTCCGCCTTTTGGATCGCGACAACTCATAACCGCCAAGCAAAGCTCGGAATCTCAGTATCCCTGCACTCCGCCCTATACTGACTCCGGACATAGAATATCAAGTCTTGGGGTATACGAAACCGTTAACCCTCCCCGTTTACCGTTTGGCAGGTGGTTAACGGCGCGTACGACGTCATCAAGCTCAAGGGCTACACGTCGTGGGCCATTGGTTACAGTGTTGCCAGCCTGATCCGCACCATCCTGCACGACACGCACCGGGTGCACCCGGTGTCCGTTCCGGCCAAGGGCTTCCACGGAATCAAGGTGGGCGGAACTGAGGCTCTTTCTGTTTCCGGTTTTAGCTTGGCGGCAGATGGAAAAGTAGCGGAACCCCGCAAAGCTGCAACTCGTGACTCGTTCGGAAGAAAGTTTGCGAAGCACAGAGCTTGGGAGAAAGAAAGAGTGCTCGGAAGAACGAGAGCGGGAAGAGGAAAGAACGAAAACGGAAGCGGACGGCAGCTTGAATAGCGGGAATCTGAAAGAGGATTGCGTTGTACTGCGATTGCAAACGACCGAGCAACAATCTGAGGCGCCTGTCAGAGTGGCCAGAGACGCGATCCGTCCGTTCAACCCGGTTCCGTTCCGCTCGCAGGAGGACGTATACCTGAGCCTTCCGGCGCTGCTCGGCCGCCAGGGCCTGCTGAACGTGATGGAGCAGGAGATGACCGACAAAGAGCGCGCCATGGTGCAAAAGTCCGCCAAGGGCCTCGCTGACGTCATTGCGGGCCTGGACAACCTGTAGTAGTGACTTGGACTTCAAACGTCATATCGGGGCGAGACACCGTGATGCCATTGTCTTCAACATGAAGTGCCTACAGGTGCTGTTTGAGCAGCCTGGGGGAGATAATGCGAAAGAGGTAGATTACAGTCAAAGCTTTGCGATTTCAGATCTAACTTCGAGAGGTATATACGAAAGAGCGTTTCCTCATGGGCAAGCATACGAGTGCGGCTGCGATGGCGCTTGCGTTTTCAAGAGCCGATGTAGAGTATGAAAGGCTTTGCGTAAAGGGTTTGCGTAAGCGACAGGCGCTGGCGGACTGGTTTTTGCAACGCTGCTGCGCTTCAAACAAACATGTAGGTATACTGACCTGCTCGACTTCTGGCTGCGGCCTTTGTGCATACAATAAGGACGCTAGCTGTAGTGACGTACTTGCAAAGAATTTTGGATTTTCTACAAGAAGATAGAGCATTTCAATCCGATGAATCTATGATGAACCCTTTGTCTATCCGCAAGACTTTTTCAGTTGCGTCACCCCAGCAGCTCCTAGGGCATATCGAAAATTGCATTACTTAAAAATGTGCTCAGTCCATTGTTCTATATGCTGTTCCGACCGTATTGCCCCGGCCGCCGCGCGCATGTATAATCAGGGTGTATGACATGTACGTATGCCTATGCGATGGCGCCGCCGCCGCGTGCGCACCCCGCGCCAGTGCGTGCATCGCTGCGCAGCTCTGAACCCTCGAATGATTAGAAATCCATGGACAAATGCACAATCATGAGCTAGTTCAATCGAAGCGGGAATGCATCGCGAATCTAAGTTCGACCGCTATATTGCATCATGCATGTGCAGTGCTATGTGACCGCTTAGTAAATCTGATTTGAAGCACAATTTGTGGACATGATCCACGGATGGAAGCTGCTACATTATGGCATCAATGCGTCGTTGAAGTGCATGCATGGCCCGTACAAAGCGCGCTTGAAATGGTTTCTGAGGCATATGTGCTAGCGTCATTCCTTCCAAGGCCTGGGTATATGCCATAGCACTGCCTGGTGCCGAAGAACTTCAAGAACGACGAGTAATGATCAAGCACACGTCTTCAGACGACAAGGCCATCGAGCCTGCCGATGAAAACACCAATCGGCCTGACTGCAATCACAAATGTCAATGTTATCAGGTGCCCTCTTTCTAATGACGTCATCTTAACAGTTCTCAGACACGAACTTAGGTCGTTTTCAAGTTCTAACCACACGCAAGCACCGGAACATTTATCTAGCAATTAGTATCTGCAACGGATGCTCCTCGATATAAGAGGTACACATACGCACTCAGACTCAATCATCACCCAAATCTATTACAACTCTGGCCCGCTTATGTACATGCTTGCCCCCAGTCTGCGCGCCTTGATTATTGGCGACCACAGGCTCATTCGTCCTCCTCTCTTGGAGCGCTACGCCGCCCAACGCTCTGAGCTCCGCCAGGGCCCCCATATCCCGCTCGTACTCCGCTATCTTTGTACCGGAACCTTGGAGCGCCTGTTCATCAGCAGCGCCCTGCGACCCGTTCTTGTGGCAGATCAGGGGCACGTTCACACCGCCGTTGAAAGATTGGCCGACGATGTGAACGGGCAGTCGACACCTGGGAGAAAAACGGGAATTCAACCAAATGAACCATTTACACCTTACGGACGAGACTTCTCAAGGCAGAGGATGACCACAATTTGATTACGAGGAAAGGCTAGATGGATCAAAGCATTTTGCCGAGACTGGACGAAGGTGCAGGATCAGCACTCTGAGTCTACCGCCCAAGCACCGAACCAGAAGCCCCAAGTCTTTGGTACGTGAAAACCTGACATGCGGATTCGCTGGTATAGGATAGCAACCTGCTCGAAGCTTCCTGAGGAACATAATGAGGAGGGACAGGGTTAAGCCGCAACTTTCATGACTAGTACTCCTGAGGCTACATCCTTGTGCACCAGTCCATTGCTGACCGGAGGCTACTGGTCAGAGGAACCACGAAATGTCCACTTCGCTCCTTCATTCAGAAGGGAAGCCGATATTTTTATCCACAGTCGAAAACCTCATACAACGGAATGCGTTTACTATGCAAGGTCTCCGGAGGCCTCACTTTGAGATCGACGCCTGCACGTGCTTCTTGACGGGCTTCGCGACGCACAGCTGCAGCACGGTACGGACCGGGTCGAGGCAGAACTGCACCAGCTGCCGGCACTCGCCGCACTTGCACGCGCACGCCGCGGGGAGCGCCCAGCTGCGCGGCGCGGCCGGCCGCGTCCCCGTCTTCGCTTCGAGCGCCTTCACACAGCCCCCCGACAGGGCGACGAACGAGGGTGTCTCCAGCCGCGCGGGTGTGCCCAGCCACTGGGCCAGCTCCTTGAGCGCCGGGGCGAGCGTGGTTTCTACGTCGTGCAGCCGGGGCGTCGCGAAGAAGTGCGCGACGACGGACTCGGTGACCGGCGGCCCGACGGAAGAGTGTGGAACGCTTTTAAAGTTGAGGCGACGAAGGCTGCGCTGCGCGCTACCGGTTGGGCGGGCGCACGGCCGCCGTAGCGCCGGTGGTTTGGCTGGGGTGGCCTCACCGGGGGATCCCTCTCGGCGATAAGCGCTGGTGCCAGCGCGTCTGCGAGGCTCCGCGCGAGGGCAACCGCCTTGGGGGATCCCCCACCAGGGGCTTCTGACTGGTCCAAACCGTTGTCGCCAACTAGGTGCGACAGCAACCCGGGCACAGACCCGAGCGCCGAGCTGACCTGGTTCTTGACGAGGGCGGCGGCCGCGGGTCGCCACGTGTCGGCCCCAAAGCGCTCGAGCACACGGACGAAGGCGGACGCGGTCGCGGTGTCTCTGAGGCTAAACAGCGGGGGATCGGAGTAGTAGAACCCTCGGGCAGGGACGGCGGCCGGCGGCGGGCAGATCTTGGCGACCAGAAGCGGAATGATGCGCGCGCACAATCGCGCTCGCTCTAGTTCGTCGTCATCCGCCGGCCCCTGTTCTGCATTCGTCCCGCAACTCCCCTCCGCGTCATTACCAGCCATTGTCCCCTCAGGACCGGAACTTCCCGTCGTGCAAGTTTCCCCGGAACGTGCCCCGCCGCTCGTAACGCTGACGCCCTCCAAGGCCCGGTTCGTTTCGTTGGGTGCGATCCCACCAGGCGCTTGGATTGCTGGCGCGAGCTGCAAGAGCAGGTTGAAGCAGTCCGCGAGGCCGAAGGGCGTGCACGCGCGCTCGAAAACGCCGGTCGCCGCGGCCGCGAGCGCCGTCCAGCCGAAGCGGCCGCCGAGGGGGAACAGAACCTGGGCCGCTATGGAGACCGGGAGCTTGGTCAACAGGATCTGCGGAAAACAAGAACATAGTTTGTCTTCCCTTTCCTTTTTGAGCCGCAAGGACTCTTGATAAACTCCCTCGTCATTGCGCTCGAGGTTTTGCGTATAAAGGTTTTCATATTGAGTGGCAATCTCGATAATCTTTTCCTGAGCCTTTGGCATACGTCAGCTGCAATTTGGGTTCCGTTTTAAGGGGATCGGGGACCGGAGACTCGAGACCGGAGACGAAGTTCGCTATGCTTTTTGCTACAATTTGAGGCGAAATGATTTTGGTGTACAAAGATGTACAAAGAAAAAGCGGTTGGGTTCTGGTACAAGAAGACCAAAGCGACACCACGTGCTTGAGGAGCCCTCTTTTCTTTCCAGATGCGACTGCAAAGAAGGGTCTGACGTTCAGTATAATGGCTGGGATTGCTCAGCTCGTCTGTAAGGGCAACTCCCGTTCCGACAATGTGGATAGAGCTACCTAAGACAAGATGACAAAACATCATCTCTGAAAGGGCTTGAATCGTATGGGGCCATGCAGCCTGGGCCTCCTCTTCTTCCTTTCTCATCGGCGAGAAGTTTAAGAACCAAATCAAAGGAGCTAATGACCTGCTAGCCAGAAACAAACAACCCGCTGCTGACCTGCGCCATGCTCGCATCGCCAAACTTGACGAGCAGCGCCGCCAAGGCCTTTGTCTGTGAAAGATCGAGCTTCGCCCCAGCGCCGCACAGCGCGTTGAGGGCGAGGAGTAGGTCTGGGCGCTCCTCCGAGTCTGGGGACCCTTCGATGCGCTCCGCTAAAGAGCCGGTATCCTGCACCAGGAGGTCAGTTTTTTGTTTGTCGCTGACGGTAAACAGGACCTTGAAGTCCTGCTGTGGCCACAAGTGCGTGACAGCTTACAAAACGTTTTGGTCTTTCTATTTGTGTGAGTAGTACGTAGCTATGCACCAGCTAGCGGGTAAAATGATCACCGGACGAAGTACCTGTTGCACGTTTTCATGGCCAATATGAACAATTACTGAAGCTGCGCAACTCAAGTTGCCATTCGATTGCACGTTACTCCCGCAGGAGAGCCACACAAAACGCTTCTACTCCGAGCACCTACCTTCATTGCCGTACTCAGGCTGTTCGTGCAGGCGATCTTCCAGTGGTTGGCGTGCGGCCACAAAAGGAGCGCTGCGTGGTGGTACCACCGCTCCATGCTGGCGCCCTCGTTGCCGGTCGCCTCCTCGATCTGCTCGTCGTCCCACTCGTGGCCCTCTAGAGCGCCTTCAGGTAGAACCTCTGAATTTACAAGGAAAACAAGGGTGAAGATCGGAGAAATGTAGACTGTAGAGTGATTCAGGGTAATCTCTAGAGCACCTTCAGGCAGAACCTCTGTATGTAGGAGGGCAAATGGGTGAAGATCGGAGAAATGTAGACTGTAGAGTAATTCAGGTCAACCTCTAGAGCGCCTTCAGGTAGAACCTCTGTATTTACAAGGAAAACAAGGGCGAAGATCGGAGAAATGTGGACTGTAGAGTGGATTCAGGGTAATCTCTAGAGCACCTTCAGGCAGAACCTCTGTATGTAGCAGGGCAAATGGGTGAATCGGAGAAATGTAGACTGTAGACGTAGTTCAGGTTAATCTCTAGGGCGACTTCAGGCAGAACCTCCGTATGTACCAAGGCGAGAGGGTAAGAATCGGAGAAACGTAAAATCTACAAAGATAACGTCTCAAAAACGAGCAACTCGATTAGGACGGGTCGAGTGAGACTGAGGGGTAGGTGGGGTGAAGTGCGAAGCGTGTCATGTTGTGCTTGGAATATCTCCATCCTCCTCGTTGATATCACTAAATGTCTAAAAACAATGGATTCATGATTGAGAGGTCTTTAAGACTCTCCACATTCTGGCTTATTGGAGATGCTCTCAATATCGCTTCAATATTGAACGTCTATACTTTCCGACGACATTTACACTTTCAGAAGGGGCCACGGGAAACCGCAAAGCGGAGATGAAACGAAAATACTAGAGCCCCATTCAGTTCAAACAGAAGCTTCCTACGAACTGGAAAGGAGCTTGGGCAAGTCAGGCAGTGCGGATGCATGAAGACAGACCACTAGCTCAAAGCAATATTGGCCCCCTGCTTAGGCACGACGTTGTATGCAATTGTGTGTTCACACAAAAGTGGATACGATGCTAAGCATTACTGATTATTGGTCCAGACGTTATCTTACATGCTGAGATTGAAAGGATAGTCATGAGACTGAAAGCTATTCGAAATCTGCAGTGAAGAAGGATGGAGACAGAAGGCCAATCTATTAGTATGTTATGCTCACCGAATTCTTCATCAATAGGCAGCCTGTCGAATGCCACAGCACCTAGTTCTGGGGCGATGATATGTAAGAGCTCGAGAGAAAAATCTTGAACTTCCATGTCATCCATATCATCGCCGTAACCGCCTCCAACTTCCTCCTTCTTGAGCATACCAAGATAGACGTGGAAGCGCGGACCGCTTGCTGCCTGCAAAAGAGCAAGCGCATAGAACGTGAAGACGTGGCTTTCTGACTCAATGATTCTAGACAGAGGACCAAGGTCACTGCAGTGCAACTCGAGGTCGGCCGTCATGACATGTTCATGCCAAATGGATATGAGAGCAAGCACAGGGCCACTTCATGCATCTGACGACCTGTCACCCGAAACCTCAAGAGTCTCAGACTGATGATAAGAGAATGAAGCAGAAGAGCAGAACAGAATGCAGAACAGAACACCTGGATCACAATCGGCTTACACAAGAACTGAAGCAAGATTGGTACTCGTACTTACAATGGCTGCTTGAAGGACAATGTCAATTGTTCCAATGTCGGAGCCCTTGAGGGTCTGGAATGAGAGGCTCTTGGTGCAGTACTGGTGCTCCAGTGGCATCACCAGCTTTTCTGGCCCATCCGCGTCTTTGCCCCAAGCTTGGATAGCATCCAAAACATTCTGAACGGCAGAGCGGTTGTCCGCTGGTGCGAGGATCTGGGCCGTGTTCTGTGCGATCAGGTTGTAGATGAGAGCCAGGCGATAACCCTCGGTCACAGGGCGGATCTCGTGCTCGCAGTCAGCAAAGAAGGCGGAATAGTGAACGTTGTGCAAAGTCTCTTCGGATGAGTCAAAGACGACGTCTTTGCCGGCATGGCGAATGATGAGTTCGCCTGCATAGGGAATGCACCTGGATGTCAGAATGTGACCTGTGAATGCTGCCTTGAGTGACAGCTTAGAAAGAGGTAAGGACTTTGAGACTTCATACAGTTGGAGTCAGAGCCAAACAAGACACAACATAACTGATTTGGCGTACCTGCCGAGCAGGATCTTCAAGTCAGGACGAAAGGAAGTCTATCTATGTACAGGACGGCTGGGTCTTAGTTATTGCAAGTGTATCAATAGACTGAATCTTCCTAGGCTTGTTACAGGACATCAGATGGTTGCAATATGCTCTCAGGTCATCTGTTCCTGATCCTCACCTCCAGAATGTGCTGATGGCAGCACAACCACCAGTGTTGCAAACATCCCATCGTTCTTCTCGGTATCACGGTGGGGTGTAAAGAAGCAGCCTGGCTCATACAACAGTTGTTTATAGAGCTGTGGCACCACCTTGACATGCTTAGGGAGCCCTAAACCTTGTTTGACCGCTCCATTGGCAAGCTGCCGGATTTGCGCATCCCACTGAGGCCCGGCAAGCTTGAACTCGTCTGGAGACATTTGAAGGCATTTGCGGATGCTGGAGTCATAAACTGTGACCTCCCTGCAAGAAAATCACATATGCAGTCTTGCCCTGAACCCTTCTTTAATAGCAAAGCCTGCAGAGATTTGCCATTTGGAGAATTGCAGCTAATACTAAGCACCTCAGGAAGAGCTTAGCATCTAGGAGCGGGCTTCATTTGTGGCTCGCTCCCTTCTGACCCTCTGGTCCGTGCGAGCCCAAGCCAAGTGCACTTGATACGTTTGTGCTGCTTTCAAGTTGTAGAGACTTGCTCACCCTCGTCCAAAAGGGGCCTGGGAACACAATCTGGCCATCATCTCTGCCTGCTGAGGAGCAAGGGGCAGGCTGATTGGCCCAAGCTCTGGAAGCTCCAACCCTGGAGTATGGAGCATCTTGAATGACCCTGTCATTGCAAAGCTCCCAGGCCTTTCCTCACTCTGAAGCGCGGAGTACAGGTCAGCCCTGTAATCCTCCTTCACAACCTCAGGCGCAGCCATGCTGGGATGCCGCCGCATTGCTCTTATTTGCAGCTGGGACCTCTTCATTGCAAGATGCTGATCAGGACGTTCCTGTCAATAGTTTGTAACCGCGCACCCACCCTCAACCACCATGTGGCGACTGGGCCTCGGAAAGCTCGTTAAAACACTTGCCTTGTCCAAACTTGACTTAGGTACGTAGTACACAAAGTTAGGTACGGTACCTACCTAAGAGTTGTTGAAGCACTGTTTTTGGTCCTGAGGCTGCAGTGCATTGGATGCAACGCACCACTCTTCCGAGTTTTCGCCAAGGGAATATCAAAAATGTGGCGGGAAAGAGACCCAATAAGATGGTGCCAACTCAGATCCCGGCGGCCACGGAGTTCGCCAGGTATGTCACGGCCGCGTGGAGTAGGCAGTCGCGGCCGCGGCCCGGCAAGGCGACGAACCTGGCATGGCAGCCCGCGTCCGATCGATCCGGCCGCCCTAGCTTATCGGGCCATGACGAGCGGAACGTATACAACCCGATCGACGATTTGATATGCGAGACTCTGCTTATCAAGTCTGTATTTGACTCGCAAACCGCTTCCGTACGCATTGCCTGAGCTCATCAATGAACGAAGGGATGAAAACGTCACATGAAAGGCGTAGTTGATTACCTTGAAGCTTCAATCATGATCGCGCTTTTAGCAAGTTCGTCACTTACTGATCTCTTCCTGCCTTAAGTTCCGGCCTCTCTAAGCTGAGCACACGAGCTTCCGCACACATATTTGCTGCGCGCGTGAAGAGGCATGGCGGCCCTGATCATTCTGATGTCCACTGCTTGCAAGAGCCTGCAGACCCCCGGCCTTCATGTCTAATGCTATATGTGTTCTGGAATCTTGCTCTACCATGATCCTCATGAGCACTTACATATGACAATGAGTACGTTCCGAAAGTTGAAACACACTTGCAGTCTTAATGCCAAAAATTTGTACGTGCAAATCATATCTACGTAGCTTACTCCACAGACATGGTTAATCAATGCATCCGAGAAACGCTACTTCGAATTGCGGCCTTGACAGTTTGTGCATATTATGGATGATTTACTCCAGTCAATCACACGGGCCTGCTTGACAGCGTGGCCGGTACAGACGATGACTAGCGGCAGCGCCACGAGAGCAAAGTATCACGCGCCTCACTTGTGCTCTCCCAAACGCGGTGATCGCATCAGCGAGCTTTGTAAATGTAACATCGCAAACGGGAAGAGGTAGGTCTTCGTGGTTGATTACACTCTACCTACCTACCTGAACACCAGGATGAGACTTTGGAAGCTGCACGTTCTGGACATAGCGAGGGGTTTGCTCGTCTACAAAGAAAGGAAACCAACTCGTAGCAGTCTGTAAGAATGACGATGACGAGGCGGTGTGGAATCTACTGAAAGCGTTCGTAACGAGCGACTCGACGATAGTATTGACCTAGGCCACGACGTTCCCGTGTCTATCCTGTTTGCCAGCCCCAAAATAGCCAAGTGCAATAATATCTGCGAGCTGCGAAACAAACGCTCTGTGTGCTGACAAGTATCTCCCGGAGCAGACAGCGTGCCAACACGACAACGCTCTTTTCTAAGCGCGAACAGCGTCTTCCTGGGAGGGCCTCCTTTAGCGGTTCAACTGGCGCAACGGTCTGAATCCGTAGGCTACTCGCAATCACACCTTTATGTGGCCGCCGGCATCTTTTGGTACGTACACCTCTCTCCTCCATTGCTCCTTCTTCTCCGTGTGAAGCTCCCAGTAGATGTCCGCAATATGGTCCGGGTCCAGCTCCCCGCTGCCTGGCTCCACCCGTCCGCACACTGTTACCTGTGGAACCAGAACACAAATTTTTGCACGTAGCTTTCTCAAAAAGCGTTATGATTTATCAGTGGAGGCTCAAAGTCGGAACCGGGCTCCAGGGTGCCGCTTCGAGAGAGAACGACTCCGAAACAGCGTCACACCTGCCCGGAACTTAAGAAAAGAGGAAAGCCCCGAAATGATGGCGCCGGAAGGCTTGCAACCCAGAATTGTTACAACGCCTGAAGGATGGCAGACTCAAAATTCTTACAAGTGAACGGAACATGCCTTCTGCGTCAGCTTTGCAGGAGTTGTGTGAGGAAAAGGTGTCCTGATTGCTTTCATGCATGGCCACAATCGAAGGACCCCACGGCCAGATTGCTGCGTCACACTAGAAGAACGCACACTGAACCCTTATGACGCTGCTTAGAGCCGTTGTGGGCCCTCAGTGCCACACGTTTACTTGAGTTCGACAACCACACGGTCCAAATTGCACCAAAATCTCGACGTACCGTGGCCACGTGGATGTTCTCCTCCAGCAGATCTTTGTACAGCGCAAACCCCAGGTTTCGGACGGCCGCTTTTCCCGCCGACAGGGAGCACATGATTGGCCAGAGCGGTTCGATGGCCAAGATACCCCCCGTGAGCAGGATGGTTCCCCCGCCCGCTTTCCGGAAGGCCGGCAGAACTTGCTGAACGGCTGCCAGGGCCCCAGCCGACGAAACTCTGCACAAGGGGGGGGGGTCGAGCTTCGCATCTGCGCTTATCAGCACACAGAACGGAGAGAAGGCGATAAAGAAGGCGAGTAAGATACGAAGTTGAAAGACTTGGCCGACGTGAGACGAGAGCACATGAAAGTGGCCCGATGGGCTCTTCAGGTAAGACATGCTTTCATACACCTAACTGGAGGGTCGAGTTGCACTACCTGCTCTTGTGGCGGACCCTGAAAATAGGAAAGCAGTCTGCTTCTCCGATTGGGCGTCAATCATGAGCGCTCATCAAGCTTCGAGCAGTCTGAGAGTTTCATGACAGGGTCGATAATAGCTGATAGACGCGATGGAGATGCTCGATAAGACAACAGTCCAGGGAAAAGATTAAAAGAAACAACGGAAGCGATAAAGAAGGACATAGGAAAAGTCAAATCGAATTCAGCCCAAGAGCAATGAACGGAAGAGGCTGGCCCCTCCTCATGTCAGAGCATAACCCAGAAGCGGGGAAGCTTTCAAGTTTTGGCGCCCAGAAGCTGTCCGCTTGGAGAAGGACTCCGGATCTATCGAGATAGCACCGCGCAACCAACCCCTCCCAGGCCAGCAGCTTATTTATCAGTTTGGCCGCTTTGGTCTATATCTAAGTCTTACGTTTGTCTTTTTCCAACTAGGGCTAGGAGATCGTCCCAACAGGGGGCTGGATCATGACACAAGAGCGCACAACACATGTGTTGTCAACAAGGAGAGTGCTTACTACAAGAAGCTGCCTTGACCAGAGAACAAGAGTGACTGCTTTGGAAGGGCACTAGTTGCTCCACTGCCATCTGCTTCCCTTCCAACTCCTGCATCTATCGACGCTTCTTTTTAAACCAGAGCAGTCAGTCACTTCATTTTCCTGGGAGACTTTGAGGCATCTCAACAAAGGCCAACAATCTCAACATAGGCCAGTGACAGCAAACTTTTAATCAACACGTCAGCATATGAGGGTCACCGTTCGCACCTGAAGTCTTGCACCAGAGTTTCAGGATCCAGGTCCTTTGGCAGAGCCATGGTGGTCATCCCCCCTGCCGCATTATAAACAAGCACTGTAGGCGACCCCAACTCCTCAGTCAGTTGTTCCATCGCTTGTTTCAAAGCCGCAAAATCGCCCGCATCGGCGACGTAACCTTTGGCTGTGATTCCCAGTTCCTTGAGCTTGTCACAAAGCTCTGCCAATGAGGCCTCCCGCCGTCCGAGAAGGGCCACCTGAAAACGAAAGGGGCAGGCAGTGGGTCGGTTCCTGTCTTCCATATTGAACAGAGGGGAGATTCGGCGTTTCAACTTTCCAAGAAGTCGTAGAACCTTGCATTGGAGTTTACTTGGATTAGTTGGATTAAGTTGCTGATGAGTATGCATGAGACGGCTTGCTGTAAGAGCAAAGTATGTGAAGTTCATCCACTATTCTGGACCTTGGGGTGCCTGCCAAAGCGAATCCCCACAGTTGCAAGCATTTCAAGCTAAACCAGAGTACTCAAATCATAACTTTTGAATCCACCCGAGCAGAGTCTCCGCGGCGATCCATGTCCTCTTGTCACAGCCCCCTCCAATCAACCGGTGCCTTTGGCACATGTTACTAAGCCCCGCTTCCCCTTAAGCATAGAGAACCAGCAATACTTAAAAACAGTAGCAGGAATGATTGCCGGGGCACTGCACCTGAGGCGAATTTTATCAATTAAGAACCAGACAAAAGCTCCCAGCAAATAAATAAGAAAGAGCCGCTTGAATTCAGCCACTCAGAAGATTCATCGACATACAAGAAATTCAGGGGCAAGCAAGGATAGAAGCAACAAGAACAGCTGATTGCAGCAAGCAAGCTCCTCACTGGTTTACAAAATACCATTCGGGACATGAGCCACCCAGAGGGCATGGCTTTGCATTTTTCTCTTTCTTCATACAATCTGAAAGTGGACAAAGCGCATGCCCACCTTGAAATTCTCCCTCCCAAATTTTCTGGCCACAGCTTGTGAAATGCCAGGCCCCGCCCCTACCACCACAACAACTCCCTCCTGGCCGCCTGCCATTTGTAAGTCCTGTCTGAAGTTGAGTCTTCTAACCAAGATAATGAGGTGTTCCAACTCTGTCTGCTTAGTCTTCCACCCTCTGTTGGTTTGCAGAATCTGCCAGAGATCTTACAGTGGGCCTAAGTCAATGTACTTCTGACTGTCGTCCTGACTGTTGAAATCAAAGACAGAGCAAACTTTCAGGACGAAGGCGATCCAGAAAAACCCCTGTTTTGTGCCACCTCGCTGAGGTGGCGCAGAACTGAGAGCACAAAGACAGGCTGAAACAAGGTGCAAAACCTGCGGAAGAAATCTTATGAATCTGATCAAAGGTTAAAAACAAGCTCATGCACATCCCAATTGGTGTTTCCTGCAGGCTAGTGTATTAGAAAGAGCTCAATTGGAGCTCAGCGTCAGAAAGCTCGCAATGGCATGAGCGACAGGCTGGTGAATAATGCATGATGCAATTCTCATAATTGCAGGGACCAATCACAGCTCAGAATTACGAGTGGCGCGCTCTCTTCGATCAGTGGTGGTAGCTCAGCGTGACGTCAAACTCTTATTTTGTCAATTATCTTTTGAAACTCCGACCTGTGAAATTTGAAGACGTGGGTACGTAAGTTTGCTAGTCTTACAATTTGCGTCACTGATGATGTCACACAGGGTTAACACTCTAACACATACTAAAACCCTAAAGGTAAGCATTGAGCAAACCCTAAGGCGTTCCGCCAGAGCCCACCCGTACCCACCCTAACCCCCCGGCTAACCCCACCAAGATCAGTGTTAGCCCTGTTTGTAACCTGCGATTGCCCCGAGCACCTACCGCACCCGGTTGAACCAGGCGGTACCGACCACATCTTAAAAGTCCCGTACCGTACCACTGGTATCGCTGATGTCATCGATGACGTATTTTCGAGACTAGCAAAGTTACCTAGTCTGCTGAATTTGAATGTGAATTGTGGAGAGTTGGTGGAGAGTTGGTGGGTTCAGCATTTTCCAGATCAACTTTCAGGGATCAGGAAAGTTGGTACTGACGCTGGAGCTACATACAATCTAGAAACCAGACCTGAACTTACAAGACAGCATTCTCTCTGACGACGAAGAGAAGGAACGATGGAAGGCTGGGACACGTCCACAAAAGCAGTCGTGCAAAAGATCCCCTTGCTGACGGTGAAAGCTGGTCCGAGAGACGGTGAAGATTGGAAGAAGCGCTTGAAAGAGGAGTATCAGGTTGGCGCTGCTCTACACTCTGCCACTCAGAGCAGAGGTTGCTTTCCATTACATATGATTTACTGCCCTGGCAGCGAGACTGGCTGGGGCAAGCTAGACAAGTGGTATTGCAGGCTCCTTTCAGTTCCATATTGATAGTGTTCAGATTGTGTGTGAGCATCTGCAGAGATGCATTTTGCTATATTCCGTGGTTTTTGTTTCTTGTATTGTTTGCATACCGGCTCTTGTTCTTCTTCTTTTCTGTTGTCGATCGTGAAGTGGTGAACCGCTTCGCCCTAATGCTAGTCCCTGTGCTGCCGAGTGATTTTTCAATCACTCGTTGAAGGGGATTATTGGCCAGATGAAAGGGTAATCACAATACAAAACGACGCAACTTTCTCAGAGTTGCACCACTCCCAGAATGATTGATTATCATCAAAAGCTGATGAATAAGGTATGGTGGCATTTCCCGTTTGCGAGTTGCAGAATCTGCTGACACTGTCTCCGACGCCTGACCATTGACAGCGAACAACTCTAAATAAGCAGATTGTCAAACATTATTATGGCTGGCTGTGATCATGAAGGAGATAAGCACGAGTGGCACATCTTCAAGGAGCCACGGTCTTTCAGATCTCAGTGTCAGTAGCTTTCACCTGGTTTCGTCAGACCACCGATGGCTCCACAAAGGTCACAGTAGCTCTCTAAGAGCTGGATCTGATTGTTGTCTGAGACCCTTTTTTTCAAGCCGCCGTCATCGAGTACTGGGTTGCAGGTTGCGAGAACCTTCCACACTGGTGCCCCACTTTTCCTGATACAATTTGCGGGGTGATATTGTGACGGAGAGCTGGCTTTCACCGCTTTGGAGAACCTTCACGACTTAGGCTGTGAAAACTCTTTACAACCTCCCCTTGACACCAATTGCCGCCCCCTTCAGCCTGGCTTCTGAACAAGCTTTTGAACACCTCGTCTTGCATTCACAAACTGGTAGCTGCCTCTATAAGATGCAAACATCACCATATTGTGCAGCCAATATGCGCACCGGCGCCTGATTGGTTTAATCATGGCCTCATCGCTGTCCCTTGCGGGCGCTGACCATCAAAGTTCAAGTCAAGATCAAAGAAAAGACTGTTCTCATATAGACGTCTTCAACCCGCTAACAGCTCTGAGTGGCAGAAGTATATTGTCAGCCGCTATGTCCCCCCTAACCTAACACTTCAACCAAGTTCTCCACTTACCCCCCCTTCACCCCTGCTAGCATTTATCCTATTTACTGCTACAGAAGGCCAACGCTGTTTGAGGTAGTTCACGTTGTCATTTTCGACCTATCTTTACCAGGCTTGAGCCGGTTTTGGACCAGATAATCAAACCTTTCTAGGGACCAGCCCTAACCTGATGCTTAACCAGCCAACCGTCCCCTGCAGGCGCTCATCGCCTACATGCAAATGAACAAGGCCAACGACAATGACTGGTTCCGAATCAGCGCCGCTAACCCCGAGGGCACCAAATGGAAGGGGAAATGCTGGTACATCCACAATCTGCTCAAGTACGAGTTTGACCTCCAGTTTGACATTCCCGCAACGTACCCCGCTACCGCCCCAGAGCTCGAGCTTCCAGAGCTAGACGGAAAGACCGCCAAGGTGGGGACCGTTCTGATCTCTTTTCTCGAGCCTCATTTCCAATTTACCTTTTGATTCGTTTGCTTGTCTGTGGGAAATGTTTGTCTTGCTTGTCTGTGCAATTGTTTCTTGATGTTGGACCCTGTTGGGCGCACTTGAAGCCCGAATGGTGCCTCTTACCCGTTGATAAGCTGACTTTCGTTCCCCGGAATCTGATTGTAGACCGGACTCCTGTTGACTTGAAATCGTGGATCTGCCCTTCCACGGTACAGCTGAGGCCGTTTCGTGAAGAGACCGAGTTTCGTGAGCGGAGAGCGCGATGTCGAGAATGAAGTCTCTATCAGCGCCGGTCGTGCTCTCCAACAGCTCTTTGCGTGAACCTTGGAACACTCAAGGCCTGCAGAATTGCCGTTTACATGACCTTGCAATCGCCAAGTGAACTCGATTGGTTTCTAGTTTCCCGCGAACAGCTGTACCTCTTCAATTACCTTTGCGACGATTCTATCAGTCTCTTCGAGCAAGCTCTGTGAGAATTTGAGAGCAGCCAGATCTGCAAAATTCGGTGAGCCTTTCGTTCTGTTTGACGAGGATTAAAGTTCTGGCGGAAAAATTGTGTGTCGAGCTCTCTCAAGTGGCGCTTGACTTTATTCCCTGCAGATGTACCGAGGAGGCAAGATTTGCCTGACCATCCACTTCAAACCGCTGTGGGCGAAGAACGTGTAAGTCACTCTGACATCTGCTGGTTTAGTTAGAATGTCATCTCCTCATGACTTCGATTCAATTTATGATCACAAGACCGCAGCCCAATTCCTGCATTGGTTGCGGTCTAAAGGTGCGGCCGTACATCCTCGAAAAGCGTCACTGCATACATGATTGCTCCAATGAGAAGCGGAAGTTTTGATTGGAAGAGTTTCGGAACAGTTGAGAGGTCAGACGTTCTGAGAAACTCTTTTAAGTCGCTATCAGGTTCGTCGCAGTAACTAGGTTTGGGTCGTTTGTGTCTCTCTCGTCCATCGAGTCCAACCGCCGCATGCTCCAGCCTGCTTGATGTGCCTTGCTGACTGTGCACGTTACTCTCTTCCCATTGAGCTGAATGTGTTGTTGCTGTATAAGATCGTTGACACCAGAGCCATTCGTCTTTTCGTTGAAACGTCGAGGGGCAATGTTTGGTCAAGGAATATTAAGTGGGTCCAGCAGTTTGCAAGCTAAGTCTCCGTTTTGGGCATCCTCCTTGCAGGCCTCACTTCGGCGTCGCCCATGCACTATGTTTAGGGATGGGGCCATGGCTGGCTGCCGAGATCCCGCATCTCGTCGAGACGGGCATGATACAGCATAAAGATAACACCGCAAAGGCAACCCCCCCCACGTGATTGAAACCTTCCCTGTTGAGCCGCTTGAAGCAGATTGTTCTTCCTTCCAATTTGTTGTACATACACGAACGAGTTGGAACGACTTCAATACCTATTAGGTGCCGGGTAAACTCGGCCGGATATTGGCTCTCTAGGAGCAGCTCTCAAGCTCCCGGGCGTGCTGAGAAAGGCAAGGCGTGTTTGAGCATTCAAAGAACAGCATTGTAAGACGGTCGACAACGTCACGCAGAATCGTTGCGAAACTCATTGCAGCTCTGATGAAGGCGGCGAAGCCATATGAACCTGTCAGCTATACGGGTGTCAACCAAGACGGTATAGAATATTACTCGGAACTATCCATGGTCGGAATGCACAAGTCGGTAGACTCCGATCACAGGCTGGCCACCTTAAGATATCCAAGATCATGGCATACTAAACGTTTTAAAATTGATGACCCTGAATCATGCATGTCATGCAATGATCTCGGACTCATATATGTGACATGGTCATGCGAGCCGTCTTTGTGCATGCGCACCATGCCATGATGCACATGCATGGCTGGCACAAATTTGACGGTGGCGCAGTACTTACTTATGCACATGCAGTGCATGGCAGCCGGCCGTGCATGCATCATCAGTGGCCGGCCAGCAGCATTTGTAAAGGCAACTGGCAAATTCATGCATGTAGGCGACTCAGCAAAATCCGTGACCCAGCGGTGCACTAATAGATGCGCGTCACAGCACATGTTGCGTACCCCATGCAGTAAGGGAGTCATACCCGCAATAGCTCAGCTTGCAGTTCAGGAGTGCGAGTGCAGTGCAGCGATACACAGATGCACTCGCAGTGCTAGATCATGCAATTTACAGCGGATCTTTACAGCGGACCCATGGAATACTGTCAGTACCCACTGCAATCCTGGGATCGCAATCAAGCGCGCGCTGGCATGGCTATCGGGCCAGCATCTGACCCCAGCGGGTCTGTTGTGCACTCAAACGACGGATTCTCACTTACATGCCACAGAGGTGCCATGACGTACCAGATTTTCCTGGAAGCACCAAGGACTCCTGTGTTCGCATCATTCAAGTGCTCGTCCTTGGTTGACAAGACAGCCTTTCTGGCTGTCAATCGAAGAGGACCAGGCAGAAAGGCAGAAACGCACGCTCGGCTACAGTGTTCCTATCGTCAAAACTCCTCCAATCGACAGCACCATAAGCTGTCGGGCTTACTCCGTGTATTCTTCAAGACTCGCGCAGAACTCGCTGTGGCAGCCGGTTTACTTGAAGCACTTGACCTCGACCACCGTCTTCCCGTCGATCGTGTCGGGCTCCTCCAGGAGGTCGTTCACCCGCTCCTTCTGCTCAGAGTCGTTGACGTCGACCTGAAAAGATGATGGTAAAGTCATTCAGCATCTTCGTGATAGGTTCGGGTTGTGCACCGTTGTTTTACTGTGTACTTGGTGGTGCTGAGAGCAGGCCCCAAAGCAAAGAAAACGATGTTCACAATGATAAAATTGGCAGGAGCAGTGGGTGACTGGTAACGCCGAACAATATTTTGTCTGCTCTGTTGTCCTGGCCGATCGGCACCCAACAAACGAATTTCAAAGGAACTCCATCGATAAGTTCTTTGAGCGAACAGTTCAAACATTCAGAATACCACTTTATCAACTATCGGCCTAGCAAACCCATCACCAAGCTTTTCAATCTAAACCACCCATACCACCCGGCTCCGAAATACACGTCCTTTCCAGAACGGACACCAGAGGCGCTGTTTGCAAACAAGAATGTAGAGCGGCTATCACATGCCCTCCCCCTTCCTTGAATATGTTAGGTTTCTTGCTCTTCATAATGGACATCGTTGATTCCCAGTACCAGCCTTCAGGCTGCTAATTCAGACCCCTGCCCCATTTTAGCTGCATCCCGACCGTTCAACACATGACCCAGGCAAGAGCACGAAAGGCAGTCGCAGGAAATCTCAGCAAATGAAAGAGAAATGTAGAAGTCCAGAGAGAAATCTGAACAGCCATGAAACACGAGATCTTTGGCACTCAGCAGGGAAATATTAGCAAGAAAACAAATACGAAGACGGATGCAACTTTTAGGGGGCGGCGTGTGCCCGTAGCGCCTTGACGATCAAATTGCCCGTCTAAACGCAGCTCGAGTTGCTAAATCTATTACCACATGATCGGATTCTCGGCGACACGACAGCAGTTTATCATACAGAGTGGCTGCCGTGGTATCACGTAGGTTAGCGCCCTCATTAAGGAAAGGAACGACGAAGTAAGATAGAGAAGAAATTCCCAATCCACATATCCTTCCGGCCCTCACCTTGGCCCAGTCGTAGAGCTCCATATCGTACGACTCGTCGAGGACCTGCTTGGGGATCTCGGTCCCCCGGAAGAGCCACACCCCGCTGATGTGGAACGGCCCGCCCGCCTTCTCCTCCAGAATGGCCATCTTGGCGAATGCGTGCTTCCGCACAAAGTCCATGCGTTGCAGGAAACCGGAGACCTTGTTCATCGTCATGAACGACGCGGTGTTCTCCTCCGTGTACTTGTACTCGCAGAACCAGAGGGAGTAGCCCGCGGGGTCGTAGCTGGCCCAGAAACCTGCGAGGGGAGCAAGGAGGGTGGTGAGATGGGGTCAGCTTTGGCTGAAAGATTTGAGAAAAAGTGGAGCGGATGGAGCTCGCTTGGTCCGCAAGCTGCTTACGGATTTTTTTCAAGCATGGGACGTGTTAACTTGGACGTGCAAGGGCAGCGAAAACCGGCAATGGCTGTGCGCTGATCTGCCCGAGCAGCCGACGGGCCATGATCGATTGGGGTGCCAGAGCGGGGAGAGAGGATGGGAAACTGGGAAGGAGCGAAGGTAATTCAAGAAAATAGGCATGAAGTGACCTTCTTCAATGCAATGATGTAACCCAGGACTTCCGGAAAAGGGAAAGCACAAGTTAAAAGTAGACGACAGGCAATTCGAACATGAAAAGATGACACACAGGGATGCAGAAATTGCAAGAAGAGGCCCAGAACAAAGGGAGAAGCCCAACTGTGGGCACGGCAAGCTACCGAATGAAAGAACTGGTGGCGTGGTGACATCAACGAGCCTGCGCAAGAAACAGCCAACTTATCCGCACTCCTCACCTTTGATGGCCACCTCTCTGAAGTCCTTGACTTTCGTGTTGGAGTACAACCGCTTCCAGTCGTCCATGACCATGGGGGAGGGGGGGAGCAGGTCTAGGGGGTTCTTGGGCTTAGGCGCAGGCTTGGGTTCATCGTCCTCATCGGCAGCGGGGGCGGGGGCGGCCTCCTTCTTCGGCTTGGGCTCCTCCTTCTTCTTCTCTGCCTTGGGGGCGGCCGCGGGCTTCTCGGAGACGGGCATCTCCTTGGCGGCCTGAGTGACCTCACCGATTACCTGGGGGAGAGCAGAACGGAGTGGGTACGTAAGCGTCTGCTTTAGATTGTTTCTTTCATGTGAAAAAGGTTCATTGTAAGGGCTCGAACGCAGAAAGAACCGTCTGCAAACCAACCAATCAAGCACATTATTCCCTACTCCTTGGAAGTCTGAGTGACCTCGCCGATGACCTGGGGGAGAGCAGAACAGAATGGTGCGTAAGGGTCTGCTTTGCATCCGATTGTTTGTAGGTGTTCGTTTTGAGGAGCTTGGAATGCAGAAGCGATTGCCTGGAAACCTGCCAACGGTTCGCCTTCCGACTCAACCGTTTTGCAAAGACAAACTTTGGTGAGTGGAAAGTGTCAGACGCACTGTTCAGGTGACCTTGTGGCGCAGTATGGTACTCTGTGGAGTGCTATGATACTGGTGAAGGTCGTGATATCACTATTTGAACAGATTGATCGGTCAACAAAATGCGAGTGCCATGAAAGAGGGATTCGGCGAACCGAAAAGAAGGTGTCCTACACTTCAGCGCAATCTAATCCCAGAGGCTGCTTCAGCCATGGCCACAAGAAAAGCTGCTTTCATGAAATGTCTAGCTCGTCCCATGACGACGCTTTTTCGTCATAGCCTGGTCTTGTGGAGTATCGTCACTGAAGAGAAACGAATCTGAAACGGAATGCCATGCCCGCGCTCATCCTTACGGAGTTTCACGCGAGGAGAAAAAATGCCGGAATGAATGCTCGGCCCTCACCTTCTTGAACTCTGGTTGGTTGACCTGGGTCCAGAAGTAGCGGGTTACGTGGGGGAAGGGTTTGAGGAAACCCGAGGTGAGGACGTTCTGGATGCCACCAAGCAGGTTGCACGCCACGATGATGTCAGCAACCGTCACCTTGTTGCCGACCAGGTATGTGCGGGATGCGAGGTAGTTGTTGAGCGTTTTGAGCCCCTCCATGGCCTTGCCCTTGACGGCACCTTCCCTCTGTAATCAGAAACGTACTTGACACGCCTGAACATTTTTAGGTGCTGGGTGCGACTCCGGATGGAAATTGCACTGGTCCAGGTGTTGTGATATGCGAATCCCCTGACAACCGGTTCGAGGACCTGAAGCCAGCAAATCTATGTGACCCCCCCTATGGCTCCCGATTCGCATGCGGAGTAGTCGGTCATGGATTCTCGACCAACTGCAGGTGGGACACTGACAGCTAAGTCATCATGCAAGCCTGAAGCTTCGTAGTGAACAACAACAATTTCATCTTTAGCTACATCTGTGCAGAAAATTTTTGTGAGAAGGTACTCACGGTCTTGTCATAGGGCATCCTGCCTGCCCTCATGGACACCCATTCCTGGACGTAACCCCTGATCTCATTCTGGGAGAAGTCAACCCACTGGTCCACAAGAGCCTGGAGAGGAGCGCATCATTCCGGGTGTCAGACAATCATCGCTTCGATGAAAGCTGTTGATCAGTAGCTCCTGACTTCAATGAGTTTTCTCGGTGGGTGGCTCCTGATAGTAAAAGCTGGAGAGACATTCTCTTAAGCAACGAAAGGTGTGCCTATCTGTGCTGCATCACTTCCAGGAGCATGCCACTGTCTGTACCCAGGCGCTACTTTGCACTCTGTGATTCTCTGCTTCATCACAAGTTCACTCTGTAATCCTCTGCTTCATCACTAGTACTTCCAACAACACGAGAAGAGTTATGCTCATCAGTTATGATAATCGCAGCTCCTGCAAGCATTGCGCGGGCCCAAATGATGACTTTCTCCTCTGCTTGCAGTCAAAAGCTTTTAGCAGACACCACAACTTCCGTGGCACCTGCATTGGCGTCATATCCAAAACAGACAATCCTATATACAAACATGATTGAAGAAACAATGCAAGCTAAGTTCCCATTCACCTGATCTTGCAGCTTGGCAGGGTACAGCTCGACCGCCGGCCTCAGTTTTGAAACTGCAGGCAGGACAATACCTTCTGAGACAGATGCTTGACAAAAAGAGGTGGCATCAATATTGCAGATGAAACAGCAATGTGACCGAAACAAAGTATGTGAGCAGAGTGGTTGGACACAGCCACGGTCTGCGTTGCAGTGTCTATCTTCTGCACCCCTGATCCCCGCTACAGTTTAGACGTGAGCACAAACTTTGTGTTGGATGAGTGCTGCGACACTCACCATACTTGGCGATTGCATTGCTCTCAAAGATAGGGCCTTGCGGTGTCACAAGCACTGGTACCTGCAAGCACAAAATTTCCAATTCAAGCAGTTCAAAGGCGATCCAAGATCAAACCGTTACCAAAATCAGCAACACGGCGACACGAAAGAGTACATTCAGAGACGAGGAGTACTCCAAGTAAGTGATACTGTCTATTGAGTTGGCTGTCAATGTTAATCATACAATACGTGCTGCTACAATGGCACTCGCGAAGCGCCACTTTGTTATTAAACAGCTTCATCTGAATCACTGCAACATGCAATCGGCAAGAAGGTGTTTCGTAAACATGAACCTGCCTAGTGGCGAACATTCACCTTTCCAGCCGGGTTCAACTTGAGGAACTCTGGCGTCTTGTTCTGTGTCCCAAGTTCGACGGGCACAGACTCGATTGACTCCCCAACATACTCGGCCGCAATCAGGGCCTTGAAAACATTGGCGTTAGGCACCGACCCGTAGAGTTTCTGCAAAAAGACAAACTTGTCACCTCAGAGGTGATCCTTGAAGGAACTGGTCCTCGCACCTGCCTTGCATAGAACAAAAACGTGTACAACCATACGCGAATTTGCTTTTCCGGTCAAATAGGGTAGAAAAGCAATCAGCTATGCTCTAAGACACCTAAGAGCAGATTAGTAACAGGCCGTCTGTATGTTATACTGCAATCATGGTTCTCGGACAGCAGTGCAAACACTTCAGATTACAAAGACTAAACAACAACTTCAGAAGATGCCTAGATGCCAGCAAACCATTACCACCATATGCATGCAACTGCGACAAATCCTTGAAAAAAGATAAGATACTTGAGTGCCAGATCCAACCACCAAATGATCAGTACCTGGGAGGAATGTGCTAATTAGGAAGCTCGCATTCTGCAGATCGAATTGATTCGTTACAAAAAGCACAAAAGGGCTTGTATACGCCAAATCACTCGTGCCGCCAGATCCAACAGTCCGGAAACTCACCAGCGCCATGTTTGCAGGGCGATCTCTCCTTCTTTGAAAACCTTCGCGATTCCCCTCCCAATGCGTTCTCCTGATCTCTGGAATAGATTCTAGGCGCTAGCAACAAATGCAGTGCTCAGTTTCAGTAGAGATAGGCAGTACACGTAAGCTCTGCAGGCTTTCTTTCTGAACCCTGGTGGGTTACGCGGGTGGTCGTAACCTGGTAACGTAAACCGACCGTAACCTTGAGGAATCTTGAAGAAGCTGCACACCGTTCGATCGGATTGAGATTCAAATCCGACGTCAGCGAAGAAGCTTTATCGACGGTTCAGGACGCTCTCATCTAGCGCATGGTCGAATGAACGACTCCAGGATCCTTCAAACTTGAATTAGAGAAGCCACCCCGGCCCACTCTGATTTCAAGGCCGGCCTGGGCCTGGGCCTGGGCTGGATCTCACGATTCGCGCCATTGGCATTGGCATGAGCTTGGGGTTTGACGGGAACATCCGAGCCTGGATGTCTACCTACCGTAGACGTATTGAAGGTAGGTAAGACGCAGAGGAGACATGGTTCAACGTTGAGCGCACAACGCGAAGGCGCACCAGCTTCTTCTGAAAGAGCTGTTGAGGCAACGTCCAAATGGATTCTTCGCCTTTTGGGGGGGTCTCATTTGCCGCCATGCTGACAGCAGAACAGCGGGAGCGAATGCTGCGCAACAAGCAGGCCGCCCAAGAACGCCTTGAAAGTAGCAGAAAGAAGCAATGCACGGGCAATGCTTTCATTCCTACGGGAAACCCTTACTTCTCTGTCAGCTCTTCTGAAAAGACTGGACCAAATGCAAGGGGCCCAATCACTGGAAACATTTCCTCTGAATCAGCTGGTGCGGACCTTCCTAACAGTTCCAGTATCCGCACATTTCCCAATCTGTCTGAGCTGGGACAGTCTCATATGGCAAAGCAGGCCGCGCCGCCGTTGTGGGTCAAGGAGGGTGCTCGCAGTGTGTTGGGGCTTCTCAACGGGAATGCTGTGTCATCACGGCCTGCTGTAGGGCAAAGCCCGCAAAGCATCAAGCCAATAAACCCCAATGACAGAGCTGCCAATGACAGGACCCCTTGGCAGCTACCATCACTCCCCTTGGTTTCCACATCCTCGTCTCAAAGGGAGGTCTCGCAGCAGTCTCAAGGTGCATCTGGCAGCGGCGTCTTCTTAGCAGCATCACTTCAGGCTTGCAGCAAGTTGCCTCCCACCAATCAGGGGCTGCCACCTGGCACTATACAATCCAAGTCCACTGGCACTCATGCACCTGATCTTCGCAACCCCACTGCTCTGAAGCCTCAGGTACAGAGTCCTGCGCAGTTTGAGGATAGCCCTGAATTTGACGACAACTGGTTGCAAGAGATAGACAGCCTGTGTGAGGCGCGGAGGGTGGGCTCACAGCCGCGCAGAGTTAGTTGCGAACTAAGAGAAAGGCTCAGAGAGCCAGTCATGATTGTTGGCCAGGAGAAAAGGGTTAACAAAGTGAGCGCACTGCCAGGAGAGTGCTTGCTGGAAATCAGGCCCTCGATGCCGGCTGAGTGTGTCCAGTCTGCAAGGCCTCAGGTTTCTTCTGAGGGGACAGAATTGGCAGGCGCATCGAGCTTTCCCATTGGAGCAGTATCTGATTCTCTGCTAGTTGGATTTTCGCATCTGCCCCACATTCCTGGCTCTAGTCTAGCACCAAGCAAACTGCCCCTTGCCGGTCACCTTAGCAATGCAGCAGCCACTTCAGAAAGAATCAATTTTAGTGAGAAGGAAACCCTTCGCCTAGGCCCCGACACAAGGCCTCCAGCGTCAAACCCAGCTTCAGTCTCAAACTCAGCTGCTGCCAGAGGCCCTGTTAGCCACCAACCCACATCCCCCTTGGGACCTGCAAGAAACGATGAACTTCCTATCAAAGAGTGTGTCCCAGTCACTCCCACACCTAATAGCATAGGTCTGCTGCCAGCTTCCTCTGGCTGGCGCACAGTCGTGAGGGACCGATCACAACCCCCAGAGACGTCACAGCGATCCATTGAGTCAGGTCAGCAGACTCCCCAGCGCACAGTCGCTCTGCCTGGTGCGGAGAGTGTCAAGAGCTGCGCTAGGGAAGAGACTGGGGAGCATGCGACACCGCAGCAACGGAGGGGAGGTTTTGGAGAACGTGGTGTCATTAGTTGGGACTGCGAAGCAGGGCCGGCGGAGGTGACACCAAAGGGGGCGATCCGCGCTGGGACGCGGCAGCTGAGGCAGGAGTCAATCCAGTTTCAGATCCGTAAGTATCCTAGCCCAAGTGCCTCGTCATCTAAACCAAGACGGGGTTTACAGGGAGGGCCAAGCTGCCAATCTTTACCGGCCGACTCCCCGCAGGACCAACGCCCTGACCCTCTCGCTAACCCGCCTCTTAACCCCGTTGCGAACAGCCCCCAAAGCCCGCTCCAAACCCAGCTCTGCAGTCCCACAGCAATTCAAGTTCGTCACTCCTTTCCTGGAAGCAAAGGAGGAACACCCGCGCAAAATCCTCAAACCTTCGCAACAACGTTAACGGTGCCCGCCCCGCCCCCTCTCCCCCCCCCTCGGGAGACCTCCGCAGACTCAGACGGCCAACCACTGGGATCAGAGTCTGAATTGCCCTCCCCCCCACAACCACCAGCGTCCTTGCTAGCCCATCTCGACCCCCCCATTGGCGAGGACGACGGGATGCCGGGGTATTTACGCAAGCTGAACCCGTCCCAGAGGGAGGCGGTGTTAATGGGCGCGGACCGGCCGCTGCTGGTGCTGGCGGGACCGGGGTCGGGGAAGACGAGTACCATGGTCGCCAGGCTGCTGTACCTGCTGAGCCAAGGCGTAAAAGCGTCCCAGGTGAGACAGATGTTATCAGCCGCTCAAGGGTTCTTTGCTGACTTTGTAATTTTATGCACAAAGAATCTGCTGTAGTGTTGCTGAAAGTGCTTGGAGTCTGAGACTGTTGTTCTTGCTGAGGCGTGAAAGCGTCTCTGGTGAGTCAGCCGGTCCCAAATTTCATCACCATGACGGGTGGGTTTGATATGGGGGTTTAAGGGTGGGCACAGGTGCGGAGCGGGTAGGATTTTCAGGTTATAGCTCTTGGTATAGACTTCGTTCTGATTTTGAATCACACGACGCAAGATACCAAGATTCGGGACTCGACGAAATAAAGCTCCAGCGTTTTTGAGGTAACGGAAGGTCTTACCATCAGATGCAGCATTTCGTCGACTTATCCTCACAGCACGAAAGCTACGCATGCGGTGAAGTCGATGATCGCTTTTCGAAACTTGTCTACTGTTTGTAACTTGCAAGTGCTGGCGCTGACGTTCAGATCACGGCCGTGTTTCAAATGCGTAAGATGTGGCGTGCTAAGTGGGCAAGACGACTAGACTTGAGCATCTAAGATTATCCATCCTACAGAGTCATCAACCGTCTGAAACCAAGCTGAACTCAAACCTCTAAACCATAAAAGCCAAAACCCCGCATCCCTCAGGTGCTGCCTCTGAAGTTCACAATCGCGGCGGCATCCGAGATGCGCGAGCGCGTGGGGCGCTAATGATTATATTTGGGCCGAATTTGTCTATCCTACAGGGTTTTCAACCGTCTGAAACTTAGCTAAACTGTAAAACAATGAACCCCTAAATCCCGGTATCCCGCAACCCTTAGGTGCTGGCGCTGACGTTCACGATCGCGGCCGCGTCCGAGATGCGCGAGCGCGTGGCGCGCGAGGTGGGCAAGACGACCGCGAAGGAGCTGACCATCACCACCTTCCACTCCTTCTGCCTGCAGCTTTGCCGCACGCACGCCAAAAAGTGAGCCGCCGCTCTAGTTGTGCTTTTTCTGCGTCTGCATCATACAGGCGCAGGCAGTCTCCCAGTGGGCATGCACCCTCAGTCTCTTCCAATGAGGAAACCTTTCTTCAAACGCAAGTCTCTTGGTCTCTTGGTGTGGCCCGTTGAATGCCTTTAGTTTGTTAAGCCTAGGGGCGCACTTACAATCACACCTCTCTCGGTTGTCATCGTACCTGTCCCTGATTCGAAGTGTTACTCTCGTCATTTTTCTCGCAGGCATATAATGCCCCCTTATCCGGGTATGCAGGGTCAACACCAGCTCAGAAAGCACCCTGCCGTTGCGGACTGCCTGTTTTTCAGTATCACCAATTCAGACTGTAACAGACAGTCCGACTAACCGCCTTCTTTTCGGCCCTGCTGAGTCGAACCGACCTGTGCGCATTACCGCTGACATCCAAATCAAGCCTTTCTGCCCGCCTCTTTGTGAACTTTCAGAACAGGATCTCACAAAAAGCGCAGGGTCAAAACAGTACTTTCTTTGGAAAGGGCTCTGTAAAGACACGCCCGGGGATTATGTGGGGCTGGAATGGGTGCGCACCGCATCATAGCCGCATTCAGTCTCGTATTTTGTTGGAGCCACTACACCGGTTACTTTCTCAGACGTATCAGATTCTTTTGAGTATCATGTTCTCTGAAGTCCTAACCGTAACTGCATGCAGGCTTGGGCGCATCCCCCACTTTCTTAATAGTCTGAACGTGAAGAGCTCATCGGTTCGAGACTTGGGACTGCTACACGCATGTCCACGAAAAGTCTCATCCCACTGAAGCTCCCTTACGAACCCGAAAATCCTAGAACCCAAACAAAATAACGGTTTTCAAAACCTTGAACTTTTAAACCCTAAATTTGCAGGCTTGGGCGCACCCCCCAGTTCCTGGTTTACGGCCCCTCGCAGCAGCGGCGCGCGGTGGTGGAGGCGCTGCGACTGATTGCGGGCGAGCGGGGGGGTGAAAACGCCGGGCTGATGGACCCCCGGCAGGCGAAGATGCAGGCCAAGAAGTGGGAGAAGTTCATTGCACAAGTACGGGGCTGACATCAGAGAGTGATGCGCTGCTGACGATATGCGTCTGCTATTTTTGCCTGTTCTCTCAGGACGGGGGAGCTTAAGGGTTCCAATTTAAAGTGATACGAAATTCTGGACGTTGAGTGTTTTGTTGTACCTCGATCTGATGGGTCCTTGGCGTCAGGAAAGGCGTATTTCCCGCCGAGAATGGTAGAGTTACTTCGCGGAACACTTGCAGTCATCCTCCCTAGCCCCTAGACCACCTCGGATTGTCTTGCTCCTTAGACCCTGGTCTTCTTGCCTGTCCGTCAGTTGGTAAGCAAAAGCCCTGAGCGCTGTAATATCAATCTTCGAGCAACTCAAGCTAGTGCCTATGCTTGACAGCACGTTCTTCGGAGAATACGCACGCTTTTGTGAGCAAATTCTCTTCACCTCCAGGCCAAAGCGGACGGCAAGATGCCTGACCTCTATGCGCGAACCGGCAACGCGCCAAAGAGGTCGCGGCCGTCTTGGGCTTACACGACAAGACTCCCCAGCGTTGCAATCTTAAAATAGATGCTTTGATTGGATCTACGTGCTTTTGTCAAAATGAATCCTTCGTCATCCTCCAGGCAAAAGCGGACGGCAAGACGCCTGACTTCTATGCGCGAAGCGGCAACACAGAGGGCGCCGCAGTTCTGGGGCACTACGAGGAGACGCTCCGGCGGTGCGACGCTCTGGACTACAGCGACTTCATCAGCTGCGTCGTGCGGTTGCTCGAGACCGACTCGGAAGGTGGGGCCACAGCACTTCCAACCGGCCATCTTCGTTTTGCACCAAAGACCGGATGGATCTTACTTTTCTGGAAAGTTTTCCTACGACACGCACTACGGTTCGCGGTGTCTTTTTCTGAGTGCCTTCTCAAAGCTTTTTTACGGTGCGACGCTCTGGACTACAGCGACTTCATCAGCTGCGTCGTGCGGCTCCTTGAGACCGACTCGGACGGTGGGACACAGCACTTTCAACCGGCCATCTTCGTTTTGCACCAAAGACCGGATGGATCTTATTTTCTGGAAGGTTCTCGTACGACACGCATTACGGTTCGCGCGTGTCTTTTCTGAGTGGCTTCTCAAAGGCTTCGACGGTGCGACGCTCTGGACTTCAGCGGCTTGATTAGCTGCGTCGTGGGGTTGCTCGAGACCGACTCGAAAGGTGGGGCACAGCACTTTGGACTGGCCATGCACGTTTTGCACCAAAGACCGGATCGATCTTACCTTTCTGGAACTTTCTCGTACGACACGCGTTACGTTTCACGGGTGTCTTTTTCTGGGTGGCTTCTCGAATCTTTCGAGGGTACGACGCTCTGGACAACAACGACTCTATCAGCTGCGTCGTGCGGTTGCTTGAGACCGATTCCAAAAGTTTTAGTCACAGCAATTTCAGGTGACGTTCTACTTCTTCGACTTGATGGCATCTTCCCTTCGTGAACGGTTCTGAGAATTCTTTGTACGGCATTCGTTCGGCGTTCCCGTGTCTTTCTCGAGTCGCGTCTCAAAGTTGTTGACGGTGGCTGCTTAACACCGACTCGGAAGGTGCGGATTAAACTCAAGAAACATAATAACAGCTAAGTTTTGGGTAGGTAACCGCACTAGGACGGGTAGGGTTAGAGTGGGTAGGGGCCGAATCAGGTAGTACTTTTGGGTCAGCATTGTCTCGTCACTCGATATCAGATTTGCCCTGGCTTAACGTTATCTCTCTTGAGTACCATTGGGCCATGTGTTGCCACCTTCAGGCCTAAGTCCAGCTTTCTGCCGTGCAAGTTGTACAAGAGCTGGGGATTTTTCTTTGGCTGGTTTCTCTGCAACTTACAGCTCTGTTGTCTGGCGTGTTACTTCTCGCACTCGATGGCACCTTAGCTTCGTGGACGTTCCTGGAAGTTCCTCGTAGGGTATCGTTCCATTTTAGGTGCTGCCTTTCTTTGAATACCTTTGTGATGCTTTGAACGGTGCGACGGTCTTTAGAGGTGCGACTTTGTCCACTGCCTTTCCTCCAGAAAGAGATTGCATCCTCTTGCGACAATAAAAGAAACGCAAAGAGAGCACAAGAGGATTTAGAGGAGGAATGGGGGAAAAGGTGCATTGCACTTTGCGGCTGCCAAGACAGACGGGGAAAATATGGTCGTTTCTCGAACCATCTTGGGCGGATGTGTCTCTTTTTCCATCCTTGCGTTTCATCTTTTGGAGGGACCTCGACATAATGGACAACTTGGCAATTCCTAGCTGGCTGGATCGCCGGTTTCAAATGTTTCAAGCGCCCTTCTCCGCCTCGAGAGGTCAGCTGTAAAGTACGGAATCCTACAAGAAGATTTCCACAGCGTCGGCTGATTCGGTTAACAAAAGGTGAACCAACGCTAGCATTATTTGCCGAGCGCATGCGAGGCCACGTGGGTTCAGGTGCTCAAGGTGATTGGTCCCTCAAGTTGACAAAAATAAAAGCTTCCCTTCAGCCTTAAAAGTCTGGACTCCCGGATCAAAAATACTATCCATTGCTGACGTAGCCCGCGCGTCGACTTCCTGCAGTTTCCAGCACGTGCGAGGCCACGTGGACCCACGTGCTGGTCGACGAGTTCCAGGACACGAGCGCGCAGCAGTACCGCTTCCTGCGCGCGCTCGCGCCGCACAAGCGGATCACCGTTGTGGGCGACGATGATCAGTCGATCTTCAGCTTTAATGGCGCCAACGCGGGGGGCTTCGGGGCGTTCCGAGCGGACTTCGTCGGGCATAAGGAGGTGGGAATTTGTGCACTCATCTATTGAGTGTATTTTTTGTAGAAGGGTTCTCGTATCTTCGTGAGGAAGTCGACGAGAGGGCTTTGCCATGCCAACACATCCGGAAGACCAAAGTCAAGCGTCCTCGCGGGAGGTTGTAAAGAAATATAGCGGCAGTGATTTCGTACAGTTTTAAGGCGTGACGTCAGTTTGACGGGTTGGAGAGAGGGCCCGACTGGAAAGCCTAAAACATATGCATCTGCCTGCAAATTTAGATGGAAATCTACTTGTGAGATTACTACTGTGAGAAACTTTGAAGTAGACCACAGTGTTCAGTCGGTCGTCGGCCGAGAATTGTCGCAGGCTCTTTCTCTTTCTCACCCAAGCTCTCCTGTCATTTCGTTGTCGTACTATTGAGACGGGCTTTTCACCTTGCGTTCCTTATTGGGCAGAATTTTACGTAAGGTTAGTCCGACATGAACAGCAAGAGCGAAATTGCGCTGGAGTGATAGGGTGGGTAAGCACCACGGCTTGGCACCGTTCTCCTTTTTTGAAATATTCGAGACTTGGCGCGGCTGTATCATGCGCGAAAATCTGCTGAGTTTGAGCAGAGTTGAAGGACCAAAAAGTAGCGCCTAAGCGCATCTCAGAGTTTCAATTTATGATGTCTTTCCGGGTAGGGCCAGAAACGATCCGTCGCTTTCCAACTACGGCGTATCTATCCCCAATAATAACAGATCTACTTTCAATACAGCCAGATGCAGATATTGCAAAGCCCTAGGGGCGGGTGGACTTACCTTGGGAATCAGCGCGGGTAAGAATGCGGACCGGTAAGTTTGTATCTAGTTTTCTGATTTGTTGAGTCCTCCCGGTTCCAATGTGTATCTCAACCTGGCTCAACTCATCCTGAGGTTGAGCCTTATCTTATTCCCCCGCAGGTCCGTCTCCAGCAGAATTACCGCTCGACGGGCGTCATCGTCGCGGCCGCGGCCGCCCTGATCGCGCGCAACCGCGCGCGCTGCGTCGACAAGCGCGCGTTCACCGACAACGCTGCCGGGGACAGGATCGCCGTCGTCGAATGCCGCACGGAGCCGGCGCAGTGCGCGTTTGTCGTTGACAGCATCCTGATGGCCATCACCGGTAAGGCTGTAAAAGTATCTGCAAGATACCCACACCGTCTCTGACTGAATGAGCGTTCCCCCATGTGTTTGCTTCCGAGGAGAGACGAATTGACGTCAAATGTCGCACGGAGCTCGCCCAGTGCGCGTTTGTTGTTTACAGCATTTTGATGGCGATCACCGATGAGATTGTGAATCTTACCACGAAGCAGATAGGCAGGGTAACGGACAAGGTGCATCACCTCACTGGTGCTTGCGTGCTCATTTTTCTCTGCCAAACAATTTCTCACCCTTACCTGTCTGCTGTTTCCGTCATACTAAATGTTAGTTTGGCAAGATAAGTACCGCTTCTGTGGTTGAAAGGGCGTCCTCGCATGAGGGGTTTGCAGCGCAAAACAGTTCTTGTTATGTGTCTGAGCCTTCATCACGGTCCAACAGCAATAGTTGTGTTGGCAACAATCAGAGCGAAGCCTTGGCTGAATGGATGCTTGAGGGGACGAGTTTTCCGAACGCACTCACGAAGTTAGGCTTGCGAGTCTACCAGATTTTGGATGTACCTAAAAGCAGTCTTTATGTCTGGCTAGCGAGTCTTCCAGCAATCTGAGATTTCTTGCCTGATGAGAAAGATGCAAGCTCCGTCGATCTGATTGGCTTCGTCTTTCCAAAATACAAACCGTCCCGGAGCGGATCAGAGTTGCAACCGTCTCAAAAGTAGCTGCAAAAATCCGAATGTTATTGCAAGGAACTGTTAAGGTCCTTAACACAACCTTCACACGAGCAACGGTCCGAAAGAGCGTTTAGGTCACAAAGCAACGGTAAACAGGAAACGAAGCCGTTTCAGTCGCAGGAAACAGAGACGGAGACACCGTTTCTGATTGCAGGCAACGGTAGCGGTAACGGTGAGGGGCCGAAGTGGGGCGACTTCGCGGTGCTGTACCGGCGGCAGGTGACGGGTAAGGCGTTCCAGGAGGCGTTCCGCGCGCGGAAGATTCCGTTCAACTGCCACGGGGTGGCGTTCTACCGGAAAAAGGTGAGGAGAGCGGAGTGGGTGCTCGGAACGCGCGGAACGGGACCTTCGCTCAGAGAACAATGAGTGGGACGTGCAGGGTTCCCTTATCGATGGTAAAGTTAGGCGGTCGGTGCTTTTTGGAAGTCAGGACTGGCGTGCTTCAGCAAAAGGTACGGGAGCCGGAAGTGGTGGCTCCGAACGCTTCTGAAAGTTTCGATGATGCGGAGACGTGACTATTATCCGTACACAACGACTTTCTCTTCAGGTTCTTGACCGCGCACCTACGTATTCGAATTCAACTCATGCTGATCTACCAGGCATTCTGTCCCCTTTCGGTGCCCGCTACTCTTTACGTACTGGAAATCGCATTTTGTGTAAGGCCGTACCAACGGTAGCACATCCTCTTCTAAATAGGTTCAATCAACAACCTTCCCCTCAGTGCAGGTCATCTTCAAACTATGTGCAAAAGGGTCTACGCAAGCTAGGTTTACCTCGGGCGCATCAGCTTCAATCGGCGCTTCTTTTCGCTTTTGTGGAAGTCGCAACCTTCTCCTGATGGCGGGCTCTACTGGCGACACTAGATATCCTTTTCACCAGGTTAACATAATGGCGATTTTCCATTTCCTAAACCCTGAACCCTTTGCAGGTCATCCGCAACGTTCTCGCGATGCTGCGGTTGATGGTCGACCCGTCGGACCCCGCGGCCGGGCGGCGCGCCTTCAAGGCCCTGTTCGGGGAGGAGAAGGAGGAGCGCAAGAAGGCCGTGGACTACGTCGAAAAGGTGGGCGGCCCAGAACAAGGCCCGATTCTCACAAGGGCGTCCTGAGAACCGAAACGCATCAGCGACCAGAAACCGCAGAAACGGCCATTTTGGTCGCCGAGCCAAAGTTTCAAAAAGCAGTCCAGCCCGTCTGATGACCATTCCCCTCTCGGCGCGATCGCCAGCAGTGCGTTTTCAAAACTGACGCCCTCTTTCGGTGTGGGGCATTTTCGAAATGTGGGGTTCCTTTTGGCAACTGTTTCTGACGGAATGGACAACGGATCTTTTCATTCTTGAGCAGTACTGATGATGCCAAAATTCCTCTTCCTGCCGCGAAATAGCAGCTCAACAAAACTCCGCAACCAAGTAAGGCCAGAAATTTTTCGACAGCCGCGAAAGGGATGATAGAAAGAGGAACAACGACCTCAAATTAACCACAACTTAGCGTAACTTGTAGCAGAGACAATAGAAACAGAAAAGCCAACTTAAACGTTTTGACCTCAATCTGTTTTTGCAGATGTCCCGCTCCAACAAGGAGGGCTTCCTGGCCACCTGCCGGGGCGTCTTCGCGGCGAAAGTCTCGGGCACGCTGTGCCGCAAAACCCTCGCGAAAGGCAAGAAGGCGGTCGCCGCGATCGACACCCTGATCAAGCTGGCGTCACGCGAGACGTCACTCTCCGCGCTGGTGACGTCAGTCGTGCAGTGCCTGCCGGCGCGGCCGGCCTTTGCCGCGCGGGCCGCGGTGGACGAGAGCGGGGGGAAGTACCTGAACGAGGATGACGATCCTCGCACAGTAAGTGACGTCAGCCAATTCGCTTTCCTTGACTTCGCTTTCTTGCCTTGAAAACCACGATTGCCTTGGCAAACGCTTCATATTGGTAAGCGGCCATTGATTCAACTTGTCCACACTGCTGTAGATTTGATACCGGCGTCGCAAAACTGCGCTGCGCAGTGGATGGTATCTGATTATCTCTCGAGTAAGCGTTCGACATTGCGTTCAGTAGAGCGCATCTGGACAAGTCTGACGCAGAATGCTTAATCGATTCTGTGAAGTGTACACCACCGACGACAAAAGCAGCGACACCAGACTGTCGGGCCCCAAAAGTGTCCTTGGAATCACTTTACGGACGTCGTAGCAGATCTTCTCACGACTTTCGGTCAATGCTCTGCTCTCCACGGCGGTGATAATTCTCACTAGCGATCGGTTGAAGCTTGGAGCTGAGAGAATGGTCGATTCGACCAGATAGCGCTTGCTTATTTTATGCTGCTGGAGCGTAGAGCCACTTTCCTCTTGGAAGTGGAGCGAAGAGCTTGGGTTGAGCGCTGATGTATGCCCGACCATGGGCTGAAAATTAGTATCACAACATTTTGAACAAAGGAAGTAGAACTTTTTTCCTGCTAGTTGTGACGCTACCGGCCAGTCCACTGGACCAGATCCTTCAGCAGGACTGCAAGCCTCCCTCCTTCTCAATACCAGTCAATAAGATTTTTCGTGGAAGTCAAATTGAGGATTACTTCACAGGGAAAGCTTTATAACCATCTTGCTCTGTCCCTGCAGCTCCTGACGGTTCTCATGGACGACGTTGACGACTTCCTCCGCAACCATTACTGCCCAGCTGACGTGGCACCCCCGGAGCCGATCATTCCCGACGCACGTGAAACAGGGGGGCGTTCGCACCAGCCAAATCTCCCCCCTGTTGAAAGGAACCATTCATTGCCCGCGCACTCTTCTGAGATCGTCTTCCCGTGTGATACAACCTCTGCCCAAAGGCGCAGTGTTGATGGAAATCCGGAACCCTTCGCTTACCTTGACCCTAACCAACCCCAAGGAACACGAGCCGAGACGTCAGTCGCTGACATCGACCTGGAGCATCAAGAGGAAAACCACCGGGGGTGGCTGCTTTCTGAACCGAGGTCTCACAACGACTCTAACCAGCCGCAAACCGACTCTAACCAGACCCGCAACGACTCTAACCAGACCCGCACCACCGCTAACCAAACCCATAACGAAGCCACCGGGTTAGGTTTCATGCGACCGGTGGTTTCCCCCGGGCGCGGCTGCGTGGGTTTGGTTAAGGTTTTCCTTGACCACGTGAACGTCCGGGAGGGTCAGAACTTCAAGACGCGGCGGGAGGAGAACCAGGACTCGGTTACGCTAACCACGATGCACCAGTCGAAGGGCCTGGAGTGGGACACCGTATTTGTGATCAAGGTTAACGATAACGAGACGCCGTTACTGCACGAGGACGTGCACGGGAGGGTGGAGGAGGGGGCGGCATCGCTGGAGGTGAGCGATGACGTCAGATGCATTGATACTGTCCTCTAATGACGTCAGATGCAGAAATAATTGATAACTAAAGACTAACGTTTTACGCGAAACGGTAATGCTTTCTGAACATACTGACTTTGTTGAACCTTTAACCACACCGTTTTGGTGTTCTTGGGTCTGCCCTGCGGATCTTTCTTCAAAGTTTGCAATAAGTCATTCCGGGAGCAATTTCGACGCATACGGTCTCTAGAAGAAGCACTCTCGTAACGATCCTGCACAGGAGCGATCCACAAACTGGAGAAAACTGCAACCGAGTCTCCGCTCAATCCAGGAGGAGCTCTTCGAGGTTTCCCCTCAACTCCTTGTTCGTGCTTCTTTCGGCTGACATCCTTCGACGACTTTCGAGCATGAAAAGACCAAACACCATTATCTAAACATCCTCTCCGCCTCGCAGGAGGAGCGCCGCCTCTTCTACGTGGCCATGACGCGCGCCCGCAAGCGCCTCTTCCTGACGTATGTCGTGACGGACTCGCAACGTCAGCAACTCAGCCCCTCGCGCTTCCTTTGCGAGCTCCCTCATAATCTGCTCTCGTGGCAGGGTGGCAACGGCGCCCCGGCAAACCTCCCCTCCGCGCCGGAGATGGCCTGTCAGTGGGGTAACGGCGGCCGGGCAAACTTCCCCCCGGCACAGGAGATGGACTGTCAGCGGGGTAACAGCGGCCCGGCGAACCTCCCCCCCGCGCAGGTAACAGTTTTAAATCATGGCGAAGCCAAAGCAGGAGGATGCGGAGCGGGGGGAAGGTTGACGGAAGCGGGGGGGTAAACTGTGGGGCAGGCGGACCCGGGGAAATCAGGTATACTGTGAACGGGGAAGGGGGGGGAATCGGCCCAGCACCGAATGGCGCCGGCGGAGCGGCGGAGCAGTCGGCGGGGGGCATGCGCTTCTTGCAAAGGTGAGAAGGGCTAGCTGACGTCAATCGGTGGTCATCTTGAGTTCACAGAAGAGCCCTGTTGAGTTCGCAAGGGTCCACAAAGCTTAGGCTATCTTAGGACTGTTGAAAAAACCTTGCAGTATTGTTTGTCGAAGATCGGCGGGGGGGGCATGCGTTTCTTGCAAAGGTGAGGAGGGGGTAGAGCTGAGTGCACTTCGTCGTTCGTTGGGTTCCAAGGGCGAACACTCGCGCGACCGCGCAGAAAGTCAAGATGCTTGGCGCGCAGCGTTTTCTTTATATAGTCTCTTCCAGTTCTCAAAGATTCATATTCAAACGCTTCGTATCCATTCCACCGGACTCGCTTTCATCCGTCAGTCTCGCCAACATTTGCAAGCACAGTTCGCTCCTGCCTTGAAAAGGAGTGAGGGTGGTGATCTCTACCCAATCCGCGCCTTCGTTTAGTATCGTTGATCATCAGGGCCTTAGCCAGTGTCCGCCCGTTTCGGAGACCTTTTTGAAGGAGCGATCTCAAGCACTATCTCAAACTGCCCGTGCTCCTCGTTCCATGTTGGTTGAGTTCATCGCAGCTAGCAACTTTCGTTGTTTTCGCGAGTGCATAGCTTGTCAAAGTCCTTTTCGTGGGCCCCAGTTCTGGCGTATGATTCTTTTTCCCTGGACCTAAATTCCCGCTTAGTAGAGTCCCCTTTCCTCGGCCTGACTTCCGCTTACTGCAGTCACACTATTGAAGTCCAGATTCCCGGCTGATGAACTCTTTTTTCGTGCGCTCAGATTCCCGGTCGAGTCGCGCGGTGTTATTGCCACGCTGTTGCACAAGTGGGCCAAGGCGGCCGCGTTCCAGGAGCCGACGCGGCTCCTCAAAAAGGTGAGAGAGCGCCACGTGGTTCATGACCCACGTGGGCTTCAAAGTTGGGGCTTGCGATAGTCTGGGCTGCCTGACACAAGTTAGCTCAGGCACATATCCAGACAAGAGAAGGAACATTCATTCATGGAGATCACACGAAGAATCTTAGGTTTTACGTGCCCGGATGATCCTAAATGCTCAGACGGATCGGAGGCTGGGGGTTGTCCATCTTTTAAAAGCCAAAATGAGAGTTGATGCCTCCCTGCTGACCACAATACACAACGCGCTGACCGGCTTTCAGAACGGGCCGTCAAGCCGGCGGCATGGCCGAAGTGCAACGGCGACACGCGTCAATCACATCAGCGTCGTCTTGGGCACAACCCGATCAGGGATTACAAATACAACCGCGCTTGCGACGCCCACTTCAAGCGAATAGCAATCGGCCCTCGAAAAACATCGGTCGGAAGGATTTGTGCGGCAAGGTCTCAGTGCACGGAAGACTACATAGATTGTGCAGGTTCTCGCTGTGCTAGCACTTTGACGCCTTTGTGTTGGCGCTTTCCATTCTTTGGACAGCCTCAAGCGCCCTACTTACACCACTTTTCATTCGCCTGCAGATTGGGTTTGTCGTTGATGAGAACCTGCGGAGCAAAAAGTGCAAAAGCAAGGTGAAGAGGCTCGGTCGAACAGCCAGCAAAGCTTCCTTCCCCCCAGCAACTTTTCCTTCTCAATGTCTCTTGGTCAGGGAGATTTTGACCAATTCTAACCTCGCCGTCTGCAGAGAGTTGTCAAATATATATCCAAGAGAGTTCCCTGGTTCGATTTGAATAGTTTCAGCTACACTCTGCTACCATCCCGTACCAAGCTCTAGTACATTCGTGCCGTTGAAGTAAGAAAAGGACTTTGCCCTTTCCCTTGCTTGGTCTGGGGGCACCACCTACTCCTTTACCGAACCTGGTGAGGCGGAGGATAGCCTACATTCAAATTAACCCGTTCTGTCGAGCCATGCTTCTAGCTCTGCTTACCCAATCAACTGGTAATTCAAGTGACGCAACCCTCATATTAGCTGATATCCACTTTGCCTGTCGGTCCAGGACACGATGCGGGCGCTCAAGAGCGCTCTGGAAGAGGCTGACGCCGTGGCTTATGCACAGCATGTGAGTGGACCCCTCTCCCTTTTTGACCATGAAGGCCGACTCATTGGGCGCCGGACAGATTATTATACGGTCGCTTAAAGAGGGCCTCGTCGGACAAGTCCCCCGAAAAGACCTTATACCCGGAGATTCTCGTTCGGATCGCTCAAAAAGCCGCGTGGTTCCAAATCGCGGCGATAAGCAGTCGATGCCCAATACTTGTATGTCGCCGCAAGCCACATGGGGCAGATCACGCGATCTCGAAACGACTGCTACGTCCTTCAGCAGCGACGGTCAGATACAGAGGGGCTCGTATCGGTCGTTTAGCGGAAAATTCAAGTAAGCAGAACGCGTACCTTTTTGTCAATCATGCACACCAACGAAGTAAAAATTGCAGCGACTGCTAGCTCGTTTGACCAGCTGAAATGAAGTTGCTTTACTATCAAAGCATACGCGGGAGTAACGAGGAGTTCACTTCAAACACCAAAAGAACAGCCAAACTCTTGTCAACAGCTTGTCTCTCTCTTCATCGGACTGGTGCAGTTGACTGCAGACTGCCTGACGTCCTTCGATCCGTCGGTTTCGTTCCTGCACCGACCTTCAAAGCACCGCTACCAGCTATGCGAGATGACTGCAAGGATCCTTACTACTCCGCTCGATACCAGCTATGGAGATCACTGCAAATATGCTTACTAACCCGTTCCCCAACTCATTCCTGCTAACCGGTCGTGATTTCCAAGGTTTCGTTTCTAACCGGTCGGACTCTTTCAGGTCATCCACTTTGAGCAGCTGCCCTTGGAGGAACGGGCACTGTTACAGGCGGAACGGCAGGTGAGAATACGCTCCCTCGTCGACCCCTGGGCCTACAAGGGGCTGAGATTCTCAACAGGTTGCAGTACAACAAGTTGGAGTCCTTTCGGCAGACTTGTGAGTTGCCGTTTTAGTTAGAAGTGGGTTGCCCGGTACTCACTTCTTTCTAGGCCAAGCGTAGTGCTTTCAACGTCCAAAGCAATTGTTAGCGCTTACAGTGCCTTTTCCCCTCTCATAAATGAGTATGTAAACCGTGAACACAATGTATAAGTAAGGTCGATGGCAGTGCTGCTTCCTGGGCTAAGCGCCGGACCGAGGAGAGCAGGAGACAGTCGTGTTCGTCGATGGATGCGTTCACATTCAGCTCGTCTTACGTTTCTGAAGAGATGTATTCCTTCTGGTCGGGAGTGACCTGAACCTTCGGGAAATTGAATAAGTAGAAGTTTGAAGAATTGTTACCCTGCTTGTCGCACAGGAGCACTTTCAGCAGCAGTGCAGCGACCGGGCGATGGCGACCGCATCTGTGACTGCGAAGCAGGTAAGGTCGCCCTGCAAGCACCAGAGGCATCGGATTTAATCAGACCTATGACTAGCTTGAAGTTCAATAAGGTTATTCATGGCTAAATGAACGACCACCGTGCTTCGTGTTCCTTGAAGACCTTCTTCGTTTTTTTCTTTTACTTTTGAAGTCGTTTTTTTTCTTTGGATCCTGGTCGCCGGATCAAATTTACACTTTGCTGCCACCCGGTTAAAGGGTCTCACCGTTCGAATCGTTACATCTTTCATCGGCAGGAAGGCCGTTAGAGAGAGATGTCGTTTGCAGTCTGAGTTGCCCGCAAACGATCAAATCTATTGCTACGTTTGTTTCGACAATCGGATACTGAATCATAAACTTGTCTCAATTCGTCTGTTCCTCTTGCTCCACAGATGGCATACTTGAGGAGTCTGGGCTGCACCGCCAATCCGACAAATAGGCTCGAGGCGTCGAAGCTGATTGAGCATTACAAGTCTATATAAAACAGCGTTGCATTTATGCATTCGGGAAAATGCAATCACTTAGACCCGTCAAAGAACATTAGTGTAGTTTACCTCTATAAAGAGGCGAAGCGCACGGGAGTCGACCAGCTTTCTTGGCGATTCGAGCTTTGACTGGCCACACGGCCTTCCCACCGTCGAGCCAATGGACATTGCATTGGATTCGCTCCATAAGTATTCGCTCTTCAAGACATGAACGCCTCTGTTCCTGTTGCATATTTCACAATATTAATATCCGAAGCAGTATGTCCGAAGTGGGGCTGCACGTTGGTTCTATCTACTTTCTCTGTAATCATAGAACAACGTTCGCTGGCAAAGCCAACTCAAAAATGCGTGCTCGAGTGCCTGCCAGGCAAAGAGATTCGTCGGTGCTAAATGTCTCTCGCTAGCAAACGTTAAACAAACGTGTCGTGATTGTATTACTATAGGTATTAATGAATTGATGAATTAATGAATGGCATAACTGGCTGCAATAACAGTAGGCCGCCCGTGCCAATTAGCAGTCCCGAGCAGTGTGGCCGGTCGCTTCCAAACAACCAAACTGCCAAGTACATGCCACACTGGGCCCCTCCGTGAATGAAGAGCTTCGGCCAGCAACAAACCATCTGCCCTTCTCTGAGAATCTTCTAGCAACTGCCTGCGAGAACGGACACTTTCACTTTCGACACCGGCGGCCATTGCGAAGATGCCGGACGATCCGAGGATCGGCCATGAGAGCTGACTGCTCAGCTATCAACGCACGCGCTTATGCGCGGCGGCCGCCACTTGAAGGCTGGCGGCCGGGCGCCGCGCTGCGCGGCCACGGAACCTGCGCGGCCGCTACCGCGATCCGCCTCATGCATGCAATCAGGCGCGAATGCTTACGCAAGCATTTAGGCCTCTTGAATGCGAACACGGTTCACTTGTGAGCGATAGATGATCGTCCGATAAGAAGCAAGTTTTGTCATCGACGGCCGCGATTGCCGTAATTCTGCCTGTCTCCTGATTGAGCCAATGAGAAGCGGCAGCTTCCAACGATCAAATCGTGCCATATGCACAGGCTGACCTCAGCAAGAAACTGGAAATTTCAAAGCGCATTCATGACCTGGCATGCAATGTGCCTGGTGCCATCATATTGAACAGGGTTTCCCATGGACTTTCGTCCCGGCCGGCCCCCTGCCGGCACCCCCTCGGTCGTACCGGCTGGCTGGCCGGCTGCGCCGGCCGGCCACCTTTGCCCATGATGCAAGCCTGGCGTTAATGGGTGACGGCCGGAGCTCCCGGGGGACCCCCCCGCGCGGGCTGGGCCCTTTTAACCAGGTGGTTGGGTCTCCCCGGGGTTCAAGCCACCTTTCGACCACAAAGTTTAGGGGTTGCCTTGTCGTGCCTAGCTGTATCCTCACATTGCCGTACAAAGCAGCAGGTACTCTCGATCCTTTTCGATGTTTTTAGGATCTAGACTCTTGGTCGAGCGGTTGAGACGATTGTTAAGCGACCAGTCTTGGACCCGGGGAGACTCACCGGACGGGGCAAGTCCAGAGTGGTCCGGGGCTGGCACCTAACCTATTAGGCTCTGGCTGGCAGGGTCCTGGCAGAGCCGGCTGCAGGGCCGGCCCACAGCCGGCAGGGTGCCTTCGGCACCGGCCGGGTTGGCAAATCTACCGGCCAGGTCCTGCCCCAGCGTGCCGGCTGTGAGAAACCCTGATATTGAAGCCTGCGCAATCTCTTCCAAGGGCGCAATCAGATTTCTTGCAAGACCACGGCCAGCACTGGCAGTGGCAGGCATCTGGTTCTCATTCTCTTCGTTCTGGGCAGAATTTATGAGCAAGCAGGTGCTCAATGCGTTCTAGCTGGTAGAGGAACGAGCTTTCCCGCCTGGAGGCTCTTTGAATGGGCTTCAGAGGCGCACAAGAATTTTTGGAGGGCGCGTCAGCAGCGCCTTTTGGTTCTGTTCAGAGGTCGGGGAGCTAGATCTAAGCAGACCTGATCGTGACCTCATTTTGAGCTACGATTGGCAGCGGCAGCGGCAGCGGATGTGAGTGAGGTCAGTGTGAGGTCAACGGGAAGGATGGTTGCCACGCGCTCCCAATATCAAGCTGTGGCGAACGGAGACCCAGCTATGGCAAACGGAGATGGTGGAAAGCCGGCTGCGCACGCAGATCTGGAGACGCCCGAGACGCCAGTCAACATTCCAATTCATAGACGCATCCCGGACTACCTGCAGTCAGTCAACCTTTCCCACGTCCGACGTGGGTACCACCTGCTCATCACCCACGCTGTCACGCTCCTGGTGCTGCCGCTGTTCCTGTCAGTCGGAGTAGAGGTCCTGCGGATGCGGCCAGCGGACATCCTGCAGCTTTGGGAGCATCTGCAGTTCAATCTGGTCAGCGTTGTGGTCTGCTCCGCCGCGATCGTGTTTGGTGCTACCGTGTACTTCCTCTCTAGGGCTAGGCCGGTCTATCTGGTGGAGTTTGCGTGCTGTCAGCCAGAAATGGATCACGAAGTAGATCGGGACTACTTCATCAGCGGCACTAAGTGGGCATTTGCTGGCAATGAGAAGGCGATCGATTTCCAGAGCAAGATCATCTGGCGCTCGGGCCTAGGGGACAGCACATTCTTGCCAAAGGCTGTCAGGAACCGCCCCCCAAACCCTACGATGGACATGGCGAGGAGAGAGGCCGAGGAGGTCATGTTCAGCACCCTGGAGAACCTTTTTGCAAAAACAGGGGTGAAGCCAAAGGAGGTGGATATCTTAATCGTCAATTGCTCTCTCTTCAACCCCACGCCGTCGCTGTCAGCCATGATAGTGAACCATTTCAAGATGAGGGGCAATGTCAAGACGTACAACCTTGGGGGCATGGGGTGCAGTGCTGGGGTGATCTCTATCGATCTCGCAAGGGACCTGCTTCAGGTGCACCGCAACTCGCTGGCTGTTGTCGTCAGCACAGAGAACATCACTCAAAACTGGTACTTTGGCAATGACAGGTAAGACTGCTTCTGAGATTCCACTTCCCTTTGTTTGTGGTCATCTAGCTCTTCCACTTGGTCAACCAATGGGTGCAGCATAGATTGGTCAATTGTTGTCTATGTTGCTTCTGTCCTAGTGGATGAAGACCTTTTCTGTGCAGCTGACTGCTTGTGATCAGATTGAAGTGGTGTTATTGGGCACCCTCATTGGATCGTGGCCCACGCCCAGTCGAAGTCTTTAATATTTTCAAAGATTGTATGTGTTTGGATGAAGCAAGATTGTGTTGAATGATGAAACTTGCTTCTAAGCTCGGTCAAGCAGCTATCCTTGCAACACCCTGCATTGCGAAAGGGCCGAGACATAGTGATTGGCCAGTCTTGGAGCATATTGCCATGTAAAGTGTTGGCGAGGCTGCATGCATTCATCCTGAGTTTTAGAAAGTGCCACTTTGATACCTGAAATATCTTGTAGCTGCGAGTCCCCTTCTATACTACTTCTACACCAGTCAGTTTGTATTGCACTACTGAGTCCTGCTTGATGTCTGCATACTTGAGTACAGCAGGCCAAAGTATCCATCACTTTAGCGACAAGTAGCAATCAAACTGTACCACCATCCTCATTTGGTGCTTGAGGCTCTTGGCTGGCGAGCTGCATCAAATCGCAAGATGCCTTCAGTCATTTGTCACAGCACTTTGAAATCTACTCTTGTTTTGGGTTATTCACTCTGCCAAAGCTACCAGTTTTCATTCCGCAGTCTGTGTGTGATCTGTTTTGTCTTTCTTTCGATCTTCTTCTTTTTCGATCTTTCCTTTCGTCTCTCTTCCAAACACTTCGTATTCCCCTGCTGTTGGCAGCATTACTCACTTTTCAAAGTATGACCTCCACTACTCAATTTGTAGAGTTTTCACGCAGGTCATGATGGTTCCAAACTGCCTCTTCCTTTTTACCCCCTGATCACCCGATGTTCGAATCGCAAGTTTCCACCTTCGATTGCAATGTTCCTCCGACCTCCATCCTTTTTCTTTGCAGGTCCATGATGATCTCCAACTGCCTGTTTCTCCATAGCCCCGATCATTCAACTAATCAAAGCACCACTTTCCACCTCATAATCCAATCTCTCTGGTCGTAATATTCTCAACCTCCATCCTCTCCTCTGGTCCCAAATGCCTGTTTGCATTAAAACCTTGATTACTCAAACATGGTTTCCGGTTTACTTTACGCTTTGTCATTGCAATTTTCCTTCAACCTCCCTCCTCGCCTCTGCAGATGATGTCCAACTGCCTGTTCTACACGGTAGCGCAGCCGTTCTCTTTCCGCACGCTTCGTTTCTCCTTCGATTAAGTTTTCCCAGATTTAAACTCAAAACACTTGAATGAACAAGTTTCGATTTTTGTTATGCAGGTCCATGATGATCCCCAACTGCCTGTTCCGCATGGGGGGTGCTGCGATGCTCCTCTCGAACCGCGCGCGCGACGGCTGGCGCGCCAAGTACGAGTTGCTGCACACGGTCAGGACCAACAAGGCGGCGGACGACCGGTGCTACAACTGCGTGTTTCAGAAGGAGGACGAGGCTGGCAAGGTCGGGGTGTCGCTGTCCAAGGATCTTATGGCCATCGCGGGTGAGCATCTAACTTTGGGATACACTTGGTTCAGCATTTGTTAATTGGTCCACCGCAGCTTGAATCTCGATTCGGGTTCTGTTGAGAGGCCTGGGTTTGGGCTTAACATCAGCCACGCTGAGCGTTCGCTGTGTCCAAAGAAAGTTGACCATCAGTTTGGCGGTAGCGAACTTCAGGGTCTCCAACGTCAAGGGCCGCTGTTGAAGAAAGTAACGGCTATCGAAAGTGAGCCCTACACTCAAAGTCAGGAGAATGCTTGGCCGAGCAACTCTTCACAGGATGCTTACTTCAAGCATGGGCCAAGGTAAGACTTTCACCGGCGGCCGTTTTTTCCTGAATCAGTGAACGAGAGCACCGTGCTGCTTTTATCCCATTGTGACACATCTTTGGCACTTAGGCTGCCGTACTCGTCATGTCACCAACACGTTTCGCTTTGGAGACGTGACGCCACTTTGTTTCGTCCTACCCCAGGGGAGACCCTGAAGGCCAACATTACGACACTGGGCCCGCTCGTCCTGCCCCTCTCGGAGCAGATCCTATTCTTCGTCGTGCTCGTGGCTCGGAAGCTGTTCAAGATGAAGATGAAGCCGTACATCCCGGACTTCAAGCTCGCGTTCGAGCACTTCTGCATCCATGCGGGGGGGCGCGGCGTCATTGACGAGATGGAGAAGAACCTGCAGCTGCGGGAGTACCATACGGAGCCGTCCCGGATGACGCTCTACAAGTGAGTTTGATTTACGAAAGGCTGGATATTTGGATGAAGCACCATTCGGGACTGATGCGTAACGTAGTCGTGTCTGGCAATGCTCCAAGAGGTTGTTGCGACTGCATGGAGAGAGGGTGGTGGTTTGATGCTCAACAAGCGGGGTTTGCAGTCGCCGTTCTCGGGTGAATGTCTGATTGGGGGAAAGGCAGGGGAAGCGAAGATGAGTGGCGAGTCTGCATGGTGGTCGAGAGTTCACAAGTTGTCTTTCTTTTCCCGTTCGCTGAAAGTGACGCGAGTTGCTGAGGTTGAAGAGGACGACGAAACGGGAAAACGTTGAAAGGTCGGCGATGGGGTAGAGATAGTGGCATCCTGTCAAATCGAATACAGCGTGGTTGGGCTACCGCTGTCTTTTGCCCGCAGAATTTCAAGGCGCGTCTTGCTTGGTTCAGGCTCGTTCTGTCAAGAGGAAAGTATGCATCAGTAGGTGATAGCGGAAGCGAAAGTCGCCGTTTGTGGTTTCGGTTGAAAACGATAGTGTCTGATGCTAAAAAGCGTTCGTCAAATGGTCGACGTGTTTCACAATCCTTTCAAGAATTTTTTCAAGAGGAAACCTCTTCTTACCTCGACTCCGGGGCCTTTCAAGCATCGCTCTTACGACTATCTTCCGAGGCCGATCTTCACACCAGTTCGAAGCAGACAGGACAATCCGAAGCGGCTTATACATTGACCAGAATCAATTTTGTGCATTGTAAACAGCCTGGTCCTTCCAATCAGTCAATGCCACTGTTGCCTGCGCCAGTCTGTATGTACATTTTACGAATCATCGTATATCGATTGCAGGTGGGGGAACACGTCATCGTCGTCGATATGGTACGAGCTCGCCTACTCGGAGTACGCGGGGCGCGTTCGCCGAGGGGACCGCATCTGGCAGATTGCTTTTGGCAGCGGGTTCAAGTGCAACAGCGCCGTCTGGAGGGCGCTTCGGACGATCCAATCGCCGCCGGACAGCGTGTGGATTGGCACGCAAAAGCCTGCTGTCTTTCCTAGTTAGAAGCCATGTTGGTAGGAAGGCCCAATTCGCCTGTATCGTATGTCGAGAAGGTGTGTAATGCCCGCATGATGAATTTTTTCAGGTAGGTTGCGATTGGCTGAATAAAGAGAGCAACCGGCTCAATTGACAGTGTTGCTCTTAGAAAGTTTAGATAGAGTTGAGAGGGTTTGGGCTTGTGAAAATTGGGATGGTGCTTTTGTTGGTAGTCTAACAGCGGCTAACACATACCGAAGCTGCGCAGTAGGCCGTTCAGGTATGGAAGTCCACCGACAAACCAGTGTTTGTTAGTTTTGTGGTGTCATCGATTGAGCTTGTTTCAGCAAGGGCGGAAGCTGCGGCGGGCTAGCTTCTTTGCATCAATGCTGGCACGCTTTTGTCTGAAGTTTGTTGATAAGCTTCTAAACCGCGCCTCAACTGGCTTCGTCAGGAAGGTGGGCTCGTCATGAGTGCAGGCTGAGAGGGGCATGATCGTTCGGTTTGACGCGTGTACTAAGTTGGCTCAAAGCAACACCATATATATGTGCATGCCATATCTCCATGGTTGTAATCTGTGTGTAAGATATGTGGCCGGCTCGATCGGTGCCAGCGTGCGGGCGGCAGCCACGCGCATGCATGGTATTGTGTGAACCAAATATATGATCCCGGCCTTGGCACATGTGCATGCATGCTCCGAGTCGCTTATACATGGCCGCCCACCGCCGACGACGTGCGTAGTATGGACCGTATTGTCATTGATAGCTCATGGCAACATATAGCACCCCGCCGCAGAAAGCTACCACTGAGCGTGACGGTTGTCTGCGAGGATTGAGCTGCCAGGCTCTTTCAGTCACGCGCATGACGCAATTACACCAATAAGAGCGTTGCACGTAGAGCGTTACATCCAATGCCGTTCATGTTTGCATTGCAGTCGAGCCTGTTTTCGACCGGAGCCAAATCTTCACATGCTCCGGGCCGCCAATAAGCATGCTAGAGAGATTCAATGCGGATGATTTGGCCGGACAGGCAAGCCCAGCGGTATTCTTTAAGACGACTCACCGGTCTTCCTTATCCGGCGATATATGTGTGCGAAATAGAACAGAAGATCGTCATAGCAGTGGCACTCGCTACTTCCGCCCTCGTGGGCTTTCGTATGCCTCTGCTTGCAGAGATAGTAAATAGCTTCAATGGTAGACACCCCCTCGTCTGTGATGTTTTTCGTGTGGTACCGCCAAAAAGCGGTCTTCACGGGCTCGAGGCGAACGTGTGGCAGCCCTTTCAGAAGCGGATCCTCGATGAGCGACTTGGCTTTCTTCCACTGCAAGAGTCATAAGATCGTCTTACACTCCGTCTTAGTAAACGATGTCGGAAAATGCTGAGAGACGCCTGCCGATTGGACAATGGACTCACTGGTCGATCCTTTCTCATCAGACAGAGAAACGCAGTGACTTACAGGCACCCTAGATGAGATGAGATGTTTCTCGTGTTTTGCAGGCTCCCAAATGATGGTAGCATGTTCGCTGCCTGCGAGGCTGTTGAAACAAACCCGAAAACGCTAGACAGATTCCTACTCAGCAAGAGTACACACGGGCTCCAGTCCTCAGGCAGGCAGAAAACACATAGAACTAAGTGCGAACAAGAATCATTTGGGGCGTGCTTTCTGCAAATGCATCCGCTCACCTTCGAGTCTATGAGAAGAACGTGTTCGAGGCGCTCCATTTGCAACTCGGAGACTGGCACTGATTTGCTCGACGGGAACAGGACGGCCGTAGTAGAGGGGTCAAAAGCTGTCGGAAAGCGGTTTCCTCCGTAGATGGTCACTTGGCCCGGTGCCAACAGGGCGGCGTGGACGCTGGTTGCCGCACTTCGCCGTTCCTCTCCATGCAAAAGGCTGGAAGGGCGGGTAACTTCAAGTGCTTAGAAACTATGGTATGATGAGAGAGAATAGATACTGAGCGGCTAAGGTTTCCTACGAATTTTCCCGCTCTAGAATTGCAGAATGACGCGCACTTCATGGATTGATAACCACAATCCGAAACTTCCGTATGCAGGACATATTTCCCAAATCTAGACACTATGCAGATTGACTCAATTAACCTGCCACAAGTAAGCTGGCAATGGATATCGGCTCGAAGCACTTTTGTAGTCCATTGATAAGTGACGCTTGGGCAGCTCACATGTGAATGTGGAATGGCAGGTTGACAGTGGGAACTTTGCTGCGATCCGTCAGGACCTGCACGGCAACAGGAATCTGGTTGAAGATAACCTTGCCATCTCACTATACAGGATGTCCCACTATGAACACCAGACCGCGTTCGCGCATTCAGAAAGACAGCCGTACATGATGTAGCGGTGCTAACAAAGTTTTTCATAAAGCCGCTTGAGCTTCAGCTTCCAGAAAGCGAGAACAGATCTTAGAAAAGGGGGAAAGCCTGACCTGGAGGCAATCATAGCAGAAAAGGGAACGGCTGCTTTTGCACTGCGGACAGATTCTCCGCTCGCTCTCCTCGTCCAGAAAGTCTGAGGGCTTCGGGTGAACGTCCGCCGGCAGTTCTGGGAGGACAAAGTCAGGGTGGCGGTGCGTCAAAGCAAGCCGCCCCTCCGCGTCTGGTCTCCTCTTCATGGTGTTATGCTTGCCTGGCTTTGGCTTCTTGGCTTGGGGCTGCTCTAGCTGGCTCCCAGGGGATTTCTGAGGTTGTGGCGTTGCCGAAGTACCCAGATCGTTTGGACGGGAATCTTGATCAGGTTGAGAAGTGTCGGAGGGTTGTGGAGGAGGTGGCGTGTCCGCAACTGATGGCGTCAGGTTACTGGAAGCCATGCTCCTCCTACCAACAAAAACTTTGGCTAATGATAGACAAGGGGGACGCGTCAGAGGGGCAAGCGACAAATTGGCTTTTAGCACCACCGCTCCATCAGAGGGCCAACACTGAAGAAAAGTGCGCCTGATTCCCGGGCTTTGGAGTGGGACAGCCGTGCAAGAGGTGGAAGCTGGAGGAAAACAAGTTGGAGGCGATGCAACGCGCTGCATTTATCAGCTTCACAAGTCAGAGGAGCACGCGAGCAGGCTCGGCAGGGTCAGGGCAGAGTGCCAACCATGCTCGGCTGAACGAGGGTTATGGGTGGAACCGCTACAAAACTCTGATTTGCAAGCGCAGCCCTCTGGCCGTTATGAAGATAACCCGAATACAGTGGCTTTGCCAACGTGTTTTGATGGGGAATGGGGCACATGTTTCGCAACTATTATCTACGATGTGATACTGAACTTCGCTTGTAGATTGCTGGCGACCAAGGTTGCCGGAAGCGTTGATCTAAGTACCGGTCTCAGGTACCGGGAAGTTTGAACCAGCTTTTGAAGGTAGTACTGTGGTCGGTTAGCTTGATAGGTCAACGGGGATGGACGACCGGGTCAACGCGACTTGGAACCTTGAAATCCCAAAATTAGTCCAATTCTACATTCGGCTTGTTGCCCCGAGTATGTGGATGCGGCGACCCATTGTGTGCAATATACGGTGGCAGAGTCGCTATAACAATTCCCCCCGAGGAGTCGTTTTCGACGGCCTTGTCAGTTGGCTGTAGATTCCGTTCGATAAAGTGCTGTACGTGCTAATCCGTCAAAAGATTCTGCCGCACTTGCCCGCGCTCCCGTCACCAAATTCACCGGTTTCGACGATAAACGGCCATTTATGTAGAAACAGGGCAATATTCTAGGTATGGCGTGTGCTGAGAAGTTCAGTAAATATTGTTGTTGAGCTGCATCAACGCAGCATTGGACGCTGATTGCGCCAAAGCAAGGTTACCCGAGGAGCGAGGAAGCCTGTCCATACAGAAGGAGCGTTTTTGAAGGCTCAAAAACATTTGTTGAACGTTTCTCTAAGATTATTTTTCAGTTCCTTACTTACAAAGTGCTGAAAATAAAGCGGCACCTTGCACCACCTTGCAAACAACCAGTTCAGAAAGAGATGCAAGCTGCAACTATCGGGGCGCCTTCAAGTGCAGGCGAACCGGCTCCCCATCGTCCATCATCACCCTCAGATGTGCCCCATGTCTTGCATTTTGTCTTCTCATTGGTCAGCGCAAGAGACCGCTGCGCTGCTGCATGCGTCTGCAAAGAATGGAGGTCGATTGTGTACCACCCGTCTCTGTGGAAGGTACGTTGCAGAAGATGCATTTGTATAGTTGCAAACACGCGTCGTCATGGGAGGAAATTTTGACGTATGTTGGCCCCCAGTATCTGATGCTTTCAAGGGGGCAGGGCAAAGCAATCAGCAGGTCATTCTTAAAACTTTGGTTGGTTGCGTTCTCCATGCCTCATTGATTGCGTCAACCTTGCGTGCGCACTAGCTTTGCACATGCGCTGTGGCCCCCAATTTGATCTCGTGTGTGTGCAGAGCCTTGATCTGCAAGGGAAGCGGAATGGGGGCACCGTTTCAAACGCAGTGACCAGTCAGGTCAGTAGAATGGTTAACAACTCTTCCACCCCTCAAGAGTTTGGCACCTTGTGTGAAGAAAGTAGTGTCCAGCCCATAGCAATTATCTAGTTGCATATAGAAGGCGGGTTTGAAGGCTGTTCGTAGGCCCAGATAGCCTCAAAGTCTGTAATGAGCAAAGCGGACCACCAGCTTGTGCTGAATTTAGGACCTATGGTTGAGTATCTCATCGGCAATCTGCTACATGAGTAGTCATCAGTCACTGAAGGAGCCGGTCCTTTGTGCCCTCACACAAATCCCAGAAGAGGGCTCCTCAATGATAAGTTGCTCATCTTTGCATCCAACTGTATGACTCTCCTCAGATGCTAGAAGACTCGTTGATATCTTACTGTAAACAAAGGGTTGAAGAAAGCATTCCGGTTAAAGTCTGAATATGTTGGCGCGCGAAAGGGTACAAAAAGGAGCTTACCAGAGTACACATCCAAACTTATGCTTCTGCACTGGCAGCGCCGCTTTCGCGACCTGGAGGATCTGAACCTGGAGTTTGCTCAAGGGGTGGAGGACGAGCATCTTCTGAGTCTCTCTGGTCATGTGAGCCTTTGGCCAGTACGTGGCCGTCATCCCGCCAGTTGAAACTTGTTGTGGTTTGATGCCATCGAATCCAGTCTACTCACTGCAGATGTCGACCTGAAACAAGCACACAACATTCTTTTGAGGTGCTCGATTTGAAAGCACCGTGTTTCTAGCTTCTGAAGAATACCGTCTTTGCCAGATTCAGCGGGATGAGCTTTGGCAGGCTACTGATACCCAGCAGTGTCCGCTTTTTGAGAAGTTGCATAGTGGTAGTTTCACCTGCACTTCTCACGGTCTGGACCAAATGGAAACTAGCTGGGCTTTTCTGGCAATGATTAAATAAGCATCACAGGAATTAGGTCGCTGAAGAGAAGACATGGAGAATCATGGATATTGAACTTTGATCTGCAGTCGCGAAAGTAGTTTCCAGCTAGATTGCTTTTGAAGGTCGTTTACCTGGTTCAAGAGGTTTTATCGGCACCGCAAGTCCATTGAATTTCAGAAGGGAACGGTCATCAACTATGGCATTTTGTCTACCCAACTGGCGAGCGGAGCGTACGGGGAAAGTTCTATTCGTACGGGGAAAGTTCTATTGATCTATCTCGTTTCTGTGCAGTCTTTCCGGAGGCTGAATCTGAACGCTTGCCAGAAGGTAACAGATCAAGGAATAAGCGGGCTGGTCTCCGCATCTCCGCAGCTGGAGGCACTCTCTGTATACTGGAATCTGAAGTAAGCCGTCCTAGCCCACCTTCCGTCACACCTGGAAAGCGTCTACCATATCGAAGCCTTCACCTTCTTGGAAGCTGAGCTCTTCATTGAGTCTGCTCCTTGAAGTCAAAATTGCGAGGGTCGTGACTGCTTTACTGTTCTCTTTTGTTTTTTCGAAGCTCCTGCCCTGATGCAATCTTCGCTTCTAGGTTTCTAGGACGCACAAATTTATTGGTGCCCGTCTGTTTCGGTCAGATCCTGAGTTCAGCGGCTGAATGTTCAGGAACTAATTTATGCTGCATTTCCCTTCGAAATGATATGACGAAACGGTTCAGCTTTTCAATCTTTTGAGCCAGTTGAACGAGTAATTCTGCGAATTTTCTTGAGACCCGGCAAAGGAGCAACCCTTTGCGCAGGTTCGTGCTATTTGTCGTCTTGGAATGCCGTCGTTTGAACGCTAAAGCTGGCTCCACTCCTGATGTTGTAGACTGTTTATACTACTGCTTTTGCTTCTCGGCAACTTCATGAATGAAGAAGACCAGATGTAATGATCTGAGACAAACTTGGAATGTTTCTTTGCAGAGTCACGGATGCGTCGATGCTTGAGGTGGCTCGCAGCTGTCCAGACCTCACCTTTTTGAACATCAGCGGATGCAAGGCGAGTAAAATTGAGAGTGACTAAAACGCTTCTTTTCGCCCTCATGCGAATCATGGACGTTAAGGCCTTCTATTGTGGTGGATTAAAAAAACGCTGGATACCAATGCCACTGGCGACTTTCGTTGTGGCGTCTAAGTGCGTCAAAAGATCCTCTTGACACTACGAGAAGACGTTTTCCTACAAGAGACGAACGTGTCATTCGCTCTTAGTAAAACGTGTCAGAATCTGGTTGCGCCACGTAAACGTTCCGACTCGAAAAGTCTCAAGAAACCTTGTTGCTGCCACAGTCCCTGTTGTAAACGGGCGCAGATGGTGCAGCAGTCTTGTAACGTCTCCCCAAGAGTATTTTCGACTTTCAATCAGTCCACGCGACGTTTGATCTGGGACGCAATACTGCAACGTGCGACTGATTCCCAAACGGAGTTTTTACACTCGTACAGAAGATAACCGATGTTGGCGTGAAGGCAGTTGCGCGGGCCTGTCCTCGATTGCAGACCTTCAATCTCACAAGGTACCACCATCTCGATCAACCTCATTTGTCCAAAGTGTTCGTTAGTTTGTTGGTTCGTCTGGTCGATTGTTAGAACGTTAAAAGATGAAAATGGGCTATTCGACTGCAGTTCGTCTTCTTGATTTACGATTCAATCAGTCTCTCGGGGGTCGTCGGATGCTTTCAGCCAGCCTTGCGGGGCCTACTTTGTGAATCTTTAAAACGTAATATTTGTGGCAGGCCGCAACATGGGGCTTCTGTTGGAAGGATTCGCTTCAGACTAAGAAGACAATCTAGGGGCCCGAACATTTCTCCAACTTGCAGCATCCTGTCCTGATTACGAAAGATTATTTAGTTTACTCCTGTAAGTTTGAACTCTTCACATGGCGCTTGGCCATGCGATCGTTTCTGCAAACTGCTATCGTTTCCCCATGGTGGCGTTAATTGACAACGTTTTCTGGCGACCTAACAGACTCCGATGCTCGCAGAGTGGTCGCCATGACGGACGACGGCCTCTTAGAGGTGCTGCGCCATTCCGGGCAGCTACAAGAGCTCTACCTTTACGCCCTTTCCAGGTAGGCTCGCCTGCTCTGACGAGCTTTGCTGCCGTACATTTACTCATTTGTAACGGCCTACCAATCTTCTGTACTCCCATTCCCACCCGTGTTGCATTCGTTCGGAGGAGGAGCTAGAGCTCGAGATATAGTTGGCCCGTTATTGCACTGGTCGGCTCGGACTGATCTCATGCCGAAATAGAAAGAGACGTCAGGTGTTGATTTGGGGCAAACAAGTACGGCAGGTACAGCTCTTTGCAAATCGTTCACGTGAATTGAATGCTTGCTGCATGAAGATCTACTCTGAGATCCTCTGTGGAACTCAAAAGTCGTCAACGCTCCTCGTGCTCGTGTTTCTGTGACCCTCATAGCTGAAAACGAAGACAGCTACCAGTTTATCCATGATCAGCTTCGCCCTCGATCCTCCCTCCCGGTCTTGCAGTCTGACGGATCGGTCCTATTTAGAAACGCACCGGTTGCCTCACCTGCGGCTGCTTGACCTCTGCGGCGCCGCGGTAAGAGCCTCCACTTGCACAACACGATCTTGAGGAAAGTCCGACGCTTCCATTCTGAACGTTGCTCAAACGGAGTGCTATGGGATCTGCACCGTAGCTACCGTTGAAACGCAGACAGCCTGCATAAGTTTGGGAAGCTGCTGTGAACCTTACGAAGTTCTTAATCACGAGGCCCCACGACGCTACTAACGGAGCACGCAAGGCTTTTTTTTGAGCTCGCGGACCTTTATGCGAAGCACTGCCCAACCACAGCCTGTTGGAGCAGGCGTGCTGCATTTCAAATGATTCAGGTTCGGCCAGCTTGGGTAGTTCTTCCAAAAGCGACCTGCGTTGCAAGCCTTTGGCCTTGCAGCCGCATTGAGCGGTCACCTCCAATGCAAGATAGTCCTTACAAAAGCAGAAGACGTGAGACTCAGCATATTCATTCACGGTCGTCCGCAGAACCTTTCGGACGAGGGCGCTGCGTCCGTGGCTCAGTGTCACGAGCTGACGACACTGAACCTAACCTGGTGAGCCGTGACGAATGCTCTCGGTTGCACCCATTGCTCCATGGCTGGTGCGTTATGCAGGTGGACAGCAAGAGCATGTGATAGTGAACGAAGCTGACCGGAGCGTCGACCTTGGGTTCCTTATTAGAGCAGCCGTTTGCATTCCGGGATTGAACAGCGCCGTTGAGGCTCGGACCCTGGATCGGAGTGCTGCAGAGCAAATTTCGAGGCCACAAAACAAGCTGCCAGTATTCCTTAGCCGTGGTGGCCTCGTCGTTGGATACCGAGCAGAAAAATCATTGCCGGCTCCCCGTCCCTGGTTCACACGATGAGAACCATTTTGCGAGCGCACCCCGCCTCAAAAAGCCTATCCCCCGCAGTGCAGGTGCGTGCGGTTGATGGACCGCGGACTGTCCGCCATCGCACACGGCTGTCCAAAGCTCGAGTCGCTCAGGTGAGTTGCTGTACTCCTCATTTCATCCTTTCCTTGAAGCACCGCAGCCTTATGCATTTCAACTGATGGATTGACGAAGCTGCAATTGTGCCCTTGGTCCGTTGTCCGTAAGACGTGTCTCCCCCTTTTTGCCTGGGTTACTTTTTCGCACGCCGTGAGAGCGAAGCCGAACGGTTATGGTGCAAGACGAGCCGCATCAACCATGGAAAATTAGGTCGTAGTTTGGCAAGCAGGTTTCAAAGAAGCTAATGGCCTCGGGTTGAGTCCATGGTTTTACCGACCAGATATTCCTTAATCGAGGTTTTCAAGGACCAACTAAGGATGATTGTCTGGTTTTCCCGCATACTACCTCATCTACCATAAGCAATTCTAGCTACGAGTAATACCGTCCCTTGAGAAAAGAAAGGACTTTGTAGGACAGCTCAAAGAGCCAAAAGTGACATCCTTCGGACGTCCTTTTGCAGTTTGTACGGCATCCTCGGGATCACGGACAAAGCCGTCGAAGAGCTCGCTCATCACTGCAGCGGAACGCTCCACACGCTGGACGTGAATGGTTGCGTCAACGTCAAGGTGGGCCGCTCACGTCAGCACATTTCGAGGAGCTTTTCCTAAGAGGGCAATCGTTACAGTTGCGTCAGAAAGGATATGACGAGTACGATCTGCTGGTATGATCTGCGCCTTAGTCCTTCGAAAAAGGTCGCTCTTCACGTGCACGCGGTTGCCTCAGTGGCCCGGGGCTAGGCAAGGTTCCTTGAGATTGGAGAATTTGTTTCAGAGTCCCTTATCAACAGATTTCAGTGGACTGCTCCTCCTCCTTCCGGCCAAGTTACCGAAGCTCGGTCGCAGCTTTCGGAGCTCTTCTAATGTTTCCTCCTTCCTTTGTTGGCGCAGCGGAGATCTAAGGAGGACTTACTGCAACTCTTCCCTCTCCTTACGTGCTTCCTGGTCCATAGCTGACGCCCTTCTTAAAGAGGTGCAGAAGCACTAGGTTTCGGGCAGAGCAAACTAGTAGCCGGGCCGGGTATCAGTAGCCTAAGCTCCTACTGAAGAATAACCAACTACGACCATCGAGAAGTCAAATCAGTCGCCGAGAAGTGCGCGAAACAACTGACCCCCCAGACGGACATTCAACTTAGACTTGTATGCGTTGTGCATGATCTTTGCGACTCCACCTGAGGCACTATGCAGCATGACATCATACGATCTTGTCGGATGCTGCACGGATGAGCTACGATGCTCGAGACCCTGCATCAATCTACTGCGTACCAGCGGCTGCATGCAGGGTGCGCTATAACCACTTGCAAATATCCATAATGTATACAGCTTCTATAAGGATCGATCACATGTGCATGCTCAGTGAAGGCGATAGTACTGAGAGACCAAGTGAGCAATGATGGTGCCCGCACGAAAGATTTGTAGATTGAATAGAATTGTGGTCGAGTGACAGCATGATCGAGTTTGATCCGCGCGCGTCAGTACCGTATTGGGCCCGCCCTTGCGTCGATCCATTGTTCCATAACATTGGACTCTGGATCGATCTAACATGTGGGCCGTCAAACTATAGATCGTTTTTGACATCATTAACTTCGCTGAGTACCGTCTTCTTTCAATCAAGTTTCAATGCTATTTTTGAGAGTACTCGGTCTCAAAATTCAATTGTTCCAGTGCGGTCTTTGAAAGTACGTGGTCTCAAAAAATCCTACTTCACATGAAATGAACTCGTGCGTGCCTCTAAGTTCATTGTGTCTTACTGTACATTGCACATATTGAGTTCAGCGCTCGCTGGCTTTCTATTTCAATATAATCCTCGGGAGAGGTGCGCACTGCTTTCTTTGATCCGAATCCACCAATCTGATTAATGAGCGAACCACCAAATCCTACAACATCCAACGCAGAAAGAATTCCTATACTAAGCCCGGTCTGACTTCCTCCGTGCATTCAACACGTAATGCTACCCGATCGATCAGACGGACATCGCTTTCTTAACAGTCTCCAGGGCTTTTTCAACGGTGTCGGCCTTCTTGAGCTCGTCGATGTCGATCTTCGGGCGCATCCGCGCAATCTCCGGCAGCAACTTGAACTCCTGCAAGTCGTGGAAACGGACCATCGGTTTATGCCTGAAGCATATGTCGGCTGACTGGACATTCTGGGTGGCTTTATTACAACGCTACCAAAGGTGGTTTTACAACGGGCTTCTTGAAACCTGGCCGCCTCATTCAAGTGCGATCTGCACTGTTGCAAACTCGAGCCGTTTCATCCTCTACTCGAGGACTGAGAAGCTGCGGTCGGCTCATATCGAGCTTTCATGAGACGGCCACGCTTGCAGAAACGAGCAAGTTTTCAGGGCTGAGAAGCATCCCGGACAATTCCAGGGGCCACAGACTTGTCATAAAACTGACAGCATGTTTGCTGTGCCTGCGTTGCAGAATTCTGCTGCCCACATTCATGGTTAGAGTTCGGCGGAAAAGGAATTGAATAGATCCATGCTTGCAGCAAGGCCTCACCTCGGGAGCCCCACTCTCCAAAAAGACGCCCTTCAGTGTGCCTGCAATGATGAAATCTGTCAAATTGGTATTCCGAAATTAGGGGCCCCGGCATCTCAATATGCGCAGAAAGTAGAAAACGGACAGAGTCAATCCAAGCGACAATAACACCAGCAAACCTACTTAGTCAACGTGATTTGGACGTCAAACATTCTGAATTAGGGTTAGAGATAGCAGCCTCTCCTTCTGCCGTACTGATGACGCAAATGCAAATACTGAGCCAGGCTGTCGCAATTATAACAGGCACGCGCAAGTAAGAAGACAACGCTTTAAAACCTTTCCAAGACAAGCACCGTAGACTTGGATGAGGATGATCATTGGGTAATCAGTGATAACGAAGTCGGCGCGAGAGTTTACCTTCGTCGACCCAAAAGGCCGCCAGCTTTGGGTCAAAGTCTCCCACGTCAACGACCTCCCCCTCTGCGCGACAGGAGAGTCCAAACTTTTCTGACTATCATATCTCAAAGGTTGTAGAAACTTGCGAGAGTCCAGATTAAGTTCGACGTCTCAAAGTAGAAGCAACTTTGAAAGTGAACCGAGAATTCAAAACGACTGACAACGTTGTCACTCTCAAAGCGTCGCAAATCCGAACTCATGCACAACAGCACATTAATGCTAGCTTTTACGACTGTGATCTTCGAGCTCGGCAAACCCCGCGAACGCTTATGGTTCCTCTTTCTCCTTTCCACTACCCTTAGCAAAGCTGCAGGGGCGTCAACCGATACACGCAGACGAAACGCCACGAATCCTCATACTCCCTGGGAGTCAACGTTCGGACACATTGGCCCCAAATTGCGGGGCACTATTTATGAAAGACGGCCACCCCACTCAGAGAAAGACGGGCAAGAACTCTGTTTCCAACTTACTGTTCTCGCCGTAAAACTGCCACCAGACCTTCCGTGCCGTTCCGGGATGCTCGAACACGCGGGAGTAGAAGTAGGGCAGGTAGTCGTACCTGGGAAGTAAGTTGCCGGGAAGCTTCAGCCGCCGATGTAGTCCGGGAACGTTCAACTGGGCGGTTCATGACGTGGCTAATCAGAAGGCGCTGCTAGTTCCCGGAGAGGGAGCAAGCTCACAGGATGGTGCTATTGTCTAGAGCGCGTCTTTTGTGCTAAATTCCAAACCGTTTCTACTACAAAAGTAAAGCAATCCGATCGAAGAGGCTGAGCGAGCCTTCGTGAAAGACAACTTTTTATCAGCCCCTTTTTTTGTCGGCGTGATCCACAACTTCGGTGCCATTAAAGAGGGCGTCCCGTGACCCGTCACGCCTCGGCGACCATGTACCGCAGAAATGGGGCATACTGGTCGCTCGGGACAAATTCCAAGATGCACTTTAGTCCGTCCGATGAGGATTCCCCTAAGGACTCAGATGCCACTAGTGCGCATTGAAATCTGACGCCCTCTTTAACCCTCTGCGAGCGATCGTTTGACGAGCGGTGTGCAGGTTGATTGTTGCCTTGAGTCCATGTGCTTAGAAAGCTTCTTTACCCGTTGACTTGCGAATTGGGCGGCTTACCCTTCGCCGCTGCCGTCTAGGATCGCCTTCACAACGTGCGCCGCCGACTTCCTGGCGTGATCAACATGCTCGACGCGCGACGTTGAGCCCAGAATCTGCACGGCAGCAAGACGCGTCCATCAGTACTTCGGTCGTTCGAGAAGAGCCTTGGTTCCCTGGTTGATGACACTCTATAAGCACACTGTTTTCCTGCAATTGGAACTTTGTTCGCAGCCTTTGACCTTTCCCATGGGACGGCATGTCTCTCGATCGCGCTCAAATGAAAGAGGGAATGCCTAAGGGCCTAAGCGGTTCGCTCGATTCAGAATTTTATGCAGAATAAGTGCCCTCACGAGTTGATAGTCCCTCGCTTAAGGCAAACTTTGACGTGGAACATTAGTCCGAAACTCTCACGACACTTTTTTTCATCTTTGCGCGAAGCCCCGATATGCTGAAGTGTTGAACAGGTCAAATCAGGACTCCGTCAACTAGACCTAGCCAAATCTTTGACAGGAAAGAAAGGAAGACGGCAGCGCCCCCGTCTGACGGACCTCAAACACTCGATCGATGTGTACGGAAGACATGAGCAAGGCCTGAAGCAATCGTGTGAAACGAGACACCGCTCTTCTGCGGTTGCTTTCCCGCAGATTATTAGTCCATCTTTTCGCTACCAAGACCAAAGAACTCTCCGACTCGTTCTAGGTAGCCAAACTGCCATACTTGATGCTTTCGGCTGCAGGAAGTATGTGAGAGAGTAGGGGTTTTGTGGCTTAAGTAATAGAGAACGCGAACCGGTCCAAGGCTTACTTTGATTGGAAACGCGGCCGTGTCTCCAATAGCGTATACGTCTGGATTGCTGGACTGCAGCTGGTCATTCACCTGCAGCAGAAGCTTATCATTCGGCAGCGCTTTTGGCTGACATGCGGGTTATGATGCAGATCAAAATGTTCGTTCCTATGAGCCGGCCAGAATAACACAGGTTGGCGTATAAGTTGACTTGAACGGTTTTCCTAAAATCTCTTCACGATACAACCCATTCTGTTGCTGACACTCCTGTGGAATGTCCAAGTTCATGTGATGTAACTCGGCGCTCTGCGCTATGCTCGACGCCTATCTCAGACAAAACCAAAACAGAAGCGACGGTTCCGGTATTGAAACATCTTCCGCTTACCTTGATCCCCTTGGCTTCTTCGTCCAATCCCGCGTCCAGAAACAGCTGCACCGCAGGTTTAGCGCCGACGCCCACTACTATCTGCGACACGAGTACCGAAATCAGCACGTTGATATGAGGAGCTGCTCCGGAAAGCCCCCGGCTTGACTCCCGTTCAGCATCTCTTTCCGTATCTGGATCCTCATACAGCCAATACTTTCCCATCAGCCAGACGGAGCTCAAGTGGGCACCCACTCTCCGGCAGACCCTACATGTAGATCATAACCCCTTCGCTTTTTTCGTGACTTAGCAAAGTCCAGGCTCCAAGGCTCGACCGTTCATTTGCAGTCTCCGACTACATTTCTCACGAAACGGGAGGCATTGAGCTTGTGCAAAGAACTTCGTTGGCAGTAGATGGCGAGCCCTTACTCACCAAATCTGCGTCGTACTCTTGCTTGTTGGATGCAATCGCTTTTGCGACCCTCCCATCGGGCCCCGCCTCGAAACGCTCAACGCTGGCACCCTGCAAGAGAAAGAAACACAAATCTACGATCATAAAGTACTCGGTCGGGCTCATTGACCGCGAGAAGTCGTTTGAGCCCCAGCATCAGTGGACGTAGCAATGCAGCTGTCAAGTCCTCCAAGGCTGGTGCGTCAGCAAGAGCTGTTGGATCAGGAAAGATATTCGGCGAGTTGTTGGGTTATGAGGAACTAGGAATTATGAGGTGCCATGTCATTGATATTAATAAGCTTCTTTGTCGTACAAGTGACGTCTCGCTAATCTTCGGGCTTTGTCAGCAATATCCGGAGCGCCTTTGCCGCCTAGCTTACCGTCACGAAGTTGGCGCCGAGGCTCTCGTAGAGCTTGTGGTAGTGCGCAGCGATGCCTGGGGTAAACAACCGGGGCATGAAGTGGGGCTCCGGGAAGATCAACTGCGAATTGACAGGACGTCAGCAGCAGCAGGGATGCATCCTTGTGTAACGTCAAGTCTGGTTGACTATCATTTTCAGCTTCCAGTTCTAGTCTAGCGGATAGCTTTGATCAAAGTGCAAGCGACAAGAAGTAGGTTTCAAGGGGAACTTGTCTACACGCAACCTTAAGATCAGACCTTGTATCAGAAAGTCGAAAGCTGTGCAGATGATCCTCCATTGAGAGTCCCGTTGACAATCTTTTCTGCGGAAGAGTGTGGATCGGAACGGTGAAACGCACCGTTACGTCCAGACCCCATGCGAGAGCCGCTGCCGACACCTCCATACCGATGTAGCCCCCTCCGATAACTACAACTTTCTTCGCGTTTTGCTGTGGAAAGACAAAGTAAAGTGTCGAAAGAGGATTCGACGTAGACTATCTGGCAGTTCCTACAGGAACGGCCTTCTAACGCGCACCGAAAAGAAGCTTCGACTCCCTCTCCGTTCAAGAACCGGCATGCAAACGCGTTGATCTTCCGCGTCCTTCTTTCGTGGAGTTCGCTCGAAGATTCACGCGGTGCACAATGTCAATCTTCTATGCACAATTCTCCACAGTTCTCATAAAGTAAAGAGCGGAGGCGAGAATGCCAAGGCGGGAACCTTACAAAGTCTTTCACAAGCCCGTCCGCATCAGCGACGTTCCTTATGTAGTTGACGCCCGGAAGCGCCCCGCCAATCTTTTCGGGCAATCTGTCAAAGTGGAAAGCCGCAAAGCCTGAGTCAGTGTCGTCATAAAAGACACTAACGAAGCTCCAGCTTGCTGCAGGCAATCTGGACAGCGGACAGCACCAACCCGTCTCAATCAATTGCGTCCGCTCAAGCAGTACAAAGTTTGACGTAGACTGCACAATCTCGACTCGACCATGAATTAGCGGGCAACCTGACGATGCGGGGAAGCCTCAGTTTGTGCAGAAAGCCTCGGTGGTCACCTAGAGGCGGTGCTCCCAGTGGCAACAATGAGCTTTTTGTAAGAAAGCGTGTCACCCTTGGAGGTGGTCAGCTCCTTCTTGGATAGGTCCAAACCTGAGATGGTTGTTCCTAGCAGCAACTGCAGAAGAATGTGCTTACACGTCTGGCAACGGGGATGAGAACCTCGATGAAAGCATGCTATGAAGACTGCGTGCATAAGATTCAGCAACGAGCGAAGTCAAAGGAGTAACCAAGGTCCTTCGCACTAATATGATCCACTAAATATCCACGAAATATCTAGTGGATATTTCGTGATCCACTAGAGTCTTTGAGATCATATCGGTCAGGCTCAGAGCTCCAATTTTACTGGCTGAGGATTCCGGCTGATTCCATCAGCACTGAGGGACTGGGGTGCTTATTTGTTGCAGATCTTTGCAGTGTGATAAAGATCAGATATGCATACCTCAATGCCCTTCTGCTCATACCACTCGGGGGTCTGCCTCTCGCCACCAGTCCCCACAGTCGTATGAAAGCCCTGGTATATACAGTGCACTCTCGTCAGCTCAATAGCCAATTGTGAACCTGATGACCTCAATCATACGGCTACCTAGGAATATACGTCAAGTTGATAGACCAGATGATGTTGAGCTACTCCCGTCCCCTACCCTCGTCATTTGGGTGAAGCTTTTGTGCGGGCTTTTGTTCGAGAGTCTCTGCATTCCAACTTCAGATTTAACACGGCAATCAGATGACATGTGAAGTCGTTGTCTCAAGTAGGACCGAGCTTGAGCATGCTTACAGGCTGCCTGAGACTCAGATCTCTCACAATTGGGACCAGAAACATAATGTAAGACCAGCAAAGCCATTCCCTTTCTTACCGGCAACCGTGGCGGTTTTGCGTCTCCCTTGATTGGGAATAGGTAGCCTTTTGAGAGGGTGGGCCGCTCATATGGAGCCACTTCCTGCCAAAGTACTTAGCGAGTCAGGGCATCACGACTGTGGGAATTTGTAAGAATGCGACATTCCGAATTGGCGCCCTGCGACAATGCGAGGAGGGGAGTCGCGATCCAGCCCTAAACCAAAGCAATCTGCGCGTAGACATGAGGTTCTTGATCGCGCTGTTGAGATCTTCTCCATGGTATACTACTGTCATCAGCAAACTCACTTCGCTGCTGATGATGGCAAGTTTACCAGCCGCCTGATCGTTGTCCACAAAGGCTTTGGCCGCATATCCCGCAGCATTGCCACCCCCCACGATTACATACCTGCACAAGCGCCTTGCATTAGTGGTGTTACAGTCGCTTAATGTGAGCAATGAGGTCTTACTAGAGTAAAATGTGACATATGTTTGCTGGGCACTCTCGTGTATGCACCTGAGGCCGGGGTTGGCCCCGGGGGTGCCGAACTAACCCCCTCGCCGTTATATGCTTCGATGATTCTTTTCTGCAAAGGCCTGGATTTATGTCACCCTTGTTGAATTCCTGAATGGTAGGACCCCATTGACATCACTTAAGTTGGTGGTATGTGCTGATTACTGACCAGAAACACCGCACTTCAGAACTGCATGCATACTGGCAACACCCAACACAATTGCAATCTACACTCCAGCATTTACAAACACCAAGGACCTATCTGCGTTCAAGCTCCTCAAGTCATCTGAAAGATCTATCTCAAGGGAATGTACATAGTGCTGCAGACTCACTCTGTGTTCCTGTTCAAGGAAGAAGCAGAAACCGAAAAGGATCTTCTTCCTGACACTCGGCTCTGAAGGTGAGGTGTCAAAACGCCAGTCAGAGAGACCCCCTGAAAGGAGCTGACGCTCAGCAAAGGTGCACCAAGCTGCGAGCTCTGACGGAGAGTGAATGCAGCTTTGGGAGCCAGGTTGACCTGGCCCACCGCAGCTGAGCACCTCGCAAAGGCCATGGCTGCTGTCGGCGTGAGCTGCTCGATCAGAGCACACAATGCTGTGGCTTCAAGAGAGGCCGAGATCTTGCAGAGACACGCTGTTGCAAGATTGGTGCTCATCTTCCCTGCACGGATCAATCCTGCCTCAGCCTGCTCTGGACTCCTGTTTTGAGAGGCGCGCCGCAGCTGTCGATCTTGCACAATCGGACTTTGCTGTGCCCAAAACGAAGCCAAACGCAGCGCGCATGCATGCGGCCACCTCAGCAATGACGGCACCAAATAAAGGTCCAAGAGCCGTCGATATCGCCCTCCATTCTTGCAGATGGAAAGGAGCGCGCTGAAGCCGTTCGATCCAACAACGAGAAGTAGCACAAGCCGTCCGATGGAAAGCAGTACATAACTGTCCGGCCTGACGTCAATCATGCAGATTCCTTTTCCGATGAAGTGGATCCACCATTTTCAGTAGCAGCACCAATTCACGTCCAGTCGACAGTGGCGTTGATGGAGGCCAGGCATGATCCTCTTTCTGCAATTATACCTTCGCACAGTTGGTCTACGTTCTGGGTTCTGATCAGCAAGGCTGCCTCTGTTGAACTGATGTGACTTGTTTACTGAAGTCCACATGAGACCTAACAGGGCGCAAGGCGGGCGCGGTGAATCTCGTCATTGGTTTTCAGCCCGCTCAAGTCTGCACCCCCCACAGACAGCAGCTCACGTTCCAATGCTGGCAATGTCAGCAGTCTGATGTTAAAAAGGATTCATGGGATTGTCTGGTGTTGTGAGGAGCTGTGAACTTCACATTCAGCATTGTTAGGCAGCAGATGCGCTATTTATCAAGGATGGAGTCTATTTCGCAGTTTGTGTTGTACGGGACAGGAGCACTCTTTGCTGCTGCTGCACTGAAAACAGTCTATGTCAAGGCGGTGAGATCAGACATACTGGTTGATGTGTCAATATCTCCAGTATTGAAGCAGATGCGCTGGCCAGTTCATGCGTCTCACAGGTGAGGGATTCGCAAGCTTTCTGACACAGGGACAAGTCTGCAGAATCCGAATTGGAGTTGTCTTACAGTCGCAAAGCAATTGAGGCGAAACTAAGTTTGCCAGGTTATGAAGTTCAGTGTTACAAGTTGAGGTCTTCGGAGCGCAGACTGTACTGTTTCTGGATCCTTAGCCTTTCTTTATACGGACACCTCATCTGAAGCTTGAGCATAAAATTGATGCAAGACACAGCATATGGAGAAATGTTCTCAAATAGGATAACATCTTGCGCTGGACAATGAAAGTACTGGAAGCCACCAACTGGGGTCGCTTGGACTAATCTTTTTCCGGTATCTTTGCAAAAAGGTGATCTTCTAACAATGCTGTCGAAATACTCATCCAGAATGTTGACTTCATTGTTGCAGAGGTGGTAGCCGGGCCTGGCCCGAGAACACAATGCTCGCTTTCCGCAACGCAGTGGGTATGACAGGCGGAGTTGGAGAGGTGCCACGCACACAAGTCATTGAGTTTGATGTTCAAAAGTCAAGGGACAACATTCTGGTGAGGAGTGTGTAGGAAAGGAAGAGCTGATTGGTGTCACTGCATCTATTGCTGGCTATCTGCGGAGAAAGTTCCCAAGGCTTCAGACAGCTGCCTGAAAGCTCTTCTCAAGCGTGAGGAATCTAGCAGCAAAGCAAATGAACGAACATGAACAACAGAAAGTCATGCGTTACAGACAAGGTCAAAAGTGAAAGGGGGTTTTGAATCTTCAATATGGCCTACCGTCAGACTCAGATGCTGAAGTTGGGCCTAAGGAAAACAGTCCTTGTGCAGGTTATTATGCATGACTACAACGTTGCCACCACGACAAACGGGACTGGACTTATTTCTCAGCTCACATTGGATGAAATCAAGTGAGCTACCCGTGCTGCACAAGTTGCAATTGTCGTGTGACTTTGAACAGGATGACCTCAGATTCTGATATAATATAGCAGTCAAAGCTCGTATCAGTAGCCAATATCCTACGTCTATTACATCCGGTGGATCTCTTCGCAGGAAGCGCTTATCGGCCTTCAACGGTATCTAGGGCATCTCCTAGGGCGTATCGCTCGTTCCAATGATTACATCTACAAATTTGTGCAGAAAGCTGGATGCAGGATACCGTTTCACCACTGATGAAGGACTCACATATCCTTATCGCGGAAAAGGGATCACGGTTCCTACGCTCGAGGAAGTAAGCCCCTAACATCGGAAGCTGCTTTTAAAGTCTACTTGTTTCGAAGCATCCTTCACAATTGTCAGTGGAAGGCAACGAAGTTGTATTCCATGAGGAGGCCTCCCGAATGTCGTACATAAGAAAACCTGAGATGAGCTCGTTTGCTGGCTGGGCCTTTGTATCGAGATCTGGAGTAGGTTAGGCATCTGCCCCAAACCCGTCTGCAGAAATGTCGATCTTTTCAGGATTTGTGATTGTCATGTTTTTGGTCGCAGATGAGGTTAGGTGCAGATTGCAACTCGTTGAAGGCTACTTTGCTCATTGTGTTAAGCTGAAACTTACTCTCCCAGGTCCTCAGTACTTTCGTGCCAATCAAAGAACTACTCTTCTACATCGACTTCAAGAGCCCGGGTGCTGTAGCAGACACACTCGAGGTTGTCAAGCGTTTTGGGATTGAGGAGCGAATCATCATGGGAGCGATTCCTACGGATGCGAACTTGGAGGTAGGAGTCTTTGCCTTTCACTTGAACTGTATAAGGTAGTCTTTGAAATAGACTACAAGATATGCACTCTGCTCACAAGGATATTCGAATTTCGCCAAAATTTTGCTTGTAGGTTGACGAGAACGGCACAGGTTTTGACAACCTTTTGTTTGTCTGTCCGCTTCGACAGCACACCCTTTGAAGCCTTACAGTCTATTGTCTGGAGTGCATCCAGAGATTAGAATGTCGGGAGATCCCGCGGCCGCCATTAGCATCCTACGAGCTAAGACATTCGACAGCCTCCGAAAATACTGCTGATTCTGTCGTTTGAGGATCCGTTGTTATATTGTGACGATGCCGCATTGGCGTCTCAGGGTTGCCGTCGGATCTGATCACCGCCTGTAGTTCCGCAGGTCAGAAGATTAAAGCCGTCCTGCGTTCCGGTAACCCCAGACAAGAACAGCATGATACTCATGTGAGTCTTCAAGTTCCCTAGCTTCCCGTGTCAGCTGAAGCACTATCCTGGTCCTTTCGATACCTAGAACACTTCTCGAACGATCTCGAAAAGTCGAGCAGACTGGGTATGTTCGCAAGCCGGTTGCAAGTGAACTAACTTCTCTCAAAAGCAGAGTCCCTTCACTTTCTCACGCGTTCAAAATTCGAGGGGTGAGAAGCGGGCGGGATGAGCTTGGCCGTTGGTGGCACGTTGGTGGCACAACGAGACTCGTCGTCAAGGGGGCCGTTGCGGCCCAGAGCTTTACCTGCGCTTTTTCTCCGTATAGAATGGAGAGCCTCTGGCAACCAACAAGAGGACTGACCTGTCTCGTTTCATGACTTAGCGATGATTCCGAGTAGGTCTCAGGACCTTCGGTTCGGAAGCCCGTCCGGCATGCATCACGTGATAGCGCTGGACAGTCCAGGGAGGCTGACAAACGGCCTTCGGTATCGTTGTGTTGGCAGGCTAGCATGATCCCGTGATTTGTTTCCTTTAGGTATGCGATGTACTGCCTCGGTTTGCTGTGGGTGGTTCCTATGCGGTTCGAGATCGTGGGGACCACAGCGCACCGCTGGGGCTTCAAAGTGTTGACGCCCGGGCTGGTCAAGGCGTTCCACGACCGCGGAGTACGTCACGTTATCCTTCACGTTGTCATGACGTCACCAAGCTATCTCCTGCATTCTGTAAAGCGGAAGCGGTGCACTTGTGGTTGTTATGCACGTTGAGCTGATTGCGGGGCGGCTTGGTTTCGAGCGCGCATGTATTTGCATTGACAAGCCCTCAAGTCACACCAGTTTGAATGGGATTACGGTACGGGCTGGCAGACGAGGGGGTTGGTGAGACACTTGCGCTCCTGTATCATCGGGTGCAAACGCCGCTGATGATAAGCTTGCTTGACCTTTTGCAGAGATTACTGGCTGTTTTCGGGCCGCATATCGACACCCCTGAAGGCCAAGTGAGCGCTGCGTTTACTCCGTCTGTCAAGCTGCACATACCGTACTGATGTAAAGGCGTTGTGTAAATTTCGCATGCTCGCTTCAACACGAGCGCGGCTGGTATATATTGTCAAGGAAAGCGAGTTGGGTCTAGTCTTATGATAATGCGAAGAAGTACGCAGGATACCCATGTGGACCTTCCAACTCGATTCATGATTTTGCCCCTCTTTTCATGCAGTTGGACTGCATACGGATGGGCGTCGACATGCTCTTCACCGACAGACCCGACGTTTTGAGTGTCACCCTGGAGGGCCTAGCGAAGGAGAAGGAAAGCACAAATAAAGCGCTGAGTTGACCTTCCCCGTATTTAACATAAAGACAGTAAACTTATCTTATCTAGTGGCGACTCAAGTGCGAGGTGTAGACAACGGTCGAAGAGCGTTGTTGTATAGCAGGTTGGCTCGACACAATATGCTGATTCTCCTATCAAGCATCTAGTCGAAATTGAAGAGTTTCTTGAGACGAACATATAAGGATGCACCTGCGTTCAGGTGTCACTGGAGCACTAAAACGCACGCTCGTGGAGTACATTGAGGGCCGACTCGTTGTTTGCAGTAGTGATCGTCATATGATAGATGTGCATACTGCATTCCTGCTTAATTGGGCCTTTTTGAGTTGGCTGGCAACACGAAGGCCTTTCATAGCTAGACGCAAGGGGTTCATGCGGACCTAGGTTTCGTAGATTGTGAACCTTCAACTGGAACCTTTCTTGGATCCCACCAAATATTTATTCATGGCATCGTGTCAAAACACCTGTGCAGTGGCGTCCGGACCTCCGGTTTTCCGAATTTCCTTGATGGGGCTGGTGGCCGGTTTTCGGAGCTCCGTGGCGAAGAGTCGAGGGGGCTGGTGGCCGGTGCCCGGTTGAGCATTTTCGACAGCATTCAAAACCCACAAATTTGTCGGAAAGTCTGCCTATAGATAACTGCTCCACCTCGTATACATGTACCAAACGGGTTGCCGGCCCCCTGCGAGAAGCCGCATGGGACAGGCCACAGCAACCGACCGGTCTGGGACGAGATGGTCAAACGGGTTTTGTCTAACACATTGACATTGAAGGGTCCAGCCGCATATATGTAGTTGGGTTTTTGCCTTATACAGCTCTAAGTCGCACACGAGCCCTTTGCAAATCGACTGGTTTGAAGTCTAAATCCGGAGTGATTGATTGCAGGCCCCATCGTCGTATATCTTTCTGATCTCAATTTATTCTGCCTCGGGGCTTGGGTACCCCTGGTGGCCGGTTTTTTTTGGGTCTTTTTCTGCTCGCACCCCCCTGGTGGCCGGTGTTTTTTTCGGAGGTCCGGACGCCCTTGCACAAGTGTTTTGACACGATGCCCATGATGTATTGCAGATTTGAGACCCGCCTGGGTTCTCAATTGAACAATGATTGCTTTAATTGCTTGAATAAGTTCTTCATGCACCGCTCAGCCGTCTAGGCCGCATGTAGCATATAGCTGACGCGATTTTCTACGATTCCCGCGATCGTCATCAGATGATCGTGACATGCCAACACTGACAGGTTGGATTATCCTTGATCGCATAGCAGGCTGCCTTTCACTGTTGATGAGGGTTGTACGGTAGCTTTGTTGCTTGGAGGAGGCTTGGATTTTCAACAACTAGATTTTGGCCTAAATGATTAACCGGGACAAAGCCTTCAAGTCACGGTCACTTTGTCTGGTAATGGTAAGAAACCAACCATTGCCAGCTGCCGGGCCCGGGCCCGCCGCCGAGGCGGCCGGGCCCAGGTGTTATTAGAATCGGGATGCTATTTGAGTCGCTCGGACGGTGGCCGCCCGGCGAGGAGCCCCGGGCCCAGCAGGCTCCCGACTGCGAAGTTCGAACGCCTCACATGCGCTCCTCAAACTGCCTTCTTACCTCCCTACTCTAGTTTCCAGCTCCTGAGCTTGCATGCAGCCTAAGACCAAAAGTACTACGGTAGCTGCTAGGTAGTACTAAGTACTTCTCCGATGAAGCCTCAGAAGGGGGAAAACCTGAGCCTGAGCCTGAGCCTGAGGGAGGCTGGTGATCCGCCCTTCCCATTACATACTTCCTACTACTGTCCAGCTTTGGCTCGGAACGCTCTCCTGCACAAGAGCGCCCCAGATGGCAAGCAGTTCCGAAGCCGCGATGCAGGGGCGGCAGGGTCGGGCCAGCAGGCCGGCCGCACAGTATGTCCTTCCCTCGTTTCCTCCCGCAGCTCAGCCGGAGGTGATGCGCGCTGCAGAGAAGGACGAGCAGTACCTGAAGCACGTGTCAGACACGTGCTATGACATCGCTCGGCGATACCTAGGTACTTTTTGGCATCAGCCTGGTTTCAGGTTCCCTGTTGTTGCCACGCCTGCCCAATTGTGGTTGGCGTTGAATGCCCTGCTTGAAAAGTCATAACGTGCTCATGCAGGTTGGGTGGGGATTGTTAACTCTCTTAATGCTTTTGTTGTAGCAGCATGTAGCAGGTGTCCCAGACAATATAAAGATGGGCGACTAGGGAAGTCAAGCCATTGAACCCGTACTCTAAGAATGCCCCCAGAAGTAACCCAGTGTTCCTTTGCTAGCGCTTTTGTACCTTCAACTCTTTCAATCCCTGCCTTTCAGATTCAGGCCTAAACTTTCTTAGTTTTTCAACTTCTTTGTGGTGTGCAGGAGCAAGAAGAGCTGCTGAGTATCAGAATGAGGTGTGTGGTGGCTTCTAACCATTTCTTGAATGGTTGTATTGTTCCAGCCGACATTGTATGCCTTACAATTTTGAAAAGTTGATTTCCTCCACTTATTGCTTGACAACGTCTTCGCCCCATCCGTCGTTGTCGATGCCTGTTTCCTGTCTCGCAGACCCTGTTACTTTTGATCCAGCTACACGAGCAGCTTTGGTTTTCTGATCTTGAGAAAACTTTGTGGTCATTCGCTGCTAGCACTATCAGATGGAGCGCTCTTGTGCGCGTTTGCAGACGAGGCTAGCCGGGCGGCTGCTGTACTATCTTCTAACAACCGGCACCGGCATACAAACACTCGGCGAAGAATACTGCGACATCCGACAGGTAAAAAAGCGAGTTGGAATTGCTCTTGGTGCCGCAAAGTTATGAGGCCCAGCTTGCCTTACAAATGATGTGCCGAAAGCCCGCCAATATCTGTTCTTCTCGGAAGTAGCAAAAGTTTCTGGATATTTTCTGGATTGACTTGAATGCATGGACCGCGGTCTGTGCTTGCCCCTTCCGCAGCTCTTGATGTTGGGCGTGCTTCGCACTTCTGCCCTCTCTGGAACATCGAAATCTGCTCTGGAATGGCTTTCAAAGGCTCATGAGGCTGGAAAATGTAATAAGTGTGCCTGAGTTCCATTGCTGCGCCATTCATGTCAGGAACTTGCAGCGCCAAACATGCCACCAAGTCGGCAGTGTTCTTAATCCTAACTTTGTCACAACAACGTGAATTGCAATCGAAAGTTGTTTTTGTAGAGGAGCGGTCTATCTTCAGGCAGTTGGCCCATCCGCCCTTCTCCCACCCTCCTTCGTTGGGGTTCGCTCATTTCGGACCCTCTTTCCACTCCCTATGAAGCCCGCAAACACAGCTGTCGTTGAGCATAGGGTCTCTTTCATGACCTTTTCGATCCTGCTTCTGTTCCTGTCATGTCGGACAAACTTTCAACGGCTTCGAAAACCTCGTCTCCTACCTCCCAGAGTGTACTAGCAGTTGCTCGAGTCTGTTATTGGGCCATCGATATCAGAGTAGCATATATTCTCCTTTCGATCCTTGTCGCTGATGCGCTTACAAGATTTTGACAAAGTAAACAAGGTTGGCTATTCAAGGTGGTCTTCCTATCGATCCTTATTGCTTATACAGGGGTAAAAGAGCTAACTACGGTTGGTCATTGTCATTGATGCTTATACATGGGTTGATCTAACTAACTACGGTTGGTTATTCCAGGTGTTCGGCCCGGCCGCCCTTCCTCCGACGTCCGGTCGCCGGGCCTCGCTCGTCTTTCTCCAGACCCTCTTCCCATACCTTATGGAGCGCGCCAGCAAACGCGTCGCCGCACGAGGGCTAGCGATGTCTGATTCGGACGTTTCTCAAACCTTTAGTCCTAGTCATCCCGTGTCCGAAAGCAGAACACCCCTCTCCGAAAATGAAGGCGATGCGGCAGCGGGGCTGTTTCAAGATGCAGAGGACGCCAACGAACCCTCCGAAGAGGGGTCGAGTGGGAGGCCCGGACCGTCCGAAAGCGGGAGGGGTTCAGGAACTCAGGTGGGGGAGATTGAGGAGGAGAGCGGGATCAGCGTTCGGTGGACAGGCGTACACGAGCGGCGGGTGGAAGTGTCGGAAGTGTGGAGGGGAAGGCGCATGCGCCTCGGGGTGACGTGGCTGAATTTTGTCCGGTGGTGGCCCACAGTGAGTGACGTCCGCACCTACTTGAACAAAGGGAAAATTGGCATCCCCTAGGGGTCAATTTGCGGTTCTTACGATTTGGAAAGGGGTGTGCTCTTGCTTGCACCTGCAAGAACAGTTGGAAATTGGGCGTTCGCTAGGGGTCAATTTGTGATTTTTTTGATCGGGAAAGGGTGTGCCGTTGCCTGCACATGCCTGACAAGGTTTCGACCCTTCTTTCATCACTTGATACCAGAAGGAGCGTCGCAAAAGCGTCTTTCACAGCGCATTTACACCTTCGCCCCCCTGGCTCGCATGTGGTATCAAGATCTGGTATTTGAACGCAGGTCCTGGGATGAGAAACTTGTGGAAATAAGCATTTTGATCCTCTTGAAATGCCGTGGACAGGCCCCCTGAATACAAGGTGCGACTTGATTTTCCCGTCGTCTGAGAACCTTTGACCTTCCAAACCAGATTAGGAAAGGTTTGTAGGAGTAATGTTCGAACAGGATGCCACAATCACAACTTTGTTTACTGCAGGCCCTCCCAGCGCTGCGAGAAATTGCCGAGCTGGGTTTCCGCTACCACCTCATGCTCTTCTACTTCTTCGGTGAGAGGACGCGCTCTTCGTTTTGAAACTTTCTTCGCTGTCGCTTCTATTCTAATATTGAAGATATCGTGACAAATTAGGCGACTTGACCAGCTGCTGAGCCCAACTGTTCTGCCAGTCATTGGAAGAACAGGAGGCATCTGCACCTTCTCTTCCTCGTTGCTCGACGGAACCATGAAAACTGGGAATTGCAAAGGCGATCTCTGCCATTCGGTCGATGCATGCTCTTCACTTCGTCTGGAATTGGAACTCTCCAGTTTAGTGCCCATTTAGCACCTTTACGTTGCAAATTTCTCGCAACTCTTTTCGTCTTGATAACAATCAAGGGGCACTACTCCGCTGTCTCGTGCTCTTCAGGGACCACCGCACAAGTTATGCGCCTTTTCTTCCTCAGACACGCACTACCAGCCTGAGCAGACGGACAACCAGCGTGCGATACCTCTTACTTGCCGAGGTTCAGATGCAACCACTCGCTATGGCAACAGAGCTTCATAGATCGATGATTCCCAATTTTTTTTCCAGGGAGTAAATACCATCTAAGCAAGCGGGGGTGCAATACTTTCTCACTTGCCGATGCTCTGTCAAACCCCTCGTTATCGAAACACTATGGTCACAGAGCCTTTTCGCTTTATGACCTCCGTTTTCGCTTCCAGGGACGTACTACAATCTAAGCAAAAGGACAACCGGGGTGCGGTACCTCTTCACCGGTCGGGGCTTGGACCAACGTCCCCGGTACAACATCCTGGGGCTGTTCCTGTTTGTCCAGCTGGCCGTTGTCGGGGGGGGCCTTCTGCGGCGCCAGATTATTCCCACCCTCACGGCCGCAGTGCAGCTGCAGGCGCGGGAGCAGACGGCGCGAAGGGGTGAGAAACGGCACTCTGGAAAGAGTCCCTTTGCTTACAATCTTACGGCATGAGCATGTTCGTTGTCGATGATTGAATTTCGTCTTCGTTTGCTAGTTGCGACTGGCGGAGGCCCCAGCCACTACGATCGGCAGTCGTGCTGACGTCAGCGGTCTACCGTTCGCGACCTTCTTTAAGCGGCACTCTTGATGACGTCAGCGGTTCGCAACCTTCCACGACGATGATGGTGCATTGGATTCGCACATAGGACGTGCTGGTTCTCTGCTTGACACTTGTCACGCTGAGGTTGCGCCAACTGTCTTTCGAGCAGGTAGGCAGGGCCCGTTGCTATTGGACGCGGACGGGATACCGGTGGACGACGCGTCAAGTCGGAAGGAGGCGGCACAAGAAGCGGAGGTCAGTCCGCAATAAGAGACGTCTCTGCGTGGAATAGGGAAAGAATGCGCCCAAACAAGGCCCAAGAACGCCCTGGATGCCAGTACTGTTGGATTCTGGGACTTTTCAGAAGCAAAGCGATTCTAGTTGCCCGCAAGAAGAGTTTTACCTTTGCATCGGGAGTCATATTGTTCATTGCGTCCTCTGCCTTACTTCAACTTATTGCTTGGCTGTTTCCCCCGTCAGCACTTTCCATATTCGAGGGCACAAACACAAACAGCCAGTGGTGGGTGACAGTAACCAGCGTTATAACGAACTTTGTTTGGAGGCGTGAGAATATCGTGAGTAGCTATATATGTGCTGGCTAGTTTCGCTTGCACCAGAACCCTATCAGTGCGTCCTGGTTGGAGAGCGTTTAGAAACGATTGCTTTGGTTTGCTAGTGTGCGATCAAGAGCATTGGCACATTTTTCGTTTCCGCAAACCGTTGTCACTCGTTTTTACCTGGTGGGTTTCGGATTCGCCGGTGCGCCAAACGGTTGACTCAACGTTATTCTGCATTGTACAGGTGTCGATAAGCAGTAAGTGTGCCCTCTGCCTGAGCGTGCGGACCAATCCAACTGCCACCTCGTGTGGCCACGTGTTCTGCTGGTACGTTGTCTTTTACACCAGTGCTGGCTCACACCAGACACACAATCTTGCGGTTGATTGCTCCTGCTGGAAATGATGAGTCTGACATACGGGACGCGTTCTGGTGATGGCACTCCTCAGATTAGGCAGGTTACGCAAAGCTTCTTTTGCTGCCCCTTCCGGAAACGTCATTTATCACCTTCGTTTTTGTGTGCAGGAACTGCATCGCGGAGTGGTGTAATGAGAAGCCCGAGTGCCCATTATGTCGGGCCCCGATCACTCACTCCGAGCTCGTGTGCTTGTATCACGCGGACTTTTAGCAGCGGATTCGAACCGAGGCGTCAAACTAACGGCTTGGTTTGCATCACAACAGTGTTACGTTCTCCACATTGCAACATTGATGACTTGTTTGCGCAGCCAATGCGGTCGATCTTCTGGGCATCGTCAGCTAGTCCTCAATATTTGATCATGTCCGTGAAACTCCGATTCATGATGCATACGTGTGCGTAATCAAAGTCAAGAGTACTTGATCTGTCTGTTTCTTTGAAACCAGCTCTTAGGCTGGCTCAATCATCGGCTGCCGCCAATAGACGACATTCTTCTGTACCAAGCATGAAGGAAGCACGTACATTCTAGATAGCACTGGCCATATATGCCTTCACATTTGTCAGCGACTTAGCCGGGTTAGCTAGGCGATCCAGAATGACTGCGGGCGCCCGCGGGGATGGCCCAAGCTTCGTCACGCGCGTGATTGCCGCCACCGGGTGCTGGCCCGCATACAACCCAGCCTGCCCCGGCCCTGAGCCATGCCGCGACGAGGCCGGCAACGGCTTGCACATGATGGGGAATTGCTGCATGCAGTGCACTCCATGGACTGAGCAAGCAGTTTGTGCCAAGATATCTTGAAAATCTATGATCAATCACACTTCACGCAAGCACAAGCATGATGCAAAGACTCAGTGCATATGAATACAAGGCCGTTGCAAAACCTCTTGTACGATGTAGACTCAAGCGTATATAGCCTCAATCTGCATGGAAAGCTGGTACGGTATGTTGGGCCGGCAAGATCTACGAAGTTGGTACTTCATGGCGGGTCCGATTAGACCGTCGTGAGTCAAATGATGATCAAGTTACATGGACAAAATGCATGCAGCTTGGGCCTTATACGCCACGTTCGCTGTAATCTGCCTTGCTGAGTTCTGGCTTATACTTGACCAACAGTACTAAGAGCCCAGATGTTTCCTCAATGTACGTAGCCCATTTGTACTCGATTCTTACCGACGTACGTGCCCCCGCGAGTCCTGTACACTTCGCGACTGGTTGCATAGCCAAGCACCGCGATATCGGGCCAGATTTGTACCTAGAAGCTGACCCGAACCTCGAGTCACTGTGCATTTCTCTACTCTTTAAGTTTCGGCAGTCGCAGCCGCTGTTCTTACTACAACGGCCCGTCGCATCTTTGCAAGCGCCTTTGGGAACAACGCAACCCTCCAATTCTTACCTGACGACCCATACTAATATTCAATAAATGAACAAGCTTTTGACAAGTATCAATCTACATCTTTCCGTCCGCTGATCTGTAAGTATCCGTGGTGACGTTCGCAATCGGCCCCTTGAACCAACGGCGCGCGTCAATAAGCCAATAGCCCCCGGCCAGAACAATTGTCCCCCCAACCGCCGCTGAAGCGTAGTTGAGGTTCAACTCGGTCACAGGGTATGCCGTCGGCAGAACAAAGATGACCTGTAAAAGAGAAACTTTGCTCTTGTTTGCTCTCAAGAACTTGAAGAAGCACAATGGCACGATCTCCTGAATCTAGCGACGCTTGAAAGTTCGAGGAGCTGACGGGGTTTAAGAATGAGGTCCTCCTGAAAGCTGTCAGAATTGCAGGATCGCAAGAAGCAATCCCTCGCACACTTACGTGACAGTAAGCGAGAAAGCGGCTTTCGAAACATCACCCAGGCTTAATGGGACGAGCGTTCCGCGTTCTCAACATCGTCGCTTTCCAGCTGCATGAAAAGAGCTCCCAGACAGATCGACACGGACAGCAACGCCGTCTTGAAAAACTTGCTGCAACAAATGATAGAGCATGTCCCTACCGTGATGAAACAGATCCAGAGGATCGCCACGATTCCAATGATGTCTGAGAACGGCCCGAGGTGGAACGGCCCCCGCACAAACGTCTTGCGCGCAAACAACAGCTTGAACAAGATGGGCAGCCCATAGCTTATGTACAGCCCGATGACGGCGATTGACGTCACGGCGAGGAACGCGACGGTATTGTGAAGCGACGGCAGACCCAGGAGAAAGGCCAGGAGGCAGATGAGCCAGACCGCGTTAACCGGCACCTGAAAACCAGGGTTAAGAATGGGGTTAGCGGGCTTCCAGTCAGGAATTGAAAGAGGATCTTGTAACTAGTAAAGGATGGCAACAGTCTTGCGACGGCAGCCCAAGAGAAACGCCAGGAGGCAGACGAACCAGACCGCGTCAACCGGCACCTGAAAACCACGGTTAAGAATAGGGTTAGCGGGCTTTCAGGCAGGGGTGTAAAAGAGTGTCTAGGAAACGGGTTAAGGATGGCGACGGTGTTGTGAAGCGACGGCAGGGCCAAAAGGAAAGCCGAGAGGCAAAGAAGTCAGACTTCGTTAACCGGCACCTGAAAAGCAGGTAAAAGAGTGGGTTACAAGGGCGTTCGAAGAAGGTCAAGAAACGGTTAAGAATGGCACGTCATAGCTAGAAAGGCGACCGTGTGGTGCAGTAAGGGTCGGCCGGGGAGGACGTTAATGGAGCAAACGAACGAGACCGCGTTCACAGGCAAGTAGTGAACGGGTTTGTAACGAGGTAAACAACAAGGTCATGGAAGGGTTTAGAAAAGGATTTCAAGAGGCCGGGCGAAAGCGGACACAGCAAGGCAACGCTTTCGTGGAGGGAAGCAAGGCCGAAGAGAGGGCGGGAAGCAGGAGAGTCAAACCCCGTTGTCAAGTATAAATGGAATGGAGTCATCTGATGGGGTTGAAAGTCGCAGACAGACTCAAGGACGGGGTAAAAGAGAGGTTCACAAGGGGTTCAGAACGAGGTTTCTTGAGGGGCTGATGTAAAGTTCAGTACAGGCGTTCAGGTCGGAATGGGCTCAAGCGAATGGAGTCGGGAGCTGACAAGGTGTTTGAAAAGGATCTATCAAGGGGTTTTGTGAGGTCTTTGTGCGACGCACCGGCGGCAACACGCATTAAGGTCGATGCTGCTCGAGGAATTGTTTGCCATAGGCGACGCCACTTTTGGGTTTGAGCAGATCGCGACGAGAGATGCAGATCCACAGAACGGATGGTTTCATGTAAGAGTAGGAACTCATCTCCTGTCTAGACATCACTAGAACTCCGCATGAGCTGGTTTCCAAACTGTTGCAACGTGGGTTTCTTCGCAAACTTTCTCCAAACCAAGCGATTTGCAGGCGAGAAACGAACTTCTCGTCGAGGGTATGGTACTCCTCTGCGAGAGCGCCCCGGCTAAACTAGACGCAAGAGAAGTCTGGCGAGGCCGTCGGCATTTTCACCCACCTTGAAGATTGGGTTCACGTGGTGCCACACAGGGGACAACGGCAGAGCGCCGTCGCGGCTGAAGGCCCACACCTGCGAGAAGAGGTCCGAAATTTTGAAGACGCTTCAGGCTTCGAAACTTATCAATTTGAGAATTAGACGCTGTGTGCTGAGACTTCGAGATTCATCAGTACGCTATGATTGAGGCTCCTAGATTCATCAATTCAGGATTTGCACGCTGTGAGTCGAGGCTTCGAGAATCATCATTTGGAGATTCGCACGCTGTGTCAGCAACAACGAAGCGCGGGGTCTGTGAATATTGATGGCCCACATTGGTCTCAAATAGGCGCTCGCAGTAAAAGGATTGAGGACGCGTATAAACGACACGCGAGCCGATTCTGAGGGCCGCATTAAGGCCGCAGAAAGCAGATGACGCCTGCAATGTCGGGTCATCGCTAAACCCCGTCAAGCTGTCGCGGCATGAGGGCTAACTTCGTAGTTTCCCGACACCCTCAATGCTTTCAAATCTCAAGGCTGTGTAGAGTCGTACGAGCATATGCGCAAAATGCGCGAACTGCTGGTAGCGGATTCGAGGCCGCAGAAGACCATGGCAACATTCCAGGCTCGGTGGCATTGTACAAAAACCTCATACATCCCCAACCCCTAACATAGGGGTTTAGAGTCAGGGTTTAGACCGCGCGCGCACCATGCGCGAGTTGCTCGTGACGGATCCCAGGCCGCAAAAGAAGACGGCACCTACACTTGTAGACTCGTTCGCATCGTCAAGTCGGCAACAGCTCCCAATTTCGATGCCCCACGGAAGCCCCAGACCCGACGCCCTAGAATAGTTTCAGGATTTTAGTTCGAGTGCTCACCATGCGCGAGCTGCTGGTGACGGATCCGAGGCCGCAAAAGACACTGGCCCCACTTTCAGATTGTTGGAAAGCTAAAAGGAAAATCGAAATAAAGACCATGGTTGATGCCCCATGAATCCAGAAACCTAGAATAGTAGAAAAAGGGCGCGCGCGTACCATGCGCGAGCTGCTGGTGACGGATCCGAGGCCGCAGAAGAAGACGGCGCCGATGATGATCCCCAGTGACACGATCCCGCCCGTGCCGCTGCCGTAGCGTGCGTGGAAGGCGTCTGCAGCACACAAAGAGCTTCAGGTCAGGGTCCTCTGGTTTACAGTGGGCGTCGGCGGATTCCGCATGACGTCACAGTAGCGACCATTCGTGCGCACACTGGGCCTTTCGGTCGCCGAGCATCCGTCAGCATTAAAGTCGAAGCAGCGACCATCGACTCCGATCGAGTCGAGAGTCATGTACAGTTGGTCGCTGCAGCGTGCACGCCACCGCGACGCCCTCTTTAAGGTAGGGTGGGTGGGGTTCGGGCTCCAAATAGGATTTCGGCGAGTTTTTCCGGGCCTGCTTCGTACTGATAGGCAGCTTCGTTGACCCCAATGACGGTTTCACATGGTAAATGGAGCAAGATGAATAGGAAAAGTGTGGGAATTGACGCTATCTGACGTGTCGCAGCTTGCTCACCCACCGAAAAGGCCTGCTTTTGTGCGACAAACTAACAGCTCGACACGCTTTACTCGTTCGCTACCCCTTTTAAAATTTTCCAACCAAGGCATCTTTATGATAGGCAGAAAGCCCGTGAGCACCCAAAACGAAGAGGGGAAATAGCAGAAAGAGGACGAAGGTAAAACGAAGGGAACCGAGGATGTATGCTTACCAAAGAAGACTTGCGCGCCCGCATAGCCCCCGGTCTCGTTGCTGGCGTCTACTAGGTAGGCGGGGTCCTGGATGCTGAAGAGAAGCGCCAGAATGTAGGCCAACCCCACCACGAAGGAGACCCCGATCGCGAGGAGAATGCCGAGCGGACCGCTGACGTCCGCATTCTGCACGGAACAGGGGGCGAGAGGTAAACTAAGGAGTCTTTCTTACTTTTAACGAGAGTGAGGATCCGCTTTATTGCTGGTGGCAAAACTAATGGACGCAAGGGAAAAAGGCCCGAACGCACAACGAAAGAGACCCCGATCGCGAGGAGGATCCCAAGCGGACCGCTGACGTCTGCATTCAGCCCGAAGCATGGGGCGAGAGGCAAAACTCAGCAATTTCTCTTAGGTTCCAATGAGACTGAAGGATCCGCCCTCTTGGACTTGTAAGATGTCCCATCATTGTTGGTCGCAAGAATGATGACCCACATGGAATTAAGGCCCAAACGCACAACGGAGAGGACCCGATAGAGAGGAGAATGCCAACGGATCGCTAGCGTCCGCATCCTACGCAGCACAGGGGAACAAGAAGAACATCACAAAGAGGACTCGTCAATCAGGAGGGCGGTGCTTTGCTGATCGCAAGCTTCATCAGAGAGACAAGGGGGGCGGATCTCAAAAAATGGGAACCTCATTGGGAGCTGAGTCCTCAAGGTCCGCCGTGTCCTCTTTCTCGCATCAGAAGACATAGGGTGAGAGATTAGGCAACACGTCTGAGAACAGGAAATTGTAAGTGATGTTCTGCAAAAGAGCCCAGCGGACCGCCCCGATTTCAATGTGCGAGAACAAAAAGCTGGGAATGAGATGCAATGGCACTGCAGGTTTGACTGGAAAAAGGAAGGTGAGGAGCGGCGAAGCAAAGGAAAGTCGCAAACGATCATCGAAGAAACATCGATGAGCCCATCAAACAGTAGTCGGGTCGGGTGATGCTCGTAAGGGGGTTAGGACGAGTACGGTTGCGGAGCGCAGATCGAGCGCAGATCCACTTGGTTTGGGATTTCCTAAATCCAGGAGCTTATGGCCAGATGGGGCTCACTTTGAGTAGATCCAGAAGCACGGGAAATGAAGAAGCGGTGCCGCCTCACCTTGGTTTCCTCGCTCATATGAGCGGAGGCGTCGAACCCAGTGAGAGTGTATTGGCTCATAAGGAGCCCCACTATGAAAACGTAGAACGAGGTTCCCAAGCCGGCGTCATACAGGTACTCATAATGGCCGAACACGTAGCCGGGGAAATCGAGAAACGGAGAGCTTCGTCAGCAAGAAAAAAGATTTAGGTAAACCAGGAAACGGAGAATTGATCAAGTTGGCGCCGCATGTTCGGAAAATGGAGACGTCATCAGATTTGCTACAAAGCGGGACGGGGAAACAGGAGAAAAATGGTTATCAGCTGCAGTAGTGAGCACTGAGAAGACTGAATACTGTCGTCCGAAGGACCAAGACATCCGCCAATTGTGAGAGAAGGTGTTACGTGAGCGATCAACGAAAGCCCGCTTCACCACCAGCAAACCGGTGTGCTCGCTGAGATCTTATCGAAAAAGTCGTAAGCCGTTTGATTAGACCATTGGCGACCAGCGGGGTGGCACCGACACCGACACGTGGCTCTTTGGCAGCCACACAAACCTCAGCAGCCAGCTGTAACAGGGGGCTTCACGTCCTCAGTCGACGGCCAAAGACAAGGCGGCGCACGGGGAACACAAGGAAGAAAAATGCGACCAAATTCTGTGCTCTTTTCCCCTCTTCGAGCCATTCGACTTCATTGGTCATGCAGGTCGTAAAAAAACAACTCTGGTTTGGTAATCTCTGCGCTTGATCGCATTGGTCGGAAGCTTATGGCTGGTTCGCGCCCCCTAACGCAATAAGTTTAGATGTGTCCAGAAACCTCAAATCAAGCAAAGCCGCTAATTTAGGGACTAAGGCTTGGAATTCCAGAGTCAGTAAAGGCGCAAGGGTTCTTACTCGCAGGCTGGTGCGTCGGGGCAACTGCTGGAAGTAGAATCACGATCACGATGGTACCCACGATGTGCCACGCCACTGAGACTGTGTTCAGGAAGCTGAGCCAATTCACACCGAAGGTGTTGAGCAGTCCGTGGCAGACCAGGATCGCGGCGTAAATGCCCAACACCGTGGCCTTGTTGCAGACGTACCCGACGCCGTCCTCGCCGCGCGTGGAGAGCGCGATCACGACCGAGATGATTTGGGCGAGCGAGAAGTCGATGCCTGCAAAAGTGGGTGGAATCTGCTTAGAGAAGCATGGGTTAACGAAAACTCAAGGTCAGGAGTGGAGAGCGCGATCACGACGGAGATGATCTGGGCGAGAAGTCGATGCCTGCAAATTGTGGGTAGGCTCTGCTTAGAGAAGAGTTATGGGTTAAACGAGGGTTAAGTTAACAAGGTCAGGGGTGGAGATCTCGATCTCGACCGAGATGATCTGGGCGAGCGAGAAGTCGATGCCCGCGAGTGTGGGTGGATTTCACTCGGGAAAGGGAGATGAGTTCACGAGAGGTCAAGTCAGAAATGCCCGTTGAAGGTCAATTCGACCACTTCAGGCGGTCCTTGAAGTGGTGGCTCTGCCTTCAAACCCCTTAACCCGCTCAAATGTTGCACACTCCTAAGCGACACTGAGGGCACATAGTCTGGAAATCTGACCGCGGAATGGGACCTTTCCTGCGATGTCGATCCACCACCTTCTTCGAATGGACAGGCTTCAAAAACCCAGACCATAACCGACATAACCCATAGAGTCTAAACCATTAGCACCCTCAAGCCCTTACTTGCTGTCTTTGCCACGTGCCCCATCAGCTTTGTCTGCAGGACATAGATTGGAAACAAAAACCTGAACCAACTGAAAACCACAAGAATTCTAAGAACACGAAGCCCTGACGCCCTCACCTGCGGTCACTGCCACCTGTCCCAGCAAATTGAACCACCCCGTGATCCACGCTGCAAACGGCCCAAATCTTGGGCCGCTCAGCTTTGCGCTCCAGAAGTACAGCCCGCCCGTTGTCTGCAGAGTAGCGCTCTTAAATTGAGTCACGGAAGCGAGTTTCAATGGCTTGCAGAATCATAGCATTGCATCAGATCCTCAACCACAGAAGAAATCAGTTTGCCTTCAGCCCATCACGAAGAGGCCCACTGCTCGTTGCCGGCTGTATATTGGCTTGTCTCTTCCTGAAGGGAAGAGGGCATCCATACAAATCGGGGTTTTTGCCGCCGTACGGCGCCGCTCTGCGGGCCCGCCATCGGACCTGCTTCGCTTGGCCCGTTTCGACGATAAAAGTCGGCGTACGGCCTGGAAATTTGTCCGTAATACGTTGCGAGATTTGCCTCGACTGGGCCCGCGTGCGGCGCAGTTCGCAGCTTACGAATTGAACATTTTGGTCCGACCACTGCATGGTGCAAGTCCCGGTGTCGAGGTTCGTGCATGTTTGCGGACTTCGACGACGAAGTTTCGTGCTTGCTTGGTCGGTGGTGTTACGGCTAAACAATCCGCACCGTTCAAACGAGCTTTCGACGATCGAAAGCAAAATCAGATTGTCAACCGTTGATCGGATACATAATCAAGGAAGAGGCAAGCGTCCGCCGTCACACAGACGGCGACCCATGTTTCCATGCCAAAACGAAGTTTTTTGGATTACCTGTCTTTGCTGACTGCTTCGCTGAGAGATATTGTGAAAAACTCAGATTTCACTTCCCAAGTCTTGCTTCCCAGTGTCACCTTGACCTCTACCCCAATCCATGCCCTTCTCGAATCTGCTTTCACATGTTGGACAAAAAGTCATTGCACCCTGCTATACTTTAGTTAACCCAACGCCTTGCGTCATTTCTTTAGCGATAATTCTGAGTGGAAATGAGGAAGCCGTAAAAGCTAGTTGCTTTCTGTTTGTTGACATCCACTAATGATGAGCAATGTGCTTCCGGAATGCCTCTGATGCAATTTTTTTTTCATAAGACACCTAGATAGAATACCTGTTAGTGTTTCAAGTCAGCTAGCTTCTCACTGATCAATCATGCTGCAGAAAGAGGGTCTCCGTTCACTGGATTCTCTATTCAAAGGATTGTAGATTTCAAATCCAGCCTGAATCATGATTAAAGCGCACGCCTACAAAGCCTTCACCGCACACTGATCAGAAGCCTCGCCAAAGAGAGCCTGGTCTAACATAGCCTAGATCAGCGCTTCTCCATAGGATAAGATATGATAAGAAACAACCTCTCTAAGCAGAAGTAACTTACCGGGAAGGAGGAGCAAATCTCCGCCATGCTGAGCCCCACAACGAAGGAGAAGAAGCAGACGATGACCCAGCCCCAGACCATGACAACCGGGCCGCCATTGCCTAACCCAGTGCCAAACTGGCTGGTTATGCCGGTTAAGATGGAGATGATGGAGAAGGAGACCGCAAAGTTGGTGAACAGGTTCTGTGGAGAAAGGGAAAGGTTTAGTGGATTTCTGTAGGGGTTTGGAAGAACGGGGTAAGGTGGAGGGTTAGGGAGATTTTGGGGGATGGGATAGCGGGCGTTGCGGCAGTTGGATTTTGAGGAAATGTGTGTAGAAAGGACAAAGTTGCCTTTGTGTAATTCTGTGATACCAGGGGACAGCGGCTCTGATGTGGCTGAGAAAAGAGTACATAATCATCTGGTTTCTTCTTGCCTGACAAAAGGATTTCCTGGTGGAGCATACTTGAAGATCCCTGCGGAGACCCTACACGACAACACCTTAGCGAATGGGGTTTCAAGCCAGCAGATGACTAGAAGAGAATACCACCTTCAAGTGATTCTTCATGTGTGTTCGACAGGGCACATTTAAGGGTACATCAGCAGTCTGCAAACAATGCTGAAGAAACTTTAAAGCCTCCGTTTCTGAAAGCTAAAAGCCAACTGAACCCTAAGTAAGCTCATGGTTGCATCGTATAGAAGATAAGTCAGAGATGGCTTAAGGCATCACACAGATCGTCATTGAAAACGGTGGCACATAGGTACTGAATCTAAAATGGTCAACGCTACAAACTCCTTGAATGTGTATCTGAACCCCATACTCATGAGCAATAGGAAGGGAAGGACGCCGTGCTCACCAGTTCACGCTTCAACTCCTGCTTGTACCTTGAGGGAGGATCGAAAGTACTTGCTTAGTCAGTTGTCCTTGTTGTGGACTCAAGACCAGAGGGAACTTGTCCCGAGAGAACTCAAACCATGAGAAGGTTGCTCATCTCTCAAGGAATGTGAGCAAATGTAGCTTTCAAGCAGATTTGAACAAGGAGTATACACCCATACGTAACAGATTAGCTCAAATTTTTATAAAGAAAATATATGTACAAGAGGATTGAAGGATCTGCTGGAGAGTGACATGTTGCAAAGGATATGGCTAATATCATTTAGATTGCAGTTTGGACAACACAAAAACATATGACTTTTCAGCATTGGTTCCTAAATCTCCTAAGCTTGTTGCCAAAACTTCCCGAAAACTCAGGAAAATACAGACTTCGGGTTTCGAAAATCCCTGAAGAATGGCAGTCGCTTCCTGAGGCAACACAGAATGCTCCTCGCATTTGACTTCTATGCTAACAAAGGTACCATGTACTACAGCAATATGGGAGAAAGCAAATGCACTATGCGGGTGACATTCCTCTTTGCTTGAAACCTTGCATTGTCATCTGTAGATCAAAAGTGTATGTACTAAAAGGAAACAAGCGTAGATTCTTACCCCAGGTCGTGAAGCCGCTGTTGTCCGGTATCCATGTTGGTTGCAGCTTTAGCAGAGAGGTAGAAGCTCAGCGCCTCCTCGAAGTAGGCTCTTCACAGACTCCAATCTGAAATGAAGACTGAGTTCTAAACACATTCTCCTTGCATGCCTTCACGCTTCAACATTCAACTCTGAACATATGCTGCACATTTCACATGTGCAGGCCTGCAGGGCAACACACCGCCTATGGCACCCTAGGTTCTGTGATCAATGTTGACATCATCAGAAGTGGTCAGCTCAGAGTTGAGTGAGTACCTAGGCCCAGGGGCTAGATGTGAAGTTCACACTCAGCACTGCCACACAGTGAACGTGAGTTGTCTAGTACGGCCGAGGTATGATTCCGGCCGAAATGTTCAAAATATGCAATTATTTTCCAGAATCCGACCCTAAATCCGAATGAGTTCAAAGGTACCCAGGTACCCTAATTTCCTGGCTTTTCAAGATTTTTCGGTACGTACCTTAGTTCATATGGGCTTTGACATTACTTTCCGAACAGAATTTAGCAATTATTTTCCCTTTCCGCAAGAGCAGATTCCGACTGCTTATTTGGAATTTGTAAAATTTTCCGAATCCAAATAATTATAATTATTCGGAATCATACCTTGATAGTACCGATTGACCTGTATACGGTACAGGTTACTACCTAGGTACTAGCCTTAGGGTAGTACCCACCAAATAAAGCCGAGAGTCTACCTACCTACCGAAATTTACGTGCTGACCTGTTGCAAGTGGCAGCGGCGAGCACTCCTGCCAGCATAGCTGGATGAATTGATTTCTGATCCGCCTAATTAATTACCTGGTTTCATTTATCTAGCTCGCGCAAATTGGCAAAAGTCGGAACTGCGCAGTGCGCACGCGTACCGTGGGTCCATTCCACAATCACCATCGAGCCCAAGAGTGCAACGCGCAAACCTCTCTCGATCGGACTGCGCGAGGTAATCAGTTTAATTTGGTATAACCCACATGAATCACATGTTCCACATGGCTGGCATGATTGGGCCGGATATGCGGAGACCGGTTATACGCGTCACTTGGGTTAAGGTTTAACTTTCCGGTTGCATGGGGCCTTCTGAACCGCAAAGTTTTGGAGGTCTATACGCATAAGACTTGACATTACTAGATTCTTATATGGCCGTATGTTCGTATGTGAATTGCTTGAGGGGCGAGCTCCCGGTGCACTTTTAAGGAGGCCAATACTAGCTTAACTTAAAGTACATAGCAACTAAAGATGTTTGCTGAACGAGGTGCTCGAACATGCATGTACAATTGTCACCCTAAAGATGGGTAGGTTTGGTCCCGGTTGGTCCCGTGTTTAAAGGTACGGAGCATGCCGCTGCATGCGTGAGATTCTGATTTTAAGTGAGGGGCTTCCGTACTCGAGGCCTGCCCACAAAGCTCTAGTTCTTCCAAAAGAACACCCATGCGTTGACGATTGGTCATTCAGGCCTAGCATGAATTACAGATCTCAAAATCGAATATGATACACCATTCGCTTTTGTAACGGGCGTCGTTCAAACCGTCAACAATCAAATGGTGGTCGGGCATTTTCAACGCTTAGGCCTCAATGATAACGAGCTGCCAAGCTGGTTTGTGGACCTAGTAAACTATCCTGAGAGCACAGCCCGATCCCGCAATATCCAAAGTTGCGCAAACGCAAGTAGATCTGGAGGACCGTCAAGGAGGACTCGCGTCACAAAGTCGACCGTACCCCCCGACCATCACTTGCGCCCGAGTCCCCATAGATGTCATACCGCCGGTGCTGCAAGAGTATTGCCACATGTCAAGCGGTTGCGGACACAGACGCACTAGTCAACGACAGCCCCTCAACTTCAAAGCAATTCAGCGCCTTTTATAGTCATTGGGCTACCAATTCTACTGCTACACGAGATTATCCTTGCAGAGCGGTCTGTTTCTGACATATGCAGGCGACTAGAAGGATCCGTTCTGCGCTCGATGTGCTTTACAGTTGGGCAGGTCCTTCATAAAAGGATCCGTTCTGCGCTCGATGTGCTTTACAGTTGGGCAGGTCCTGCTTTAAGAATCAAACGTGACGCTGTGCCCGGGCGCTTAAACCAGCGGTCAGAGCTCGTTTGAGGTCAGTTTTGGCTAATGCATCCCGGTTGACAGTCCTGACATTCTCGGCTCCTTGGCTTCAAAGACATTCAACAAAACGAGCGGCCTTTCTTGCTTCGCTCAAGAAGACCACAAATCTGGACACTTTGCCCGTGGAGTACTGAGCAATGACTCTACGTCCGAACTTGCAACCGTTCAAAAGCTCTGGTTACTGTATGCTGAAGCATTTCTACTCCTGCTCGTACTGACACCGAGACCTATTCGGCATGTTCTTGCTAAACTTTGACACCTGCCACGATTGGAACATCCAAATCGACGGACATTCAAACCGGGGCTCCTCCTTCCTGAGTTGGCTTTATGTGAGAAATGAGAAAAAGAAGCAATTCCGAGGCAAGAATGCTACGCCAAAGAGCAGGGTCCAGCCTTGAGCGCCCAAGCGAACAGCGTCCGAGAAGTTCGCAGTGACGTTTCTGGATGCTGATCGTGTGGCCCGGTTTGACTCACCTGGGCAACCGGCATGCTCGTTCTGACCGATTGCAACGCCGCCAGGTCAATCTCCGCGGTCGCGATGCCAACGGCCAGCGGGTCTGCACAACCAGAGCGTCGAAGTTCGATAGATATACGCAGTGTTTCGATCATCTACAGGAAGTCAACAGGTATAGTGGGCCGCTACAAGCATAAGAACACAAGAGCATAAGAGCTGCATGCCCATGGTTCTTCGCGAGATGGCTTGTTATTTCCGACGTGGAATCTGGTGAGACCATTATTGAAAGGAAGAAGCCAGATTTCTGAGTCAGAGCGAGCTACCCCAGCATCTTTTTTCAATCGTTCTGTGCGTCGTCGAATGACGTCACCGTCCTGCCCTGTCTTGAGGGCAAAAGCAGTGCCTGAATGTGAACTCGTGATGACGCGTCTCTGGCGATTGGACAGAGAAGAATTTTTTAGTCACTTGTACTCCCGAGCACTAAGAATCAGAAATGCTCCGGCCCCCTCAAAGCAGTCGCTTGCAAACTGAGGCGAAGCATACGTACATTGTATTTAATCTCGTTCCTGTTGTAGCGTGAGTCGCTACAAGACATTTGCGCACCTTCTAAGCGGGCGACGATCCGGCCCCAGGGGTCGATGATAAGCGCATCGCCGAAGCTCTCCCGCTTCTCGTTGTGCCGCCCCGCTTGGGCCGCAGCGATCACCTGCCACAAAAAAAACTTGCGGTTCTTTCCCCGGTCTTATGAGTGTACTGGAGGCAACCAAAGCTACTTTTGTTTTCTTACACCTCCTCACGAAGATTTTTCGCGACAGGCAGCTCAACAAACGAAGTCTGATAAGATCCATAAGCGACGGCCTGCGGAAGAGGTTGCCAGGCATCGTTGCCGAGAAACTTAGTGTCAGGCAGACACTGCAGCGAAGGGTAGATAGACTGACGCTCGATCACACTTGGTTCTAAGAGCCATTTGATCCAATCCAATCTTAGTCCAACCGTATCGCTTTTAACACAGAAGTAGATCACGCATGTCCTCAACTCGTGCTACGCCTTTGAGTTCCTCAGGTCTGTGCTAGCCCGAGCCGTCCACTTGGTCGAAAGATTCTTAGAAACGCCTTTCCAAGGAACTGGGCTTCGTGACAATATGCAGCCATTGTCTTTTCGGTTGGCTCAACCAAACCAGAAAGACCTTATCTAGCGACGAATTGTAATCTGCTCACAGAAGGCACGCTGACGTTTGATTGAAGGGCTCGCCAAAGCCGCGCGTGAGCAGTTAACGTCAGCAGATGATGTCACGGAGGGGAATATGACGTCAATGGGACTTACGTAGCATTGGCACTCGATGGCCCGCGCCCGTAGCAGGACCTCCCAGTGCGCTTCACCCGTCGTCTTGGTAAATGCGGACGGGACCAGCAGAATCTGGACGCATTGCGGAAAGTGAGTTGCTCCACCCAAGTTGTCAAGTGTCTTCGCAGTTCGTTCTCTCGATCGGGTAACTCGTTTCTTGCTTCTTATTCCCTATACTTCCCATTCCTTCCGTCTTCGCCTTGTCCCTAAAAGTGGTGTATTGTCATTCGTCCACTCATCTGCAAACTACTGCTTTATCAAGGATAGATTGGGCGATAGGGACTTGAAAGAAAGGGTTGCACTGGTTGCCACAGAAAACGCAACAAAACATGTGTACAGGAAACGTCCCGATACCAGAACGGTCACGGCTGGAAGTGCATAATTCAAAGGCATCAATATCGACTTGCCAGCTTTTGACAATGGCAACAACGTCAAGGGTGGGACATAAAGTGCGTCGTTGGGAAGACAAAACGGTGACGTATACTGAAAGAGGTGACCTATGCTGAAAGAGGTGACGTATGCTGTCCGTGAAGGCAAGGAGTCAATCTGGAAAATCTGGGCCGTCCATCTGTCACGTGCCCTCATTTTGACATGTCAACGGGCGGGCTAGTGGTTTTAAGAGCAGAAGGATAAGAGGCCGTCCAAAATCAGTGGCGGAAGCGTACCTCAGCCCCGTGCCGGAACCGCAGCTGCTGGTACATCTGGGGAAACCGCAGGTCGTAACACGTGGTAACGCCCAGCCGGCCGGCAGGGCTGTCCGTTACAACCAGCTCCGAGCCTGCGAAACAAACGGAAACAAATGTTCGGCGTTTTGCGACTGTTCGGTGTCATGAGCGTGTTTAAGATTTACCACCTTTTGTAATCTGTCAGTGACAACGGGTTGAGCACCCTGAGACGGGTTGAAGAAGTAAGAAGAAGCATGGCTGAAAGAGGTGAGCTTGAGGAACTCCACACGGAGTGGCGAAAATGGAATACTTGCTCGGGAGGAACAAAACAAAAAACCTCGGACGGGTTCGAAGATACTTTTGCGCGCACAACCTCCCTAATAATCGGAGTTCTCAAAAACACCAGAAATGTACTGCCATAAAAGGCCAGTCCATGCGATACGAATCCTACCGATTTGAGTACGTTTCTCGTGAAAGGCTCAACGACGTTTGTCAATTGGAGGGTTGCCGGTGGTCCAATCCAGGAACCGAAGTACAAGAACTTCCGTCTCTCGCCTTTCGACGATATAAACCTCCGCTTTTTCCCATCTGTAAATCCAACGGCTGGCTCGCAATGCAAGACATTACCTCGAAACAGAAACTTTCCGCATCTTGTAGTTCACTGTAGATTGATTATTGTATTCACTGCAACTCTGCCCCAAGAGACCCCAGTTTCGGGGCCAGCTCTACATACCCACCTGGTGCCGTCGAAGCACTTTCCAGCAGTTTCGGCCCGTTAGGGACGTCAACGTCGAAGAGATGAATCTTTCGATAGACGGCCGCGATGTCCCCTGAGTCGTTTACGATCACGTGCGTGTTGTGCAGACGGTTGGGCTCCGTGCTCGTCTCCTGAAAGCCGCCCAGCGACAGCCAGATTGAGTGGTCCCTGCAAACGGCCTGGTTGAAGCGTTAACAGCGTTTCCCAAACTGTTATCTTGGAACGAGCTATGCTCCATATTCGAAGCACTAAAGCGTTTAGGCAGATGGAGTGCTCCTCGTAACCTTTTGCATGAGCGGTGAGTGTTGCTTGGTTGCTTCTCTCGATAAAGTTTAAGAACTTCCGAAGTACTCAGCAGCAGCTGAATTGATTGGTCTCGATAGCGACCTGTAAAATGGTCAACCTGCTCTGTTAGCGCCGCTCCTAGAGGCACTTTCTTAATTCCTGTTAAGGGACTCTTTCTTTCAAACGGGCCGCTGTTATTGATCGGCTACGATTTGTTCTAGGTACAGACCAAGCATGCAATCAGTTCGATACTTTTTGGAGCGCTCTCCAGGCGACGGTTTTGCAGACAACGGGTGAGGCTGGAGCACTGCCGTTTGTTTCGTTAGGCGTCAGTTTACATATCGTGCACAACTACTGTAGATGGGATGCATTTACAGATTTTGCAATGTGGTACCAGTTGCGGGTGATGCGGCTGGCAATGGGCTACATTCTAAGTTCGACCAACCACCGAGAGATAAGAATGCTGTTCCAGATAGTGGATTTCTGGTGAAAGTCCCTCTACTTTACTCTTTTTGTACTTGAAACAAGTCGCAATCAAATCCCATCTTGCAGATTACACAATTGTATCCAAGCATCCAATATGAATTCGCTTCGGGCACTAACCTTGCCAGCTGGCGGTAGCGCCCCATGAGCGGGCCGTCGAGCTGATCCGCAATCGCGATGCCCTCCGACCCTCGAGTGCCAATGAAGGAGAAGCTCTCAGGAAGGAAGAGCATTGAGCAGCTGGCACTGGCCGCGTCCTACGGTTGGAGATGACACCGTTTGGTCAGACAAGGATAGCGTTTGAGAGGAATCATATAGAGCGTACAACCAAGTCTGAAAGAAGGTTTCCAGGGGAAAGAGCTTCACCAGACTCAACTGGATCTTGGTCAAAGCGCACCCTCTCTATCCTACTTGCTGGTCAATGACTATGGTCCTGAGAACCTCATTCATTGAGGCTACAATATTGCAGTGGCAGCAAAGGTTTTATGTATTTTTTCCCCCTTCTTTGTGACAAACTGCTGGACCGAGTCATGAAGACCTTCACTTGCAGACCCCTTGTTGATCTGAAAGATATGCAGCCCCAGGGGGAGGACATATAGGTGACCACCGGAGGGAGAGGGTGGACAACTCAAATCTTGGAAATATAGTCTGCGAAGCAATCTCATAGATGGAATAAATTGACGACTTTTGAGCTCACCTTCACAAGGCTTGCAACCGTTTCAAAGTTGGCCTCAATGTCCCCTGTGGACCGCATCTGTGCAACCGCCACCTTGGAGCCCTTCCTTTCTGCACAGGGTTGAGACGGCACATTGAGCTCCCTCTTCGAAATCTGTTCAAGAAACAGGGTCAGACATTTTGCCATTAGAGTCACTTATGATGACAAAAGCCTCAAAAGAGCTCAAGTCATCGCTTCAGCAAAGCTGGGCGTGCGATTCATGCAAGGGATTACAGCATGAACTCATTTCGCTTGTTGTCAACCATGTGACACTTCTGCAGATCAACTCTACTTTTGACAGAGGTTTGTGGCTTGAAATGCACAACCACCCCCCCTGACTTGATATCACGTCTGACCTGGAATCACTGCGGTATTGCGGGGCCCTTGCGCTGTTGGATCTAAGGTTCACAAAAGTTCTTTCCAATCACCCACGGAGAGCGGCGGAACATTTCTAAGTACAGGCTGGCAAGCTTAGAAAGGGAAGTAGAGCCCAGCTTTTGAAGATGAAGAGCAGAGAACATTCACAGCTTACTTCCTGAAACGGGGTTTACATGTGATTGTCCTGGATCAAACAAGAAGGCAAATGTGGACTTACCTACGGAAGCCCGCGCTGCATCATTTGGAGAAGCCATGGCCCGTCTCTGCTGCGGCCACGTTTCTGCTACAATGCTGTAACCTTTTTGCACTCTGTGCAACTCTGGCCGGACCAGACCCTCACTGCAAAGTAGGCTTCTTGCACTTTGGAAGAAAGCCAGTGATCGGTGATCCCCCAGGCTGCGCAATCTAGACTGGACTGCTGCACGGGCGCTAAGATTGAGAGAGTAGCATTTTGATTGACCACCTCTTTGTTGATTATTAGAAAAGAGAGTATTGCCCCAAAATCCTGAAGAAGCGAGATTGCACTTAGTGACCAAGCCTGTAAATGCGGCTACAGGGGCTCTTGTTGTGCAGTTTTTGAGAAGCGGAGCGGAACCCGGTCTTGACCTGGTGAGAAAGACCGTCGGAGACTGCTTGCTTCTGAATGAAGAATATCTTGCGAGGTGGGTGTTTCCAGGTGTTTCCAAAACATTCAAGAGAGGAAGTGTCCGAGTTTGCAAGAAGCGCGGGCCAACTTGAAGGGCTCCCCCAGAAAGCATGCTCAAGAATGTTGAATCTGGAGAGGGATCCCCAAAAAATCCCAAAAGATCTGCTAGGTCTAAAGAGGAGTCGACCTGAAAGGCTGGCCCTCGGGTTGTCAATGTGATGACAAAGTGGTGGACGTGAATCCTGCGTGCAAGTGCGTGCAACGTGATGCTGCAGAAGAAATGGATGGAGCCTTGGAATATCTGGAACAGTAAACTCAGGAATTGACTCTGAAATCGACCAGGTTCTTGTCGAAACATAGGCCGTAAAGAAGGAGGAAGCCGGGGGCTGCTACCGATCGCTGATAAAAGGTCGAATCGGTGGCCGGGAGTCGGATAGCACCGGGCTGATTCCTCTGTGCATTTCAAAAGATGATGAAGTAGATAATGTGAGAAACGATATACCGGTAGGTGATTAAAATGTTTGATCTCGAAAAAGTGGATTGCAAGAGAAGCAAACAGGTCGACAAGCATTGAGGTCCCTTGTGCAGGAGGACCCTAAAGTATAATAGCACTTGATTTGATGGCGCCTCTCTCCTGGCTTCCTTGCTTGTCTCGGTCTGGCACATGGAGGGCTCTGTTGCATTCCATCCCCCAGCTGGCAGAGCGGGGACCAGGATCTCCTGCACTTGGCGCCAAGAATATAGCTCGGTTCTTCGCGGGTGCCTGGCAATGGGGCGGGAAGGTCGAGTCATGATGCTCAGCTAGAGATTTGACTGCGAAGCACACACCCGGACCGCGAGCAATTAGTATTTTGATAAGTCCAGAGCTCAAAGGAGTAGGCCTTGCCTCAATCAATGTCCACTCCAAAGCCATTGGGGGGCCCTTGACCATCCCGATGGGGCCCATCCCGATGTCTACCACGCACCCGCAACTGGCGGAAGCCCGTTCTCTGAGGAGGCACTTGCATCGAAATCCCTGGACAAAATGGAAGATGTATCATCCCCGTATCATCAGATGGAGGCAAGATTTTGGCAGCTGGATCAGAGCTTGGGCGGGCTGGGGGCTCCATCATCTTGACCAAAAAATGCACGGGTTGCGGGGGATCAAAGCCGTTAGTGGATTTCAAAAGGTCACAAAGTGGTCTTGACGGGCTGAATGACTGGTGCAGAGCGTGCATAGCCATTTTCCATGCAAAGCGCTGTGGGAGAATACTCCTGATCATATGCAGTTGTCATTGGAGGAGGCCCACGAGAAGGCCAAGATTTGCAAAAAATGCGGTGTTTTAAACGAAGTTCGACAGTTCGGCTCTCACCGCGGAAGCAAGGATGGGACACAAATGTGGTGCAGAGCTTGTATGGCTGGCTACAATATCACACGTCTTACGTATGAACCTGCGAGCGGCCCCCAACTTTGCATCCGCTGCAGAAAATTCCTGCCGGCGGAAGCGTTTAGTCGCAGCAGATGCCAATCATCTGGTCGCCATCATATCTGCAAGCTCTGTTTTAAAGAAGACAATAAGGCAAGAAAGTCAAGGATCGCAGCATCTCACCTTCACATTGCAAGAGTTGAGAAACGGTGCGGTTACTGCATGATTGTAAAACAAAGATCTGATTTCAGCAAAAAGTCAATTGAGACAGACGGGTTACGGGACATTTGCAGGTCGTGTGATTATCTGCTATTGAAAGACAGAAAAGAAGCCAGAAAGCGGAAGAAGGATAACTTGGAGGTTGGTGCTTGGACCCAGTTCTCGAAAGAGGTTGAATGGCAGTGACTCCTTGTGTTTCATTCATTTATTTGCCAATTTGTGTATTGTCTTATTGAAGAAGGCAGTCCTGGCTAATAGGGTCCAAAAATGGAGAAGGCACCAAGCACTTGCAATCGGCCGCTCAATGTACCGTGACGTTCTAAAAACCATAACTGTAGACTGGAAAAGCACTTTTGGAGCAATATATTGCCTGATCTAATACGAATGGCAGAGTCGGAAGCATTTTCACCACTTGCGGTCCCCAAGATAGCAAGAATAATGCTGTTTGAAATATGCAAGTCACACACTTGTTCCGCCTTCCATGCTTCAATACGAAATAGCTCTTAGCCTAGTAGATAAGGGTATGGAGTTTGTGCACTATGAGAATCATGAATGCTCCACATTTCAAGAAGCAGAAGCTTCATGTGCATCTTGTGCCGCGCATCGCTTCATGCAAGGAGTCTGCATGATGTCTATTTGTTTACATAGTGTTAGGTGCCATGCATGCCGCACCATAATCTGCAAATCATGTGATAGGGCATTTGATGAAAGGGAGCAGAAGCTTAATTCGGCAAAGCTTGTGCAAGTGCCGTAAGAGGGCCTGAGGGCCGAGCTCAGCCTGAGCACGCGGCGTATGCATAGGTGGCTTGCATTGAATTTCCCTGCATGCAATATGAGATCCGACGAGAATTTAGAAGCGCAGTTTAAAGGAGCCACAACTGATAGTTTTGTCAATTCGAAAAAGGTATACATGCGAATGAGTATGTACCGTCTCATCCCAGAGTTAGTGAAACATGTGCATGCCGAGTTGTGCAGATCTCAAATGAGATATGCGCACATGCTGCATGCAGGATATGTATATGTAGCTATCTGTACGCACACTGGCATTGTTGGTCTCCTTTCACATGCGCCGACGGTAGGGCGCCAGATTGTATCGCGACCGGTTATCTCGCAACCCGGTTGGTATGTTAGGGTCAGCCGTAACTAGAGCCGGAGTGAATTCGGTAGTGCATTGATGAGTGCTATGATTACCGTACAGAGCACTTAAGCAGAAGGCTGATAACCGTACAGAACATTTAAGTAGGAGAATGAGCTGTTTGTAGCTCATTCTCTCTATGTTCGTTCTAAGGCATATTGAGGGCGACTTTGATCAGCAACCATTGTCTCCTCGTCATGCTGCATGACGGCCAGCAGAGAGTCTCCGCATAAGCTGACTGAGCTTATGTGTATGGTACATGTGGAGTAAGCGATTTGTGATTGAGGTAATCATTCATTCACATAGAGAGAATCGATTGGAGTGCAACAAGGACCCGCTGGCGATCTGAGCGGCGGGGCACCTGAGTGGAACACTGTGGACAGCTAGCGATGCTGCCTTAGTGCAGTGGTCAGTCACACCGACTCCGTTTGTGAGCTGCATGCTTGAGACTGGGAGCGTGGGCTGAATGCGTTGGCTCAAAGGGGGGCTGTCAGGAGTGTGATGGTTTGGTGGCTCCCAAGTTTGAGTGGCGCTGAGCAGAGGGTCAAATCTGAGCTAGGATAGAGGCCCTTGCTGTGGTGAAATCCCTGACTAAGGGCTGCTGTAGGACGCCAAGTGGTCCAGCAGGTTTAAAGGTGGCCAGGGCTGAGGCCTGAGCTGGCCAGCCGAGTGATCACTGGCAGGTTGAGCTAACCTGGCCAGAGTGTGGGTTGACTTACATTCAGCCTGCGGCGCCTGTTCTATTTAGGTTCAGGGCTGGGGTCTGAGTGACCTGAGTCCGCTCACAGCTGCGGGCAGTGGGGGGCGAAGAGTGTGAAAAGCAGGATTGGGAAGCCTTAGCTCAGTTATGTCTTCGCTGCGCTGCGGGCGTCTGTTCACCAGTCAACTAGTGGTCCATCAGCAGGTGCGCATGGAGCATGGCGCCAGGAGCGCGTGACATCCGACCAAGAGCTCTTGAGGCGCCTCTGTGAGTTGGGAGGAAAGGAGCGCGAGCGCGAGTTTTGGAAGGCGCATGAGTTTATACAGGGGTGGCAGCTGCTCTTGGCTGAGCAAGTGGTAGGGGTTTCAGAGGAGAGCGGCAGTTGGGTGACCTACGTCGCCAACAATCAGTCAGGCACTGAGCTGCTGGGGATTCAGGCAAGGAAGAAGGATCATTGGCCGGTGCAGCGCAGTGCGTGCAGGACGCGCTGCATCATTTGCGATCAGAAGGCCGCGGAGGGAGCGGAGGCAGAGGAGAGCAGGACCACCAGGTGGGTGCACCAGCAGCGGGCGGCGGCGGAGCTGGGGGAAGCTGTGTGGGAGGGGCTGAAGCTCAGGCAAAAGGACGTTGACTTTGCGCAGGAGGCGAGCACACCAGAGGGCAGCAAGCGCGAGGCGGAGGAAGTGGAGCGGGTTAGGCGAGATCTGCAGCGCAGGGCAAACGCGGAGCCAGCAGTGGCCAGGGCTGTGCTGCTCGCTCAGGAGTTCATCGGAGAGTGGCGCGAGTTTGAGCAACGGCACAAAGAATTCCCGTGCGGCAAGGTGTACGCAGCGTTCGTGGCCAGCAACGCGGCGGGAGCCGCCTGCATTGGACAGGTCCCTGACCCAGCACAGCACCTCCCTGCTGTCAGGTTGGGGGGCCCTGTCAGCTGCGCCATCTGCGAGCGTTTCCAGCCGCTGGAGGCGAGGGTGGCTGTCTGGCGGGAGGCGGAGGCGCTGATGGCAGCGCGGGTGGAGCACGCCAGGCGGGAGAAGGAAAGGGAGGAGCAGGAAGCGAAGGCGGCGTGGTGGCGGGAGCTGACCGAGCGCGTGTCTGAGGTGGAGTTGGTGCCCAATCGGTTGGCAGAAGCGGAGGAGGCCCGAGCAGCGGGCGGCCGCCAAGCGGGAAAAGCGTAGGCGCAAGAAGGAAGAGAAGCGGGTGCGTGCGAGGGAGCAGGTGGGTGAGCGTGCGGGGGTAGGGGCCGCCGCGGGAAGCTCGAGCGAGTTTGTTTAGGGGCTGCAAATGCCCGTAGAAACACGCGCTCAGCAGACGATACACGGCTCCATTTTTGAGGTGTCAGCAGCGACTGGGTACAGCCGGGTTGCCGCGGCTGAGGGAAGTGAGGACACCGCCAGTGCGAGCAGCGGGGCAGTGGTGAACAGGCCGGAGAGGGCGAGCCAATCGGTGTTCTGGGGGGAAGACGAGGACTGGGCAGAGATGGCCGCGGTCGGCGAAGGGAAGCAACGGTTCTCGGGAAGGAGGAACGAGGGGCTCACGTTAGAGCAGTTCGAGCTCCAGGTCGAGGGGAGCATCCTAGACCGGTTCACAAAATTGCAGAAGGATTTGGGCAGGCCGGTCGAGGGGGCCGAGTTCAAGAAGCGCTTCTGTGTGCATCTGGGAGAGCACATGGACAACCCCGCGAAGGAGGCGCACCTGCGCACGTACAAGGAGTGCCAAACCAAGGAGGACCCGGTGAAGCACTTGCTGGCGAGCCTCAGGCGCCACTTCGGTGAGAGAAACGAAGGAAAGGCGCAAGAGTGGGTCAACTTCAGGCGGGAGGCGGGAGAGGAACTGCCGAAACTGTTGTTCAGGCTGCAGGGGTTGGCAGGGGACCTCAAGAAGCCACTCACCGACCCCGAGCTCGTCACCAAGTTTGTGGCTGCGCTGGACAAGAGGCTGGGGGATGCGGTCAACACGCAGGCGTTGGCGGCAGTCACAAGCGGGGACGGCGGGTACACGCTTGACAACGCCTATGATGCGGCCGTTCGGGTGAGTGAGATGGCGTCTAGGCTGAGAATCGCCAGGGAGATGACCCCCAGGCTAGCCGAGGTGGTCCGGCCAAGGTGGGGCGGACGCGCGCCAGCGGCGCACGCAGCCGTTCCTGAGGCATATCCAGCGGCTGCGGCGACAGCAGTGGCAGCCGGTTCAGCGGGGTCGGGGGCGTGCCACACATGCGGGGAGGTGGGGCACTACCGGAACACATGCCCGCAGAGAAACGGGGGGGCCTCGGGTCGGGGTGGCCCTGGGAGAGGGGCCGGGAGGTCTGGTCTGGGTCGGGGTGCAGGACGGCCGCGGATCTGCTTCGTGTGCGGAGACCCCGCGCACCTGTCGTTGCAGTGCCCGCAGAGACACGTGGCACCGGCAGCTGTGGCGGTCCCGGCCGGGAGCAGGGGAGGTGCAGAGTTGGCGGCAGCGGGACTGAACGTGGAGGAGGTTGAGGAATTTCTGGCGTGGAAGGCGGCGTCTCAGGCGGCAGCCGCGCTGAGCTTGGAGGATGACGACGCTGCCAGCTGGGATGGGGAGGAGTACGAGCTGGGGGCGGCGGCCCTGAGGGCGGAAGGAGACGAGGGCTGGCGCCCCACCTTGCTGTGGGAGCTTGGGGCCGTGGCAACCCGCGCGGCGGCAGGCGCGCGGGCGGGCGGCGAGGCGACACAAGCGCTCAGACCGCAGCCTAAGGCCAGGAAGCAGGCGCGCGCGAGTACGCGCCCGCGGCACGTGGTCGGGCCGGCCATCGGTCAACCTGTGGGCACAGCAGCGCTGGAGCGCAAGGCGCCCGCCGAGGCCCTTCGACACCTGCGTGCTCGCAAGGACAAGGCTGCGCTCAAAGAGCGCATGGCAAAGCTGCCGGACCAGGGACGGGAGGTCGCGGCGCAGGGCCTTCACCGGCTGCCCTAGGGGTTCAGCATCCGTCCGGAGGGGCCCAAGGGGACCCTGACACAGGCGGAGGCACAGCGGGGGAGGCCCAGCGGAGCGGCCAAGTCTCCTGGCGGGGCATCCAAGACGGCTGCACCGGATGAGGCGACCGCGCCACGCGCAGAGGAGGTGAGGACGGGAGAAGCGGCGGTCCTGCTCGGTCAGGTCACCATCGACGTCGGCGTGTTTTTAGGAATGGCTGAGCGCGCGGGGCTGACGCTGCAGCAGGTGGTGGCTATGACGGGGGGCGGAACCAGCGTGCCCACACCGCGAGTGGACCCCAGGGAAGTCATGCGTAGAGTGACGGCCACAACCGGGGAGTCGGGGAGCCCGACATTGGTACCCGGGAGACAGGTGGTGACTAAGGAGACGAGGGGGTCGGGGGTGCCAACAGAATCGCCTGGAGAGACGGTTGAGTCGGGTGAGCCTGCGGTGGGGACCGGTAAGACAGGTGACACGTGTCCGGGTGAGGAGCGGCTGCCTCGGGGAGACGGACCGGTACGGATAGGCAGTCCGGTGAGCCCCGGGAACAGCACGGACCCGGAAAGCTCCCAAATGGCGCAGGAAAGGGCTGATCGGCTGGCTCGGGGGCAGTGGCAGCCAGTGCCGGAGGAGTCGGACCAGCAGATGGCGCTGGAGCTGCTTGTCGAGGAGGCGCGCGTGGCAGGCGTCGACTCCGCGGCAGCTCTGCGGGCACAAGAAGGGCCGGTCAAGGGGGCTGTGCTGCCACGCCGGTGGGAGACGGTCGGAAGAAGGGACAAGGGAAAAACGAAATGGGGGGAAGCCGATGCGGCACAGGGCGCTGGACAGGCTGGCGCAGCGGTGAGTGACTGGGCGGCGACCCACACGCTTGCAGCCTTTGCGGAGGCACTGCCCAAGGTCCCGCCTACAGAGCGCAGCCGGTGGGTGGGCACCCCAGACTGGGTGGACAACCGAGACGGGGTGGTCAAGGTAATGACGGTGGCCGGGCTCAAAGCGCCGCTGCGGGTGTTGATCGACGGTGGCAGTTTTTACTCCATGGCGGGGGCGCGGCTGGCGGCGCAACTTGGGCTGCCGGTTGACAGCGGGGGCGCGTCGTGCAAAGTCCAGACAGCCCTTGGGAAAGTTGAGCCGCTGGGTAAGGGGCTCACCCGGGACCCGGTGCCGATCGTTCTGAATGTCGGCACCCCCGCGGAACTGACGCTATACGAACCACTGGCGGTCACCCAATCAACCGGCTACGACTTGCTGATTGGGACGCGAGCAGCATTCCCGATCGGGCTCAGCGTCGACCGGTGGGCAGAACGGGGCACCTACCGGGTGGACTGGCGGTCGCAGGGGGAACACGTGGCGAGCATCCCCATGCGGCTGCGGCAAGCCGTCAGCGCGCGCACCCCGCGGGGCCCGGCGAGTGGCAAACCCGTCAGCACGGCCGGAGTTGCGCTCGCCTGCAGCGCGACGCAGTGACGCCAGGCACCGGGCGTGGTCGAGAGGGGGGGCCCACGCCCGGGGCAAACGGAGACCGGCCGGAGGGAGCGGTCAAAAGGAGTGAGGCGATGGCCGCTGGGGCCACCGTTGGACATTAAGTTGGAA